GAAAAATGAAAAAGTCGAAATCAAATTATTGGAAAGAGAAATTGTAAATGATACTAAAGGTACATTTAAGATTAATACATGTTGATGAAGCTCTCTTTAAAAGGCAAAATCAAACTATTGGAAAGAATACTTGTAAAGGTACATTCTATACATGTTGATGTCTTTAAAAGGCAATCAAACTGTTGGAAATAGTGCCTTTAAGGTGCATTGGCCTACTTTACAAGGTATCACTATACTCTAAACTGTATATATGGATGAGTCAGGAAGGAGAGTCAGGTGTAAACACAACATAAGAAAGTGTGCTGTCCCTAGAAGAGATATCTGGAGTATCAGTTATCTTCCCTCTTGTAAAATATCTATACTCTCATACAATTCAAACAATTTTTCTTCAAAATTTGAATGTATTTCTCAACTTTTTGTGATTTCTACTACACAATTTGAAGATTTTAGTATTCAGTAAATTTCTATTGACTTTTCTTGGTGATTTATGTTTTTCAACTGTATTTTGTTTATTAAAATAGGATCAAGGGTGAGATGACCCTTGAAGAAAGATATCAGGGGTATCAGTTATCCTTCTTATGCAGTTATATGCTTGAGAGCTTGATAAGATAAGCAAGTTAATGTCTGGCTTTGCTGGTGCAGTGATACCTTTAGAAAACAAAAATTTTCCTTTCAAGAAAGTACATTATATTCACCATTGTTCCATGTACATATATAATTTAGAGTATTGTACTAATATTATAAAGTTATTACTCATTTGTGTGATGTACTCACTAGTATGGGATTTACTCACTTGTGTATGGTTTACTTTGTGTGATATACTCACTAGTATTACTTACTTATATGCAATTTACTCACTTGTATGTGATCTACTCACTTGTGTGTGATTTACTTGTGTGATATACTCACTAGTATTACTTACTTGTATGCAAGTTACTCACTTGTATGTGATCTACTCACTTGTGTGTGATTTACTTGTGTGATATACTCACTAGTATTACTTACTTGGTATGCAATTTACTCACTTGTATGTGATCTACTCACTTGTGTGTGATTTACTTGTGTGATATACTCACTAGTATTACTTACTTGGTATGCAATTTACTCACTTGTATGTGATCTACTCACTTGTGTGTGATTTACTCACTTGTGTGTGATTTACTTGTGTGATATACTCACTAGTATTTTTTCTTACTTGTATATGATTTACTTACTTGTATGCAATCTACTCACTGTGTGTGATTTACCTGTGTAATATACATTTTTTGTACGAAAGACAAAGCCTTATCAAATCGTGTCTGCTGTTCTGGATTCCTTACTTTCTGCAACTGATATATCTGCATTTCTTGATCAGTAAAACATGTTTAATCTGAATGTAACTGGAACTGGCCAAAAGTGTTCAGATTAGCATGTGTTTATGGTATACATTTCAAGTTTCTTTAACAGTACATAGTATTCTATGGCAGATTAAGGAATATAATCGAAAAAGAGCATTCATATTGAGGTGTTTTCAGATTAATGAAGTGTTCGGATATACAGGTTCCACTGTAGTCTATTACTCTTCCTAAAATGTATATGCCAGCTTGATAAATTGACACTTGTAATGTCCAGAATTTGTAGTGTAAACCAAGGCATTACTTTGGTAAGATAGAATAAGTTTATGTCCCTTCTGAGCATAAAAAGTTATTTTACACCCAAGATAATGTCCTTGTTATTGGGTCAGGTGATTAATATCAGACCAGCAGTAGGTAGAAATGTCCTATCAAAAGTGTTTATTTAGTGCTAATTGTCTTTAATATTTGACCAAACTGTCCAATTTTCTGGCATCTTTGTATAATTAAGAAGACCAACATAAAATGTCTTGCACTTTTGTTCATGAAATGTAGGTTTTTGTACTGTGTTGCTTTTTAAATATGATGTTCCTTTACTTTATTTACAGTTTAGTTTTCTATGTTAGTGCAGACCATTGCCTCATTTATAACTTCAAGCATTCGTCAAGGATATTTTCCCCATCATTTGTTTTAGATTTTAATTGATGTGGTTCAATTAATGAGCTTAGAATGAAATTTTCTGGATAATTGTATTTTGGGATAATTGCTTGATGCTCTAGTTACTAGCTTTTTGGTTTAAGTGAGTGAACCTAAACTGTTTGAAGATGCTAGTAGTAATGGGAGATATTATTGTAGTCATATTCTAAGGGACCGTTGCTGGCACTAACCATTTTGTATTCTAAGTATGTTTCCTGATATTGTCTAATGCTATAAGCCTCCTGAGGGTTAAGTAGATAGGGGAGGGGTCCAGATAGATTTTACAACTTTCCATTTTTAGAGATTCTGAGAATAATATGTTAATGGTATATACCTAAAATGTTGGAAAAAAGATGGCTAAAGATAGTGTTCACTTTACAGAGGTGTTCATAGATATATGTACATTGTACAAAGGTTTTGCCATTGAGCTTGTAATATGTACTTTGAGATTCTTCTGAAAATCAAGTTGATGAATCAATCAACTTCTCTTGACTTTTTTTATCCAACCACTCTTAACTATCAGGTTATAACATAAACACTCTGAACTGCATACAGGACTCCTAGAACACATGTACATGTATCAGTAAAACCAGTACCTTTCTTCTTTGATATCCTTGCAAAAGTTAACATTTCAAAATGATCACATTCCTTGCAAAATCATTATCTTAACACGTCTTATTGACTATTATTGGGACTGCTTACCCTGCATGCAGAGTCTAGTTAAACTACACTCTGCCTAGTAGAGACCATATTACAGTTAAGTAGCCCCGCCCCCACGACGGGTACCGGTGACAGTTTGGGTAATAAATCACTTTTGACATACGCGCTGACCTTTTTAACACCAATCAGCAAGCTTGAAGAAACATACGCCAAATGCGTTCTATGCGCATGTCATTGGTCAAATCCGGGCTCAACGATGACGTCAGAAGGAATGACCATATATAGAATGTCGGTCAAATTTGGCCGACGAACACTGATTGGCGCGCTGAGTTCACAGGTTTATTTTAGTTTGAAAGAGTGAAGACGAAGCTCTCTTTTGAGAAGTGAAGTCAAACGAATGCAAAGGGTAGGGACTGCTTAATGTGAACACTTCTCAACAGGAATACTTTTAACATTGTTCATTCTGCCCATAATTTGTGTTCATCTACAGAATTTGGTCAAAAATCATTATCATGTAAAACCACAGTATTTCCAGTTCTCTCCATATGTTTGACATAGGACATTGACAGTTTAAATTCCTGATATAAACATTTGTCACAAATAGTCACTTATTATCAACATATATAAACTTCCCTATTGATATAATAAATATACAGTGAACATATAAAATAGGAAAAGATTAAGATTTTTGTGGTGTGACTAAGAATTAGGATGGACTTGATCGTATTACCTTAGTGGTCAATGTAGCAAGAATGTTAATCCAGGGAGGGATGGTTTTATAAACTGGTCAGTAGTCATGCTTGTATGTCACAGTCTTGTAAAAGTGTAAGACTTGAATTTGTAATACTTTTAAACAGGAATTTTTTTATTCAAGATTTGGTCGTTTTTAGCAGTATCGTCTAAGAATCATGCCACATGGCTATTATAACATTTCATATATGTTTTAACAAAACATACCATAGTAGAATTTATCTTTTTACATTATTCACATGGTTGGAGTTCTTAAATATATGTTGGTTCAACAGAAACTACATATTATATGCATGAATATATGTATAATAATATATATAATATATATGTGATTGCTTTCATTATAATACGATCAATGGGATCAGCTTTTCCTTACTTGGTTTTAAATAGGATTTTAGTCATGAATGCGTATTAGTATTTCCTTCAATATACATATATTGGATCAAACTTTTTCTCACTAAATACTTTACATATAAGGAAGGATGCTAGTATGATAACTTTAAAGAAGAAATTGAGGTTCTGGTTCTAAATCATGCATATGTGAAGAAATAACAGAATATAACATGATGGAAACTGATATAATAACTGTAATTTATACTTAAAAGTTATTATAATAATTAAAAAAGTCTTCTCCCTCACTATTTGTCCAAATGGGCATAAACTGTATCTTTATTATTGATTGTTCCACCCGTTGACCTTCTACTAAATGTGATATTTATTCACAGGTTTATACAAGTATGTATACATACATATGAATCAATTTGAGCAATTATTTCAATTGTAGATATTGGATTACTCAACATTATTCTGGTCTTAAATCTTATACTAAATTCAAATGTTATCCTCCTGCCAAATACTAGAAAAATATTAATTCAGTTGTAAATATTTAAAGCAAGTTTAAGGTAAAATTGAGCTTTATTCTTTATGTAAACAATGACTGAGAAATTCACTTAAATATAAGCTTGATTTAAATGTTGATATACCTAGGTACTTTTAACCCTGTGAGAAACTTCAAACATTTTTAGTGAAAATAAAACATGAATAGAAAATGTGACTAATGAATGAGTGTGTGGTATTTATCCTCCCAAATGGAGTAATTTTTTGGTTGAGTTCAGAAGAATAGACATTTATATATCATATATTTGTCATAAGGCAAGAATGTTTTGATTCTGAAGTACTTAAATGTTTGATAAAGAATATTGAACTAGTTAAAGAAATTTGACACCACAGACAGTTTTATGTACGTATTGATCCTACTCGAAAATCAGCTGTTTGAACAAAATATAAAAACCCATAATGTAAATACAATGTAGCCCTTGAAAATGTTTGTTTATTTCAGGGTCTATTATCAAAACATGAGTTTTCATGAGAGGTAATAAACAAATTATCCAATTATCTAAACAAATATCTCTATAACTGTAGAATCATAATGAAATCTTTACAAAAAGTCATTGTTTTGTTAAGGTAATCGATTTTGGAAAAGCCATAAATATGAGTTTTGACGATTCTCCTTTTTCAGGACTGTGTCTGATTTAACTAAACATAATTATATATGTTTTTCAGGAGCCCCTCCTCGTTCTATAGAATATCCACTAGGGGGCGATACCACTCATGTCGGGAATCGGCACTTCCTGTTATGTATCAGTGACGGATCAGCATTCCCAGCGCCAGTTTATAGGTGGAAGAAGGATAATGTATTTATAACAGAAAATAGTACAGATAGGACATTAAAGTTAGAGAATATTCAACGTAACGATGCAGGGTTATATCAGTGCCTTGCTGCTAACCAGTTTGGTGCAGTGCTCAGTCGAACATCCAAAGTTGGCGTCACTTGTGAGTACTTATTTGAAACACTTATTATTCTAATAGTATCTTGTATTGTCCACCTTGTAATGGTTGGCCACCCTATAGTTGAATTTGGCACAAAAAATAAGTACTTAAATCACTTATTATTCTAGCATCTTGTATTGGCCACCTTGTAATAGTTGGCCACCCTGTACTTGAAGTGGCAAAAAATATAATCATTGACAATTTTATTTCATGTTGGAATACTTATCAACTGTTTCATAGTATTTGTAGGTTTTGATAATATGTTAACACTCAGTTCAAGGGGGTTTCTTTGTATAAAAGTCCTCTTCAAGGTACAAGTGAAAAATACCTGAAGGGTTCTCACATCTTGTAACATAATAGGTACAAGAAAGCTATTTCCAATGTTCAAATGTATTTTATTGCTGTCATTATACAGTCTAGAGGAGGTTCATTTACAAAAGCACTCGCTTTTAGACTTTTTTATTGTAATTTGATTGAGAATGTATTTATCTTAAGTGATGTTCAATAATTATCTTGTGCAATATAACATGCCTCTTTCAATTTCTTATTATCATGTATCGGATATGTCAACATATTAATGCACTCCAGGCTATTGGTATCAGATAAAATCCATATCTAGCACCCTGTCAGTTGTTTGATGCACCATTATACCTTTGACATTTCGACAGTAATTATAGATTTTGATTTAACTTTTTAATTTTCTTGCCAATATAGCTGATTTCGTACTCTTTGCATCCATTGACTTCGCCTCTTAAAAGAGAGCTTCATCAATAGTATAACTAGACTCTGCAGGCAGGGTACTGATGAAATGAATATTTTGGGTCATCTGTGACTCATCTTGATTTGAATTCTACATCGATAAAACCAAGACATTTCTTAAGTAGAAACATCAGAGGGTAGACAGGAGATTGATCTCTATTACCTGACTTGCATACTCCAGATTATTACATTGCCTAGATGGTGTTAATGTCTCTAATTGATTCTGCTGATGTGTTAAATGATTCCTACAATGAATTCAGGCAAATAACATCATCCTTCTTCAAAGGACTTCATTTATGCTTAAAATTAGTGAAATACCCTTGGACCAAGGATGATAAACATGTCCAAGTATTTCTAATTTCTATTGTAATGATATAGTTCAAGATGGTGAAGTCTTGCTTCAGGTACTTATGCATTCCCTTCTACCATATATACCTGAAGTTATGTAGATAGAAATGGGTTTCTGAGACATGATAAAAGATTATATGATCATACCAAACAGCAGAGATTCAATTAATGAATTAGATCTTATTCAGACCATACCCCTCTACTGTTGATGATCTCATCTCAATGTTATAGTACCCAGAGCATTCTGAGTTATCAAACCCTGTCTTTGGTACCAGTAATGAGTGAAAACACAAGAGTTGTATATCGGACAGAGTACTCCTGTGGTGGTATTCATCCCAATTCTGGTAATCCAGATATTTTTTGTGTTACACGTTTTTCTGTGAGATCTGTATTGAAATCAGCTGGAGTAAGAAACCAAATACAGATTCGTGTTTTCCCACTGCTTGGATATAATATCCAAGCATAGTTTAGATTGTAAAACTCAATTAGGGCAAAATAGATTAACCTTGTATAAAGAAATAAGTTTTCAATTGCTATAGTCAACAGTAACACTCCAAATGTTTAGCAAAAATCTGACATTCATTTGAATTTCATTGATGTATTCTGTTGACTGAGCGAAAATATAAATGGTTTAACAGCCTTGATGGCACTGATCATGTTCTACCAAATAGTATCACATAACACAACTAACCTACAAGCCAATGTTGATTTTATGCCAATTTCCAACAGAAATATGAATGGTTCTCCTGATTTTCTGTCATTTCTAGAGATTTCTGACATATGGAGTGCTTTCTTATATCCCGTATATTCATTAACTCAATTTATAAAGACATACTCCATTCAAACTCTTATTATGTATCCTAAAACATGAAGCTTGTGTCACATTATCCATGGGTGTTATGTTGAAAAAGAGTTGATAACCTACTTTTTTCTACTACTCACTTCTATACTCTCTTATATAATTCTATAGATCTCCAGCACCCTCTCTATCTTTTTCCGAACCCAGTATTTGATAGATAATAGATGTGGGGATATTCAAGACCTTGATTCAAGATGGAAGCATGAGTGAATAAAAAAATAATAATATAAAGCAATCCACGGTAGTTCAAAAAGCTACAAAACAATCCCATTTAGAAAATCAATCTCAAATGAATATTTATATACTAGGCATGGGATCTTGTTTATATTCTTTGGTTATAATTTTGTGACTCAAACGTAAAGGATTATAGTAAAAGCTGATTCTCTGATATAGCAATACTGAAAACTGTTCACATAACTTTTATTTTCATTCCAGTCACTGGTCAATTATAGATTTATCTAAAAAACAACAAAATTAGAATACATTATTTCCAGTCATTCAGAGTTCATGTGGGAGGTCAGCACTTAGTCACAATTCTACTAAATATTAGTCATTATACACTAATCCTCACTATTAAGGATTAACATTAATCTCTAATAGATAAATAATGACAGAAATGTAATTATCCTGGAATAAGAGAGAATTCATCATCATATATCACACCTGGATTTGTCACTTTATCTCTGTAGAGAGCTTGAGTTTGTATGAACCTTTTGTTTTGTACAGCTTCTATGGTTAATTCTTCCAGTTTCATTGAATTTGTATATAGCATATTGACCATACATGTAGAGTGATCAATATAAGCATTCCAAGTGTCTGAACATATTGTTATGTTATTGGTGATCTTTTGTGGAGTAGAACTTGAGATGTTGATGTGATACTTTGGTAATTTGTAGAATATGCTATGCATCAGAACCTGAATATTATTAAATCTGGTTAATGAAAACACAGAATTGAATTCCGTGTTAAGGGCTAACCTGAAAAAGTCAGTCAACCCCAGTAGAAATCCCAGTCAACCCCAGTAGAAATCCCAGTCAACCCTAGTAGAAATCCCAGTCATCCCCAGTAGAAATCCCAGTCAACCCCAGTAGAAATCCCAGTCAACCTCAGTAGAAATAACTACTGTAATCTTAATCTTGATAATCTTGCATCAAGGCCTTGTATAATATACACCTTCTTCCTCTATTCTACATAAGGGAAATAGTCGTGGAGGCTTGATACAAGACTTTTTGGTTTAGCCATTGTTTCTGTAAAAATATTCATCCATAATATTTCGGATATAGGAATTTTCTAGCTTTCATCAGATCTTTTTCTATAGGCAATAGACAAGACGCTAAGAGGCTCAATGCAAGACTATTATCTTTGTAAAACCCAGTATTTTTCTGTAAAATGTTTTATAGACAAACATGTTTCTGATGCAGAGTAGAATAAATTTTCCAGCTTGACTTTGATGTTAGGAAACCAAGAAATCATCAGCCTCCATTGGGACTTCATTTCAATAACACATCTTCATTAGAATACATTACATGGTTTTACAAGACTGCTCTGACCTGATAAATGACTCCAGCAATTTTTCAATAACATGCAATAGATCGTTCCAAACAATAGAGTTCAATACCTTTGTTAACAACCATTTTACATTTTTTGATTATTCTATAATGTCCTTTGCCTTTAGCGCACTAACCTCATAGACTCATTGACTCCCATATCCCATATCAATATAATGCTTCTTGTAGTAGTAGAGTATTCCAATAGTTCAATTGATTCTTTCAGAAATGTTGTTCATTTAAGTTTGCACCTTTTCTCATATAATCCTCCTTTGTACCTACATCTTTTTGTGCCATTATAGTTGTGTTGAGGTTCTTTTATAAATGTAGTAGCGAGGGAGGGGGTTTGCAATCGATCTAAGCAAGACTATTTTCATGAATTTCAAAATATTTATTACTTTATGTTATATTTATATGATTATTAATGTATTTTTAGATATATTCCCATTCTCCAATCCCGGAGCTGGTTCTGAAATCAGCGTCGACCAAGGACAGGCTGCCGTCATTGAGATGCCACCTATTGACTGTTTCCCGGAACCCTGGGTAGAATGGTTCGATCAGAATATACTCGTGCAGAACTCTTTAGAATCTCATCGCTATCACGTCACGTTAAACCACAAGCTTGTTATCCTCGGCACTGATTTGGATAAAGATAATGGGAAATTGTTTAAAGTTACCGCCACAAACAAATTCACGTCGGGAAGTGATAGTAAAACGTTCACGCTACGAGTGCAAAGTGAGTAGACTAGTATTTTTTGTGGTGACACGTAATATCATCGTTGTTTCATTTGATTATTTTGCCATATACATTTTCATTATCATATAATTTGCTTTGACCTGTCATTGCATTTCTCTCATCGATATACTAATATTAATGTAATATCGTGAGATGTATATATTTTGAGAAATTATGATCAGTTCTGCTTTTGGTGTTTTTATACTTTGCGCCAGACTGTTTTCCAACTGAATCATTTCTAGTAAATTCATTTTTTCATTCTGTAAATCTGTTTTATTGTTTTTGTTGCCTGTTTAGATGTGGAAGGTAGGTGTTGTGCCTTGTGACATTCTTTTAGACCTCTACATTGAGAAAGGGTTGATAGGGCTGATACAAGATTTGGATAATAAAGATCCATGCAGTCAACTGGGCAACCTCCTATCACAGGGCTTCAAAATCCAGAATATATTATTTCTTTTTACCCCCTGCGATAAGCAGTTAGCTTTTCCCCAATTAAGAACTCGCAATCTGATTGGACGTGGCAACACTGTGACAAAAATCATATATAAGTCATTGCGCATAATTGGATCACGTGATTCAGTTTAATCGGGCAATTCAAAATTGGTTATAGCAGGGGGAAGAAGGAGGTACGGATTCTGGACACCTGCTTAGGAGGATGTCAACTGGGATAAAGTACTATGTATGATTTGAAATATGGCTCTTTTTGAAATTTGGGATTAAGTCCCTCAGAATTCAAAGATCTATCTCCGGAGGTGCACTTATCATGATAATTCACAATAATAAAAAATTTTCTTGGATATAATCATCGGTAAATCATCTAAAAAAATAAATGATTTGGGATAAAGAACACAAGAATCATTAGTAGAATCATTGACTAGGATCTGACTCAATAATTTGGAATACACTCCTATCAATCCGTCTCATAGTTTGAATATTGGTAAGCTTTCATTACACAATTTTGTCACACTTGCAAATGATATCACGTAATTAACAAGAATATGTTTTGGGTTAGTTGGGATTAGTTTATAAATGTTGTATTGATGTGCTTCACTGTCGTGCTTTACTGAGATCTAGCCTCGTGTTGCTTTAATATGGCACATTGATGTGTCTCGTTGATGTGTCACTCTTGTAGTATTGATGTGTCAATATGACACTTGATCTTTACTTTATTTTCAGTAAAAATGTAGGGTGTAATAACATTGATAATGTAGCAATTTTATGTAATTTCGAGAACAAATAACATAAAACTGCCTCATCTAAGAGTCGAAAATCACTTGAATTTTATTATTAGTTCTGTGTAAATGTGTGTTTTTGACATGTAGATAATAAGTCACTGTATTATTATGTAGCCTGTACTTTTTCACCACAAAAATAGCCTAAGATACTCTTATCTCTTTAAAGAACTTTGAATTATTTAGGTACAGAATGCTCCTGGATATTAACCAACATTATCGCTTTGAGTAGAACACAGTTTCTCTTATTTATATGTATAACGTTGAATATTCAGCTTTTCTTGAATAATTTAATCTGTTGTCAACATTACATTTCTTTTTACCATTTTGTCAATTTTACCCTTTCACCCTATATTGCATTTGAATACATAATCACCATCCAAGCATTTTATTCAAGGGATATTCAAAGAGTAACTAGTGTTATGCAAGGGTAAAAACTACTTGAGTTTGGCCTTATCGGTTTCCCCAGGTGCCAGGTCAGATTAACTCCTGACAAGATTAACCACGTCGCTATAGAATGAATTCCGCTACTATTTTCACAATTGTATTGATATTTAGTGTCAAATACACATATCTTGGTATATTTGAAGTCCCAAAACGGCTTAGTTTCAGAAATATCCCAAATTTAAATTCAAAAATGACCGTTAGCTCCGCACCCTCCGCTCATTTGCTCCGCACCCAATATTTCCCACAGGCTCTGTCTGCATAGGGTGAATAAGCTATTTCCCTATGAATTAAAATCTTTGTTACTACCTGCTGTATGGTGTATTTAAGTGAAGTTTTACCGCCTACATTTTCAAATTTTCTTTTTTGTTTTGATCGACCTCCTGCTCTCGAATTAGGTCTCGGTGCCCCTCGAGATTTACCCTCGAGATTTACTGAGTATTTTCAATGGCTGCCCGGAAATAACAACAGAAATCATAGTTTTATGTCTATTTATTGCTTATTCGTCAAAGTCTGATACTTAAACATGGTTTACCTGTAAGTTAGATATAAAACATACAACTGAGGATGCCTATTGTGCATCGTATTGCTAATTACAAGCCTAGAAACTCTAAAATTCAGACGGATTTTCTTCAAAATTTCTTTCATTTTTCGAATATCATTGGACCCGACAATGTCGATATCGTTGACGATCGAGAGCTCCGACATGTCGACATTAAAATCCTATTCGATGCCAGCTCTGGCTCGTAGCTAGACTAGGGAAGGAGAGTCATTTCCCCCATTTGAATTTACAAAAATCATCATCACTTTTGATATTTTGACCACTTTTCTTCGTCCAAGAAAAATTCTTCATTATATTGATGCGCTTACACACACATTGCATGCACATACATTTATCTATTTTAGAACCCTCGCTCAAAATAGATGTTGCTTATACTTATTCAAATATTATATTTCCCTAAAATCATTACATTGCCTAATTTTCTGAGCATATTTTTTATTGCTTACTACAATCAAAGTAATGTTATTCTGTAAAAATGATATTATTCCTTGGTAGTTCCAATTCTTTCCATGTTACATTATTTCTCTGTGACCATTTCATTTTTGGGATTCTCTGATGGTATGCTATTATTTAGGCCATTATGACCAGGTGTTGCAACTAAGGGCATCCCTCAGGTGAAGAGAACAATGAAAAATTGTGAGTTGGTAAACCTGAAATCAGCACGCGTTTTTTTTTGATTTATGAGAGATTTGGCCAACTCCAGTTGTACTTAGCTATAGGTTAAATACTATCAATACACTGTTATATTCTGAGTCATACACGTCTTGAGTGACAAAAATGATAAAGTCACTGTCGAAATGAAAATGCCACTGTCTTAGAAAAATATGAGATTAAAAGTCTCATACTAATCATAAGAAGTGTTATTCTGTTATTCTGATACTCATTGCATCTCCTTTCTTGAATGGATGTATCAAAATCCAGAGATTGCCCTGGTAATTCATGATGAAGAAGTGATAGGAATTTGGCTATGTAAGCTGAAATTCTCATATTGAGTCATACTTCATATGACAGCAGAAAACCCTGTACTGATGGAGACAAACCAAATCAAATTTTTGTCTTGCAAAATGAAATATTCTTCGATCTTGATCAGTTCATTACTCATCCATCATGTCCATATTTGATGCTATCTGGAATCTATCAAATAATCAACTTCATTATTAAACCTTGTGCTATTTCTCAAGTGACCTCTGATCCATTTTCCATTTATTCTTGAAATGTCTGGCTTAACCTTGAAACTCCAATATCTGAAGGTGATTAAATGTCAGAATGCATGAATAATGGAGCCACCAGCCAAATTCCTATTACCCAACATTGAACTAGATACATGTGTTATATGTATTTTCTTTTTCTGTCACATAACTTATTGTCTATTGACTCCTGAAGGAGAGGCCTCCCTGAAGGAGATGACTAATTGCAGTTTTTGATATATTTTTACTCAATTTTGACCAGTATTAACAATTAGCAAGATAACCAAATGATACTTCATATAATTTTAAAAATTACACATAAAAGAATAAATTTGTTTTGCTCGTCTGCCTCAAAGTTATTCATATTAACCAGGTTCTATCATACTTTTCACTTCTACAGCGTCGACTAACTCAGGAAAAGAACAAGTACATATACTCTAAAAGGTTTTAGAGAGACTCTGAAAAATCAGAATGGGTTTCATTGTATTTCATACCATTGGCAATTGAGTTCTACTGTAGAGATAACTTGATTGACTTCTGAATCTGGCTGATTGCTAAACCAGTGTATCTTCTGGTAAAGTAATTTGCTGGAGTCACGCCTCATCATTTCATTAAGTAGAGACTTAAAGAGGATCAGGAGATAATAATAAGGCCTGATGCTCTGATGTGATCTCCAAGTACTGTGCATGTATAATATGGATTTTCAAGTAAAATTAAACATTAAAGAGGATTTACTTTTACTGACCGAAAATGAGCATTTTTGACATTCGATTGTACTTCATTGATACAACATTGTACATACATTGTAGTTTATCAAAGGACACGGAGGGATCATAAAATTAAAAAACACAAAATCCACATGTACTATAGCATTAATATATTGAATGGTATTGTAGAGCCTTTCCATTTTATCAAGTATTTTACCAGATATAACTTAGGTAACAATCAAATAGCAGTAATTGATATAACCCAGTTTAATCCCTGTATCCTCTTTATATACAACTGCTGGTAAGACACATACTAAACCAGTGTATTCCTTCAGTCATATGTAATACCTTGATGGATCAAGATGGGAAAGACAAGCCTTATATAATTTAGATGCACCATATATAGCTGTACAGTAATGGGTGATTGAAAAACAATTTCCTGGTTTTAAGTGCCACTTGCTTCCACTTTCCCAAACACTCCTTCCCAGTCACTTATGAAAACATTCCACCCTCAAACATTCCAGTGTTGATATCTTGTCTCTAAAGCTAAGGTAGGGGGTTGCCCTAGTTACCATTATGAGGAATGTTCAACAGTGTCATCTCATTCCTTGTTATGGTAATACAGATGTATTGATGGATATCAGAGTGATGAGCAGAGATCATATATTTATGTAGCCTTGAGAATTACACATGAATTCATCTTTTGAAGGTGACAAAGTTGATCCTCAACAGCCCCATAAGAAGGCCAAATCATTGATGGGTTCCCATTGAGATGGAGGTCAAAATCAATATATAATATGGTATGGTTTTGCCTGTAACAAAAAGAGCAACATTTAAGTATAATAACATATAAGTTGATAAAGCAAAAAATCCTTGTTAGTCTTGCTACAAACCCTTGTGACCCCCCCCCCCCTAAATACCTCTCCACAAGAAGTGTGAGAAGGTGTGTAGTCTAATAGAGGAGGGGTCATAGTCTTGGAGCAAGATTCATCCTTGTTGGTATTTGAAAAAACTAAGATTGTCCTTTATATTTTCACAACTGGCTGATCATATATCTGATTACTAATATCTGTTATGTTTCTTGAAATGAGAATCTGAAACTCTAGACAGTTTTAAGATCTTTGTTATACTTCTTCTGGTTTTGCTTTTGTTTCACTAATTAGTTTTTATTGGAATATAAACTAAATAAGTGTTTTATCAGATGTCACTTTTTATAGGAGTCCACTTCTTGTACGTTGTATTTAGTGATTTTTACTTGAGTTTAATGAGATTCAATAAACAGGAGATTAATCAAGTACAGTTTTTGTACAGTTAGGAATTTATTCATGTTATGAATTTAATATCATAAAAAATTCCCTATTTTCATAGATAACCTGGCCGGTGGTTTCTGATATCAATGAATCGCATGTCAAAGTGTCATTTTGCATCCAAAAATGTCAAAAGCTATTCATTAGCTATCAAAGCCATTTTGAAGCCTGGTCATTCTTTGGTACTGAAACAAACAGTAAAACCTTTTTCATGTGAAAAATGTTGTTCCATTGGTAAACTTGATAAGAATTCTTGAATGGGTTGGGATCTATGCTCCCTCCCGACTACTTACCCCTTGTCCATCCTCCCTGGCCAACCTCCAGGAGGGTCCAGGTAGCATGGTGAGAGGATCTTCTCTTGTGACCTACTTTAATTTGAAAACTTTCCTCCGGTAGATACTTACAATCACAAGAGTTGAAACAAACATGTATTCAAACTCCTCTCTGGTGATTTAATGAAGGATATCATTCATTATCATTTTTTTTATTTTGACAAGAATAAAAAGAAAACTGTCATTTTTATGTACTTCCTTAATAAAGTCTTGTAATTTGATATCATAGTTTAATTTGATTAAAATCAGAAAATGTTATACCTATGAGCGTATTTTTGTGGGAAATTAAACAATTAAACAGGAAAAATATTAATTCACTTATGCAGGATATCCCTTACAGACAACAAGTACAGATAAGAAATGTCAGATGTTGGCATTCAGGAAAAAAACACACTTGCTGATAAAAAATGACAAACTTGCCTTCTGTTATGACAAGTGTGTGAAAGGTGTAATTTAAACCTTGTGTTGTATGTATAACCTTAAAGTGAGAAAAAACATTAATAATATTTTACTATTTGGGACATGTGGTTACAGTTGGTGTACTTGAATACTGCGACTGTGAAGTAGACAGATTCCATGCTTTAGATATTCATTTGGTCATGCTAATTTCATGTAATTTCTCTCTGATTTGTACACATTTTAATGAATAACATCAAGCTTGTTAATTTATCACTCTTTTTCATTGTGTTTCACATTTAAAAAGATTGTCAGTGATTTTGTATATTACATTCTACATGAATGTAGGCTCGTCATTGCAAGAAATACATTAGAAAACTATAGAGCATCCATATATATTTTTTATTATTCAATGGATCCGCCATATTAAGTTAAAATGATGAAAACACAGAAGACCTTTATATGTCCATATTTTATGTTCACCCTTATGTGTCTATATTTCATATGTAAACCCTTGTGTGTCTGTTTTTCACATTTTAGCCCTTGTGTGTCTGTATTTCATATGTTAACTTTTGTGTAAATATTTCATGTGTTAACCCTTGTGTTTGTATTTCAGATGTTGGTAGCCTTGTGTCCCGCATTCCTCCCCAGATCATCATTCCACCAGTTGATACTACAGGTGTTCAGTCTCTTGGGGGAGGGGATAGTCCCGTGCGCTTGGAGTGTATTGCAAATGCAAGGTATGTGAAATAGCGCTTGACCACCCAAAAAATTGTTCATTGTTAGACTTAAGATCTTTGTCAAGTCGGTACCCATAAAAGATATTTTTTCTAATGAATTAGCTAACCTTTTAAAATCATATTCATGTGCTTATTTTAATACCTAAAAGAAATATTACAAATGCATTATATTCATATGCTCTTTGATTGTTGTTATACTACATTTTCTATTTTACAGACCTTTGAATTATCTCGAGATCTTGTGGTTCAGAAAGACCGGCTCTGAGAAAACTGCCATCAATGACAACATATCGAAATATATCCTTACCTCAAGGAATCGCACGCTGACAATCAAGGATCCCTTGACTTCAGATAGTGGCTTGTATACCTGTGAAGCTCACCTTAACATTCCTGGGAGTCCAGGACTGTATAACCCTGCCTCAGCAACACTCAATCTTACCATACATTGTAAGTACAATAGAGCTGAGATGTTTGTATGTAGGGGAAGGGGGGGGTTTATGATTCACCCCACTTAACTTGATTGTGTCATTAGGAGAGAATGTGTTTTATTTGACCATTTTCACCCTATTGAACTAGATTGTGTTCATTAAACTAAGTAGAGAATGAAAGACTTCGGAGTTTTTGTTTGGCCATTTTCACATTTCCACTTAGATTATTTTTCATTATTAATGTGATTATAGTGGTCCCTCGCTTCAATACCTACTTACCAAGCGAGCTGAGAACTGACTTTGGAGACAGGATAGAGATCCCCTGCGATACAACGGGAATCCCCACACCAACAATCACATGGTATAAAAATGGAAAGAAAGTTGCAGATTTAAATGAACCAAGGTAAGGCATGCTTTAAGTAATTGTGGACATTAATCATCTTATAATGTCAAAGATTAAAGTTGTAGTACAATCATATGTTTTTTTTTTGTTTTTTATAGAGTGTCTGTCCATATACATAAAAAACTAAAAAGCTTTGAGTTTATTCCTTTTCAATACGAATGAAGTATCTTGGGAAAATGATTTTTGACCAGGAATCAGATGATGGTCAATTTTTCATATTTTAGGTATACACCACAACCCTCTGGGAGTTTAGTTATCACGGATGCAGCCACTGAAGATTCTGGGATGTTTCAGTGTTTTGCGTCAAATCCTGCGGGATCTGTCGATGGAGCATCTTGGATTAGAGTTATCAGTAAGTACTATAGTATGTATTAAACACATATTTAGGCCCCAAGTAAGAAAAGAGGATGAAATCAATTAAATGGAGACTCCTCAGCAATTAAATACAATGTACTGATAATACCAGCATATTATTGTCTGCATGTTCTTATCCTTTTTTGTTGAACTTAAGTGTCATCAGAGATAAATAATCCCAAAAACATGCAAAATCAATCCGTGTCACGGGTCCTTTAATATCCGAAGTCTAACACTTTGTCCAAATTTTTGAACAAAAATTTTCTCAAATCGTTTAACTCAATAAAATGAATTCAAGATAAATTAGCTTATCATATAAAAGAGCAAATGCAAGAAAGAATCACCCAAGTCAGCCAAGTTCCAAAAAGGGTTAAGTCATAATATGATGAAATATTATGTATGAAATATTTCCATGCTGGTTTTTAACCTTGTTCAACATGAGTTCTACATGATGAGTGCCATGTGTTCTTCTGTGTTTTCATCATTAACATTGTTGTTATATTTATCATTAAATCAATAAAGTGAGGAGTACATGCATTTTGTCACTATTAAAACAACTGTTCATGAATGAAACAAAGAAACTCATCAATATACACACACGTGTGAAAACCATATAAATTATATGAATATATTTCAATACAATTTGCAGGATTGCTTTTTTGATAAAATATTGATGTAAATTATAGCTAGATATATTTATCCCTGTGTATAGCCTCATAACACAGAAATTGATATTGATATTGAAATTGATATTCTCACAGTTACAATTTTACTAACTGATAAGGAAAAGGAAATACAATATCGACATTAATCAGCAAAACTGGTATACATGTATTTCAAATCATAGATACAATAATATCTATAAACATATGGATTTTTTATTATTTTTTGGTATGTCATTCCTTTAACACTTTCATTTCCGCATAATCAAATGTGAACTAGTTTTGTTAAGTAGTATGATTGAACAATTTTCCCAAAAATTAATTCAGACAGAAGATGAATGAGGTCACGCCGACATAAATCAGGATACATCAGTTCATTAAGTGAGTCAGCGAGTTAATTCAAATATCTTGGGATGAAGTAGCATGATTTAAAAGACATTCATAAAACCAATCCATGAAGCAGTTTACTAGGTCTTAGCATTATAACCTCCTAAAAATCCAAAATTATTTAATACTAATATTTCTGTAAATGTTAACAATAGGCTTATTGTAAAATTTTGATATTTGGTATTGTACATTTTTAAAAAGGAAATAAGGGTAGTTCAGTGCTGTAAAACCTACTCTGATATGCAAAATATAGTCAGTGCTAGATTGGAAGAATTCCTATATAATCACTCCAACCGAGAATAATATAGGTTTACACAGCTTGGTATGTTAAGCTAAACACAATACAATAATATCATTGGTTTATTTAATTGAAACAGCCAGTATTGTGCAACCTCCACTGTGCTTGTTGCATCATCCAATGATTTACCACCTACATTCGCTAATCAGTCCGATACTTATATGCCATCGGGTTATGTACATGATAGGATTATTATTAATTCCTACATATTGACTATTTTCGTGATCGATTTACTTGATTGATAACTTTTAACCTATAATACTATATATAACTTATAATTTGATAAGAGGCATTGGGAGAAGTAAAATAGGCCTCATTTTGTGGATAATTAGGAAAAATAAGTCTTGATTCTTGAAAAATTGTGTTCAGATGGCTGAATACTTGAAAAAGTGATAAACTTTTTTTGTGTTAACTACAGATTGTTACATATTCAGTGTATTATGTAACCACCACAAGTGGTGAGATATTGTTGAAGTCTCCAACTTTTTTTGTGGGTGGTGTTTGGCTATTGGTGTTCAGCATTTTATATCTGTAACAAATGGTATGTGGTGAGATTTTGGATTTTATGCCTTGTGATTTCTATAAGACAGTGGTCTCCACAGGATTTTTTCTCAAGTGGGTGCAAATTTCTCATTGTCACAATTCAAAACAAAATTGGCAAAAATATGCCTATGTTTCATGATTTTTCTCATTTTCAAGTGGGTGCATATGGATTTTCAGGTGGGTGCAAGCATGTTTTCAAAATCTCAGGTAGGTGCTGCGCAAACTTGCTTTAATTCTAGGGAGATCACTGGTATGTTATTAGGTAACATCCAAAAACTGTCTATTACAAGAGTCACAAAAAAAACATTCTAGCAATTTATTCCAAGAGAGACAAAAAACAAGAATTATTAATATCAATTTTCTGACTGAGATGGCAAATCAACAAATGAGGTGTCAACGCCTAATACTTCATCCCAATGAGAGCTCACCCAGGACTACAAATACATAGCCACGCATTGATAAATATTACAGGCCTCATGATAAACCAAGCAGATATGAGTTCTAGAATGAATAAATGCCATGTATTAGAATGCAAAATATTACATGTAATGTATCATGTTGAATCTGTGAGGAATATAGAGAGAAAAACAATTCCAATGTGCATAATTGTACCAGTTTACCTTTGGAGTATATTCTGTATTTGAAATCTTTCAATTACTGTATGCAGCATTTCTTTTAAGGGTTGCTAGAACAATGAACGACATAGATGGATTTATTTTATTTTATTGTAACGTTGATATACGATTATGAATCATAATTCCTTTGAGTATTTCCCTAATTTTACTAATGGCAAGTAATATTTATAAAAATATATCTGATTTTCTTAACTCTTTACAAAACAAGAGCAACATATTAAACAGCATGCACAAACAGTCAGATTAGAAAAACACAGCAAAACAATCCAGAACAGCTGAAACAAATAGGTAGCTCAAGTCTTAGAAGGTAGATAACTATCCAGGTGTATAAAGTTCATGATGATCTTAAGGTTATTATCAAAGGGATCATATCAATCATGTTAGACCAAAAAATAATTCTATTTTCATTTTGACTTCTCTCTCCTGTTTAAACATTACTAAACAATCATTTCCCCCAAAGTTTAATCTGAAGTCAGAAAAATCAATGTTACCTACAAAGTGAAACCTCGTAGTTGGGGATACAATACTTCAGCAAAATAATATGGTCCCTTTAGCACATCTTGAAGAGTCTAACAGTCTGAATACTCATTACACCATTTGGAAATGATCTAACAACACAACATTGCCTAAAACCAATTGTTATTCTACAAACCATATTCCCTCGACTATCTTAAAAGAACTTGAAGACTTATAAATCCCCGAGAGACATTTTAATTATCATCTCTAGAAAAATTTTGTTTTCTCAAGTGGTCTTATCTTTGCCACATGGACAAGTGCATCATATAATATGACATGAGTTATGAATTTTAACCCTAACTTAACAGACCTTTGCATTAAATATTGCATCCTTGGAGAATGTTGTGTCTTTATTAATGTTTTATTGTAAATCAAGCTGTATTTCGGTATCTTCTTTTTCTCAAACACAAAAAGTACCTTTTTGCATATTTCAATACAATTTGGGAATGCAAGTATTCATTAGGCTAATGCAGAAACAATATAAGATTAAATGTACATTCAAATACACTGCACTTTATTTGAGTACTAGTGTTGGTTATATTGAAACAATAGATTACATATAAATGAACTCGTATGATTTCATTAACAGTAATTTGTAATAACAATATTTCAACATAATATGATGAAAGCCATAATCTAATTAAGTTAATCAATTTAGTTTTAAATCATCATTCAATCAATATTGCTGCAATGTTACTTATATTTGGTCAACTTTGGTTGTTATGTCACCAACAAAAGTGGTGACAAATGGCAGGTGGTGATATTTTACATGTTAATGCCTTGTTTCATTTGCTCCATCTTAAATTGACAATTCCATGACACAAGAACAATACTGTAAAGCAATTGTATTACATCCCAAATATTACATAAATAAGTATTCATAAATATTTATTCATCTCAACCTAGCAAGTTCCATATTACCATACTGTATTTATTAGAAATAAAAGTCATTTAAGTGAATTCCCCAATCAATCACATTGAAATAAATACACAGTTCTCCACTCCATTCATACTAGTACTCATCACTTCCTTTTTCAGCTAAAAATTGACTGAGTAGAAATGGTGGTTTATATTGGTTTGAGATTCTTGTTCTATTAACTTATGATATCCAAAGTACATATCCCATCAAGGAGCACATAGATTGATGGTACCGTTGGGAGAGTATGGTATTAATGATGAATAATTTGAGATTTCTCTAGACTGTCATAAGCATAGAAGGAAGAAAGGGCAGCAATGAAGTAAAGGGGGGGGGGGGTACAGTTGTTACAAACATTCACTTTTTACTCACATCAACTCCCCCTGTTTCTACCTCACCCCCCCCCCCCACCTCATATTCCCCAATGCAGGAACTATTGTATGAGTTCAGAGAACAACAAATAATTGAATAACATTCTATTGCAAGCAAAATTGAGTCCCAAGTTACATATTCAAATAAGGCATTAGGAAGCAAATTACATTTACATTAATTTGCCTCCCTAAATTCCATTTGGCATGTCCTGTTTTAAGATGTTACAATAACATTGGTATTGGATCCAAGTGCTTTTATAATTAACTTACTGCCATTGATTTTAATCCCATTTCATATTCCGAAAACGTGCAAATAATGTGGAATTATAGATGATTGAAATGTCTAATAAATGTATCCATAATGTCAACACTATTGAGAGATTAAATGGAACTTGTTTTAAGTTAAGACAATAAGAGTTAGCAAGTAAACTGAATCATAACATTAAATTAAGAGATTAAATGGATTGAGCTCTTGTATCAGTATGCTTTATGTATCAAATGTGAATTGAAATCTTACTTGGAAATTTCCTCGGTATATTGGTGAAATATTTTCAGTATCATGGATAAACATCAAGATTTTCTCAGAGTTTATCCTATTTAACGATATGAGGTTCAAGATTTTGCATTATCCTATGGCAAATATCATATATCTGCCCAAGAGCCTGAGACTCTTCCCTGTGGCCAAGTTATAATCCAAGTTTATTCTTGTATTTTCAGGTTCGCCTCCAGAAATAACAGAGAAGCCATCAAATCTTTCCATTGTAGAAGGAAATGATGCTAGATTCCCTTGTAAAGTACAGGGTGCTCCAAAACCAACTGTAGTTTGGACCAGAGGTAAGGCATACTTATGAGACACTCTGTATGATCATAAAATAAAGTACCATTCTTTCTTGTCCCAGAATTTTGACTGATATAGCAGATAATTCAATATTCACATATTCTGAGAATTCTTAAAAAGTGGGTATACATGTTAACATTGTGGAAGGGTGAGTGCAACATCATCCAAGATTGATCATGAACTATTACATTGTTTCTCATTTAATAGTATTACACATGTCATTTAAATGTAAAATGAAATGAGTAATTGTCTAATGATGGTTGCCATGACATCATAACACCTGTATGTACTGAACAGTCATGATGGATACATGATGGGTTATGCAATACACGTACCTGTCATCATTGTAATTAGAGCACTATTAATTAACCTGGCATGTTGACATTACTGTCACTATTATTTATCCTTCAATATGTTTTTTATGTTGATGTGTTAGAAAGTCATTTGGAAACGCTTTTGTTTATGTATATTTATGGCACCATGTATAACAATGTGCTATACATTTTTTTTACTTACTAAAATTTTGTGTCTTCGGAAATGTTTCTCATATTAAATGAGATTAGATCAGAGATGCAAAGAATGAAAGTACCTTTTTTGTTATTAATCACTCATAATGATATAAAGGACTAAAAGGCCAAGAGTTATGGTACCATGGCACTTTTGAGTGGTGACATTGATTTCATAGATTTACACAAGTAATTTATTTGTCAATTTCTTGATATTTTTCTCATGTTTGAATCTATTTTAAGCCCATGCAAGCAAAGCTTGAGAAAACTGAATGATTTTATGAAAGTCTGCTTTAATCAGAACTGACAGATACATGGCCCCTTTTATGTAACAAGTGATCACACATGCTTTCTTCTTGATAACATCTCCTGCTGGTTGTGTCTATCAATTTGAAATTGAGTACAGAAGCATGGCACTTAGTACGAAATAAGGGAAACACATGCAAAGCCAGTGATAGATGAATAAATGCAAGGTGCTCACACGTTTTGAACCCACGACTTCATGGTTATGGTGCCAGCACCTAGATAAAGCTTCACACCAATGGCGCTTTGATGGCGCTTTAAAGTGCCGTGCAAAGCCGCTTTGCACATAGCTTTAAAGCGCTATCAACGTTGGTGTGAACTTAGCTTTAGTGTTTGAAATGTTTGAAAATGAGAAAATCAGTTTTAATAGAAATCATGTGGAATAATTTGAGTAGATTGACATTATAACACATGTTGCTCGGGGCATTGCTTTCAGCAAGTATGCAACTTCACTGATATCTGTCAAACCTGATTGAAGAGACCAAATGGCCCTATTCAGCTATTTAGTTCAAGAATTCGTGAACTAAAATTGAATTTTAAATGCTACATGCACTTATGAATGTTTTCATTTATGAATGTTTTATGAAAATATCATGTTTTTGTATCCTCTCCTAAACACTCTATTTTGTCTAAATGTAAATATATCAGTGACATATTTTTGTTATTGTTTATCCATAACAATACCCATGTTGACATTTTTCATGTTTTTGTCTATATAATTGTATCTCGAGAAAATGTAATATGTCACAAAGCTTCATTTGCTAATATGAAGAATTAGTTTCAAAACAAGTGTCTGTGACGCCATTTTTAAATTGAATAAATAAATTGGTTCCCAAATAATTTCCCAAACCCACCACAATGTTATATATGTTTAAATCCACACTCAGTTTTTGCTCTTCAATATTTACAGAGACATCAAGTGGCCTAGAAGTGATTCCAGAAGAAGGGATAGTTGGCCCATCAAGCACTGTTCGTATCCTTGACGATATCCTGCTCATTTCTACATCTGACGTGGAAGACTCTGGAAAATACACCTGCAATGCCACAAATACAAAAGGAAATGCCATCGCCTTTGCATATCTAGAAGTCTCAGGTGAGTTGTCTGTGGTATATTGCCAGAATGTTCTTACCTGTAAACATTGCTAAATTGTTGCTATGGTAACAGTGAGAGAACAAAAGGACAGAATTTGTAACTTAACAAACTCTTCTAGAAATGTACATTTGATGCTCATTCATTCAAGATATGTTATAAGAATAACAGATCAGACAGTTCTGTTCAAAGAAAAGAATGACATTTTCCTATTACATATTGTTATGTCTCCAACTTTTAGTCGACGTTGCTCCATGGTCAGCATCCGTTGTTTTGAGTTCACAGTCTGTAACAAATGACAGGTTGTGACTTTTGCATTTAAATGCCTTGTTTAAAGATTTGCTTGATACTTTCCATTGGCTCATTGAAGTATGATGACATTTGAAATATTTTTCAGTGAGAACCCGCATTACTCAACCCCCGCAAGACACCTCTGCCATAATGGGATCAACGACCATTTTGTCATGTGGTGTGTCACATGACCCAGATGTACAGATAACTATGAAATGGTTCCACAACAGTAGACAGCTGACAATCACCGATCCGACCAGTCGTATTTCAATGACACCAGAGGGCGGTTTGACAATACGCCAAGTACGAACTGATGATATTGGCGTGTATAGGTGTGAGGTGACGTCGCGAGGAGGAGATGATTCCCGACAAGCTAATCTACAAGTTATAGGTAGGTACTAGAAATATAGATAGAACATTGAACTCAGTTTGAAAGTTAGCTCAGAAAGAAATCAACTTACCATGGAGAACAGCACCCAAAGAAATGTCAGAAAATCCGGATTTTACTGGATGTTAAAGAGAAATGCATAGAATAAGCCATAACCAGAGACCATAACCTTTACCAATGAAGAATTTGGACATTTGTACTGTCATCTGTTTTACTTAGTAAAGTCAATTTAGCAACTCTGTGCTGTGTAATGCAGTAGTATTCGTTGGCGTCAGAACCCAGTGTTAGTATATTGTTAAGTTTCAACATACATGTATGTGTTTCTTATAGAACTGCCCCATCCTCCAAGTATCACATCGGTGAAGTTAAACAGTGATAATGCAAAAGCTGTGGATGTATCTTGGGCACCAGGGTTTGATGGCAACAGTCCAATTCAGAAGTACATCATTCAGTACAGAGTTAAACCAGAAGGTAGAGATTTTACTTATAAATGCTCTACAATATTAGGAAATATATATGTTATAATTTGTAACATGCTATTAGTTATTGAGACTCTTTCACTGAATCAATATATACACAAGGACATATGTCTTCTGTTAATATTTTTACATGAGAGTCTATATGATAATTATGTTGTATGAAATCATATGGTGAATAAGTGTTCATAAAGCAGTCTCATTTTACAATTAATTCTGCGTTTGTGAACATTCATCTGAATAAAGTTAACAGTTGAAAAATTTGACCTCCTTCATTCTGATACGCATCACATCTTTCTGCCTTCAATGAGAAAGAAGCTCATAGAAGGCCATGATTTCTCATGATGGACTGTTCTGTCTGATTTATGAATGAGAACTATACCATTACTATTTCTTCAAATTGGATTTTCTATTTCAGATCGTGAGTTGGGTCCAGATGATAACTGGCAGGTGTCTAACAGTAACATTAACAAGGATCTCAGGCTTTACACTGTCACACACCTGCTGCCAGCTAAGAAATACCAGTTCAGAATCAGTGCAGTGAATGGTGTAGGGGAAGGGCCATCTAGCATGCCAAGTCAGGATATCACACTACCTGAACAGCGTAAGGGCATATTTTGTAAAATTGGAAATTTTGATGTTCGATTTTAAAATTCTTCAAATATTAGTGGAGAATGTATCACAGGCTGTATCATGATTTCTTAATTCAACTTCTAGAATTTTATATTTGTTTCAATAATTGTTTGATTTCTGGTGAAGTAATTTATCAAGATTTTAAGCTGTACTATCATGTATGATTATTATGATGTCTATGGATTGCATTTTATGTATTTCAGCGCCCAGTGCACCACCACTAGGTGTTGTTGCTAGTGCCAGCTCTAATTCGTCAATCATCATTCAGTGGTCGCCTCCCGAGGAAGTCTTCTGGAATGGTCCCCTCAAAGGTTACATCATCCGCTACAAACTTGCAGGGTATCCTGGGAGTTTTACCGAACACAACATCACAGATGTGATTTTACGACGTTATGAACTGAAAGAGCTGATTGTGTTCCAAGAGTATGAGATGCAGGTTGCTGCATACAATCGTAAAGGGACGGGAGTTTTTAGTAGTAGTATCCGGGAATGGACAGAAGAGGGAGTACCCACGGCATCTCCTGTGAATGTGACAGCATTTGCTGCGAGTTCAACTTCAATCACAGTACATTGGAGTCCCCCTGATCCTCAGTTTCTAAATGGTATCAATCAAGGCTATAAAATCTCAGCTCAGAGGCCTAACACGTTGAATCCTGATGTAATTCTCACTGTACCACTTGATGTCTTAAACATTTACGGCAACCAAAGCGCAACTGTTGAAGATTTACGGAAATATACACAGTATGACATCACAGTGCTTTGCTACACTGGTAAAGGCGATGGTCCAAAATCAGCGAGTATAGCACTAACAACAAAGGAGGATATTCCTGATGCAGTAAGCAGTTTGGAATTTACAGATATTACATTTACTTCTGTTAAAGTCAGCTGGACCCCACCCGAAAATATCAATGGAGAGTTAGTTGGTAAGTACACTACTGATTACTGAACATTAATCATAGATCAAAAACAAAAGCTTTGATTCAAGTTTTAGTTGGAAAGCATGGTACTGATTAAGTAAGTGAGTCAATCAATGGGGGAGGGGGGCTCCTTACCAATAACATTGATCCATTTTGGAGATGAGTCACCAGACCCCCATTTACATACTAACATGTTTGTCCCCTTTTTTATCGCCATCACAAGTGGTGACATATTGTTATAGTCTCCATTTTTGTAGCGGTGTTTGGTGTCTGTAACAAATGGCAGCTTGTAACATTTTGCATGTAAATGCCCTGTTACAATTGTACTCAGGTCATTCCAATGAGATTTCAAAACTTAATATTTTATAGGTTATACACTACAATGGGTCAAAAAGAACATTACAGCAACAACAAAAAGAAGACGTCGAAGAAATGTTGAGGAGCGCATCTTACCACCAGGAACCCTGAGTGATGATATAACTAACCTCCAACCAGAGACTGTGTATACAATATCTATATTCGCCAGTTCAAGAGTTGGGCCAGGTCCAGTGAGATCAGCTGACATAGAATCTGGAGTGCCACCAGGTTTGTACATGTTTACTTCACAGATTTTTCTTAACTGCCTACACATTAACTCAAATATCCGTGTGAGGGTATTGGTAGAATCCATTTTTAATTGTAAGAATAGGTGTTCTTAAACAACAAACAAGACATTGGGCTTCAGCAAACAGGACATTGGGCTTGCTTTTTAGAACATTTTGTTGGCTCTAGATGTAAAGATGTCACTCTGCAGGACTTGAACCTGACATCTCTTAACTATTTTTTCAATTTTAAAATTATTTTTCTATGTATTTTCAGAGCCCCCAGGTGCCCCTACCAACCTAGGTGTATCAAACAGAAAAGCCAGATCAGTCCTACTCCAGTTCCAACCCGGATATGACGGCAAAACATCAATTACAAAATGGCTGGTTGAAGGCCAGGTGGGAAATGATCTCAATTGGGAGTTGATATATGAGTACTCTGACCCAGATGCTCAAAAAATTGTGGTCGAGAATCTACGACCATACACTAACTATTTACTGCGAATGAAAGCTCAGAATGTTGCGGGAATTAGTCCTCCTAGTGAGCCAACATCAAAGTTTCAGACCATACAGGCAGCTCCATCTATGCCCCCTAAGAATGTGACTGTAAGAGCAGTGAACGAGACAGCAGTCAGAGTTCGTTGGACGGTAAGATGAATAAACTTTGATGAATAAACTAAATTAAATTGCAGAATCGAGTAGAGAGAGATGACATCATTTACTGAGTATTTAAGAATGACATATTGATAACATGATCTATTGCTATATGGGAGTGTAACATGCAAAATCAGGAAATGAGTTCCATTGTTTTCTGTTTTGTATAACAACAAATTGACAATTTATTCACAAAACAATTTCAATTATTTTTTGAACATATTTAAGTAGATATTTTGTACCTGTTATTTATATTTCTGGATTCTTTTTGACATATTAAGCCATTGTGTACATTTAACATGCATGCATGTTGATTTACCCCCAATCATCATTGCCACCATGTTGCAGCCATTACCCGCCACAGAGTGGAACGGCGCTCCCAGGGGATACAGGATTGCATACAAGCGCAGTGATGTCACTACGTATCTCTCACTGGAGCTTGAGAAACCCTCTGCGAACAGCTACATTCTCTCAAAGCTGCACCAATGGGCTGTGTATGACGTGAAGGTGGAGGCGTACAATGATGTTGGGAACAGTGGCTACAGCCCAGTGGCATCTGATAGGACTAGAGAATCCAGTAAGTGGTGCTATGTATTCAGTGGTTATTAAGGCATGAAAGGAAATACAAACCAAAGAGACATACATATAAATATTAAAAATGAAATACATGTAGATATATATTTGATACTAGAGATCTGATACATATAACACAGAATATATCGAATTTTCAGTTCTGGAGATGGTTATTTTTGGCGTCTAAGTTTCAAGTGATATTTTTCAGCCCCAAGTGAAGGTCCAAGTAATGTTGAAGCAACAACTCTATCTTCAACCAGCATTCGTGTTGTGTGGGGTGATGTACCTGAGCTACATCGTAATGGTCTCATCGTAGGCTATAAAGTCCAGTATGGATCTACAGAGGCCAACATTGCACCTGTTCTTAAGGTATGTCTAGCTTGTTATATTGTAGGTTTATGAGTATCTTTTTTCTCTTTGTATTATGCATACATGTGTGTCTAATTTGTCCGAAATCGGTGTACAAAATGGCAGTTTTATTTGCCAATTTACGAACATATTACCGATGTTTAAATACGTAATATGTTTGTATGAATACAAATGCTATAAACTAAATAGGCTTAATATCCATAACAATCCATGAGAATTTTCATATTGATGGCTAATGAAAATGTGTGGTGAAACTTTTGCCTTGACTTTTTCTCATGCATCTTTTAGGAGATAACTGACAACAATACAAAAACAACAGTGTTGAACGATCTGAAGAAATATGTCCAGTATGAGGTGCAGTTGTTGGCCTATACTAGAATTGGAGATGGCGTGTTAAGTAGACCACCTGCTGTGGCTAGGACGTTCTCAGACAGTAAGTGTTGATTGTGTTTAGGGGAAATCTATCAAGAATGACAAAGTTAGACTTCATCTTATTTTTTTATAATGAACAGCTTCCAACATCCGAAGTCTCTATTCTTTTCATACATTTCAGTAAGTCATTGAATGTTTGTTTACAGAACCAGGTCCCCCATCAAGTATCTATTTCCCTGATGTGACATACACCTTCCTCAAGTGTCAGTGGAGCCCTCCAGTGGAGCCCAATGGAGTTATTACAGGATATAGAATCGCTTATAAAGAGTTTGGCAGTCGTGATGACCCATTCGTAGATGAAACATTAGGTAAATATGTTAATATTACAGAGGCATGAATGAGAGTATAAAAGTGCTGTATTGTCAGTGCCTTGTTGTTCAAAGTGTGATATTTACCACTCTGTCTGTGTCTTGTTTGATTCATGAAAGCAAATTAAAACATGTCAGGAATTGCAGATCAACTTGCTATAACTCCATTTTTTTTTCTTGTTTTAGGTGCAGATAGACTTTACTATGAAGTGAACGATTTACAACAAATGACAGATTATGAGTTCAATCTTACTGCTAAGGGTGATGGAGAAGGATGGGGTGAGACTGCAACAGTGAAAGTTGTCACCATGATCAACAGAAGTAAGTAAATTACTGACATTGTTTGACACAACTATTGACTCTTCCAGAGGTAAACTGTCTTGACTGTATACCTCCATTGTAGACCAGGGTTTTAATTTTTTATAATTTTTAACTACCTAGAATGCCCAGGCGATTGGTAGTAGATGTTATATGTATTTTCGACTTTCGAAAATAAAATAAAAACTACTGTATGCTACAAAAACAAAACAGGTTTTTGATACATGTATTGACCTATTGCGCTTGTTTTTGTTGGCCCAAGTATGATTTTTACAGAGTTGGAGGTACACTGGGGAAGTTGTATACCTCTAATTTGAAAACTTCTCATTTTAGATCGACCAGATCCACCATCGAAACCTACCATTGGCCAGTCTCAAGTGTCTTCCCGTGAAGTCACAATCAGTTGGCAACCTGGGAATGATGGATATGGACCCCTTAGAAACTACACAATACAGGTCTATAAGGAGGGTGGTGAATGGGTGACCCTGCCAGATATTGTGCCACCTGATGTGACTTCCTACACTATCTATGGGTAAGATGAACAAATGTTAGACTGATTTAGACATAGAAAAATCTCATTAACATTAGTGGGTTAATGATTTAAAAATCTACTAGAGAATATAATATACAGAATACATAGGGATTCATTTCCTGATTCATCATTATAACTTTTACTTGTTTCTTTTACAGCTTGAAGCCTTTCACCAAGTATAACTTCAGACTTGCTGCCAGCAATGATGTTGGGACCAGTGATTATAGTCCTTTATCAGATGAGGCTCGCACTCTTCCAGATGGTGAGTTGGCTTTCTGTTTACTAATATAAAAAGTGAAAAAACGTTGGAAAGGACACTTGTTTTCTGTTTTTATAATGGTAATTTCTAACTTTGTTAAACTTATGATTATTATAGTTTTGTAATTTTATATATTTTTTTTATTTTTCTAGCACCCGATGGTGCCCCCTATAATTTAAGGGCTGTACCATATACAACTGTTTCTGTGAAAGTCACATGGGAGGTATGTGAAATTACATGTATATATCTCTTAGTACTAAATAGTATAGGGCAATTCAGAAAAAAGCATTCTTGTTATTAACATTTTTGGCCTCTTCAGATCTTATACAGGGCAACATTCTAAGAAAACAAACATATGTATAATAAAAATATAATACCAAACAACTATTGATTATCAAATTAGGAATATGAATATATATTTTGTGTGTATAAAGAAACTAAAGGGAAATAAAACAATTTCCCAAATTGACTTGATGATGTGAAATGAGAGGATCTTCAAAATCAGATACTATGACAAATCTAACGTATCATTGCCGATGAGTGGTTTCCATGACAACCATACACCCTCTTAACATACAGTAATTTAAGTCGATCTTTGTGGAGAAGATGCCAACCATTATAAGTTATATTATAACACGGACTTTAAGAAATGGATTGGAAACTCCCATTGATCCAATGGTCTCGGCCTCATTTTGCCGCTAGAGGCGCTGCCGTTTTCACGCATGCGTAAATCATTGTTTACATATGACGTCATTGCTAAACCAAACAAATGACGTCATGAAAATCACTGCTCAACAAATCTTGGCGATGACGAGAATTCTCATCTCAATAATAGATTCTTCCAACCCTGTTAAAACTAGACAGTATTTGCACTTGATACTTGGCAGAGACATAAAAATCAATTAGTTGTTACGATTTAGACGGGTTTTGATTGTGCAAATTCTTTATAGGTAGGGTAATTGCAACAGAAATTGCGAAAATTTCGGAGACCCCTTGAAAAAATCGAATAAAAATCACCGTATAACTTCGATGTTTTTCATGAGCTTTTTAATGTCTTTGTACAAAATAACTACCTGGTCAACGATGTAAAATTGAAGTCTTTATCGTGAAGGTATTGCATAAACCTCAAAACTGCACAAGTGAGGTTATTCACAATAACAATCAGTCTTTTACTCCTGACTGCGCAGGAACGATGTCAATTAGTGAGTACGACATCTATCCGCAGAAATGTTGATTGACCTAATGGTCAAGGATACCGGTCACTGAGTACAGTGACCCAAAAGGCAAATAACAACGTACCGATTACTAAATACGGTTACCATACAGATTACTGAACAAGATAAGTTATCTTGATGATCCAAATCAAATATAAAAAATTCGACTTTTAACTTTTTAACCATTCCTAAATTAAAAAAATATATATGCTAAACATAACAAACAAGAAATGTTATTATTAAGAATTATTCACATTTATTTTCACATTCAAATACATTTATATTTTATATTGTACAGACAATTGAGAAATGGATTATTGCGAAAACTGAACATATGCCTTCAACACTACTTGAATAGATTTCCCAAAATTTTTGTAATGAGGATATCCCAAAAATCTAGTTTTCATGAATATTATTGTTTTTGCTTCTTAACATAAAAATGATAGAACAAGACACACAGCAATAAATTGCTCTCAGGGAACATAGCACCAAGTAATTTACATACCAAGTCATATCCTTCAGAATTATATTAAAGCTTCATGTACATTAAAACTGAATCCCACTCATGAAATTAATTTTGATGTCGAGACAACAAGGCATTGGTTTCCCAGGCTTCAAACTCAATATTTTTTTCCCCAAAAAGTCCAAACAATTTTTCCAGTGATGATTTCTATGCCAATGAATGCAAGACTGAACTGCAAGGAGAATGGCTAATATGGCAGCTACTGTAGATTGGGTTAATTTGGCGCCCACTTTAATTAGGCGAAATTGAAAAATTCGCCAATATAAATCTTCGCCAAAATTTAGAATGAATCCCCGGGAATTATATAGGGTATTTCGTCCAGTGTATTTAGGTCACTTCGGGTTCAGTTTTTTCAAAAAATATGAAAAAATGTCTCTCAGAACTGGCTCAGAACTCGTCAGTCACTCATTAATACTCAGGCAAAAACTAGAAAGGAAAAGCGCGGTATAGTAGCAGCATCGATCTAGGTGCAAAATGTAAAGGATGATCTCACAAAAATGTACAAACATGGTGAATATCGCCAGTGGTCCTCAAAGGAAAAAATGAACATAGCCAAATATGCCCATTTACTTGGTAATTCGCAAACAGCGCACATTTAACATTTTTTTGCATATCCACCAAATTAAATAGCCGCCAATATGCCAAAAGTGGCAAAATCGCCAAATTAAGTAGCGCTTAATTAACCCAATCAACAGTATTTAATTTTGAATTCATGACGACACTCCATATATCATAATCATATATGGCAAAATACTAAGCAGGGAACCCTGGGAGCTAATCCTCCTAGATCTTAATGAAAAAATTCAAAATGGAGGCTATGTATTATTTACCTTTTTTTGTCTAAAACCTAATCAGTGTTGGCTCTAGTTTGCATTATCCAAGTATTTTTCAAATGCAATTTAATTAAACACATAATTTGCCATGGTGGTAAAATCAGGAAAAAATGGTCATCTTTGTCAATTCCCCAGGGAAATATAAAGTTTGGTAGACATAAATACTGTACATTCTTGAAGCATATTTTTAAAACTTCAGGGGTCTATAAATTTTAATTTGTGAAATTGGGGAAATTAAATAATGTCAAAATATACAGCGAGTACAGTGTATGCCAATGAGCACAAAATGAGGACAATGTAACACTTTGAAAATGTCCTTTCAGAAACAGTTTTGGTTTCATATCATTAAAATAAAGTATTATCATAATGTCAGAGTTGTGTTATCAATCATCTAGTGTGTCAACAGTTTTACTGCGTGATTTCACTTTTTTCGCTTTTTTAATTGCTACTCTCAGTACTTTTTACTAGAGCATAATCAAAGATTTTTGAAATGTGAGGTGTGAATTCCACACTTGCTTAGAATGCATATACATATTTTTATATCTTGGTCTGGTCTCATAATCTTCATATGTGTTTATCAGGAATAGAGTTTTGCATGCCAAATTGATTTAGCCATGCTTATAGTACATTTTTCTTGTGAGCATAGCTGATTGTGAATGATGCGAAATTACAATGCCAGTTTGTTGAGTGTTTTTTTAAGCTGTAAATGTATTGGATTTGAGCTGGATATTGCTATTGTATCAATCAGTAACCTTGGAAGCCAGTCATTTCTTGCACTTATGGCAGGGAACATCATCCATTAGACATGTTAGACACTACCAATCTGAAAAATAGAAATATAGGCTACATGAATATCAAAGTTATTCATATATTACAAGAAACTTTCGAGAGAAAAAATTGATTTATAAACACCACTAGCAATCTATCCATTTAAGTGGGTCACCAAGGGTCTCACATGGCAGGAGCCCCAATAAAATGCTAAATACCCGTATACTGATCTTTTGACCTTGACTGACTCTTGATTAGAGGCGAACTTGTCAAAAGGCCTTGACATGTTAAATACCTAGATATACACCTTTGACCTTAAGAAGACCTTGGCCAATTAACACTAACTTTTACCTCAGGTACCTGATCAGGAGATACAGAGGGTCAGTAAAACACCAAATACTTATATATTGACCTTTGGCCTTAAGATGAGCTTGAAATGAACCTTTGACCTTGGAATGAACTTAACCTCAGGTCACATAATCATGGGTCGCCAAGTGTCACAGCGACACCAATTTCCTTAAAACACCAAATAAAAAGATATTGACCTCTGATTGACCTCAACCCATAAAGTTGACCAATGAAACACTGTTAACTGGGGTGATGCATACCTTGTCAAGGATGTTGACTTGGATTTTTCCTACTTCCTGCCCATTAGTTCAGATGATTTTATCTTCTTGTACACCATTATTTAGATGTTGCCTGAAATTAAAAATTGCTATGTATACCTGCACATGTTATTTTCTGGTACAAAATAAAGTATGAAGGTATGTGTGTATTTCCTTGTTTTTTCCTTGCCAGTGATCTCCCAAGCATTTAAACAAGTGGGTGCAGCACCAACCTGAGATTTCAAATACAGGCTTGCAACCACCTGAAAATCCAGTTGCACCCACTTGAAAATGAGAAAAATCATGAAAAATTGGCATATTTTGACCAATTTTGGTCTTAATTATGAAAATGAGAATTTTACACCTGCCTGATAAAAAAATACCGGAGAGATCATTGCCTGCATTGTCTTACTTTTAGTAAACCTGGTATTTGTGGACTTTCAGTTTGACATTGGCATTTTAGGTAAATAGTGTCCAAATTATTTTGTCATTCTAAGGGGTCCTTTTCCTTAAAAACATATGTCTAGTTAAGAACCAAATAAAAAATACTTAAAAAGCTCTAAAAACTTGTATAAACCTGTATTTATATTATGTTTATTTGGTAAATAGTGCCTAAAAGGACTTTTCTCAATGGCACTATGCTAAGGCAGACTGCTCCACCTCTAGATGTCTAATGACTTTGACTACATTTGCAGATCATGAGTTTCTAAAGTGTATACTGGACAAAACGATTCCAGTCAAAAGTCCTGACTCCCGCGCACATGCAAACTTTTGAATGGTGCTAAACTCAAACTGCTTTTAACTAAATATGAAAAATTACCATCTTTTTGTTGGATTTTGCAATGCTCGTGCATTTACCAATGGAAAACATTAATGAACATTCACCATTTATTGGATACCTACATTTCAGATTCAGCATCTGGAGCACAATATCTGTGGTCATCTGCTATCCCATGGGAATAACTGAAAGAACAAGGAGATAACTTTATAAATGAAAACTTAAAAGCATAACACTTTCCAATGACATTTTGGCTATTAAGTGACCCTTTTGAAACATGTCAGCCATTTTTATGTGTGTTATATTACATTTTTGGCTAGAATATATGAGAGAGTTTATATGTGAATACTAAGAACAAATCACTATAAATTCAAATTTTGGGGGATTTGCTAATGCCAGAATGCTATGCCTTTGCACTGCTGTTTCAAACTAATTATTGGCAATAATAGTGTAATTTACTTTTTTAGTTTTATAACTTACTTGATCAGCTTATGGTTAGGGGCACCACACCTCCTCCAATATCTTTCTCTCTGTAACAAAGGGAAGTTTTCAAATTAGCTTGATCATTACTGCTTATAGAAAAATATGCATCTCTCTCAATTTTAAAGTCTAGTTTGATTTATTTGTTTTTGATTTAATGATAAGGTATAATTTTAAGTCATGCTGCAAATTCTAGGTACTTGAAGCTGAAGCAGATGGCAGCACAATTGCCTAGCCAAAGCCAACGTGTTCAAATAGCTAGTGTTTAAGTCAAGTGACTTAAATTAAGACTAGATAGGGTTATGATATGAGGTACAGATCTGATGAAACCTCATTTTTCAATTAATTCAATTGCAATACATGTATTTTAGATTAATCTTATTCTTACCTATATAGGCAGTGTAGGCAAACAATCCCTGCTTTCATTCTTTTGTGTAGACTTTTCTTGTTGGGAATCTTGGAAGATGAAGGAAGGCTAAAAATTAAAATATCTTACATCTAAAATTGTACTTCAATAACCTTAATCTACAAAAAATATTGTGTTGTCAGTAGATAGTTACAAACTGCTTCAAAGGCAAGCTGATGAACTCATTGAAATAAGCCTGTGCCCCTTGTAATTTGAGGTCTATCCGCAACATTATTTTTTGCAGAATTAACATAACATAGCAGAAAAGCATCAAAATATAAGAGGTTACAGACTTTGAGCTTGACATGTCATTACACATAAAGATATCAGAATTTTTCTAAGAAATACCCGCTAAAGAAACCTCTAGGGGGTATTTCCTAAGAAAAACTCTGATGTTTGTGAGTATGCATGGTTAAGTCCATTGATCAGTAAAACCTATAAAATAAGAAATCAAAATATCAATATGCAATAATATATGGAAAAATATATTTCTATTGTACATGAATGACATTTGTATATCTTGGATTGCTTCTAGTTTGGCTTATAAAGTGTGTGGCCTCTTATGTTTTGATGCTTCTCTGCCATGTTATTTTCAATAAGATAACATGGCTGACATTACAAAGGGCTCAGGCTTATTCATATTGCACAAAAAACTAAAAAATCTGAAATATACAAATGTCATTCATGTACAATGTGAATATACTTTTCTATATATTGTTGCACAGTTGTCTCCCTATTTCTTATTTCTGGGGTTCTACTGACGCAAAAAAAAGTGAAATGGACTTTACACAAAGTCAAAATATTGAAATTCTAAAATTGTGGTGAAATGAAGAAGCTTCAAAGTGATATATCATATCATGACACAAAAAGGTAACATTTCACTCAGATTTTTGTCAGATTTGGAGACAAAAAAGACCAGAAAAAATGAAACAACAAAAATGTGGGGTCCTTATAGACTATGAAAATCAAGTCAGAATAATGTGAAACTTTCCAGGTAATTAAAATGATAGTTAATCTAGTTAAGTCGGATGTTTTGAAATCGAACACGATAATAATAAAAGCAGGAGTGAATAATTTATGAACAAATTCATTGAAAATGGACGAAACACGGAGAATGTTGATTTCAAATTGTGGGGTCGTTAACCGCTATCTAAATCAAGTCGGAATGATCTGAAACTTGTTCCATGGATAGAACAGTTGTTAATCTAGTGAAATGCGATACTTTCGACAATATACGATCAATATAGCACGATATACAGGCGATAAACTTACCAAAATTGACATTCCGCCATATTTTCTCCCAAAAAATGAAACGTTTGCGCATGCGCCGTAGACTACAGCGCCTCTAGCGGTTGAAATAGGCCGAGACAAGAATTTGATGAGTTTCCAATCCATTTCTTCAGGTCCGTGCTATAATAAGCAAAGTTTAGATTAAAATTGACAATTTTAATATAATACAGGGATTATTTATTGAACAACCATCATGTCTATCACACTCACATATTAAAATTGTAGCTTCCCGAAGATAAAGCCTGGAATGGAGATAAGATAGGCTACCATGTTCAGGTTCGAGAAGATCAGAGCCAGATACAATGGCGTATGGAGACTGTCCTCAATGCCCAGATTGATACTCTCCTTCTAGATAACATGCAACTGAAAAAGGCATATGAGTGTCGAATTCAGGCGTTTAATATGTACGGAGCTGGCCCATGGAGCAATGTTATACTGGTTTATATGGAGATAGGTACATGAGTACTCTGATAGCTATTTCAGCATGGAGATGTTTCAGCATTAACAAGAGTTGCATGTTATTGTTAAAATGTTAATACAAAAATCAGTATTCTGCTTTCATAAAGATAGAATCATAACCACATTCAGAGAGAGAGAGGGGGGGGGGGGGGTCAGGCACAACATACCAAAAGAGATCACATGCAAGCTTCCATCAAATCCAAGTAAAATACTGATTCTTGTTTTGATAGGAGTTTTTACTTATGGAGGATATTTCCAGTGATTTTTTTTGTTAATTCTTATGGGCATGGGAAATATCGACTCATTGTATTTAGTTCATATTTGTATAACCTTTTATGCATGTATATTATTTTGTTTTGAACTAATATTTAGGGTATGCTACATGTTGTATGTAAGATTAACATAGCTCATTTTTGTTTTAGATATTCTGTTTTATTATTTACTTTGCATGTTTTAGCCTCTACAGTACCAAGTGAACCACTCCCCCCCCCCCTTCCTCCTGCATCTGATAGTTTCCTAACAGCATGATTTAGCATGAATTAATATTAAATTTTTATTTAACTTTTATCGCTTAACAGCCCCCTGTCCGAGATACTTGGAATGATGAACGATTATCTGGGTATCGGGTACAATATCGTCAACTTTACGGGCCAAACTGGCAGGAGCGTACTATCCAATTTCCTTCCCAGGATGCATTTCTCACCAATCTGACCCCAGAAAAAGTGTATGAAATGCGTGTCATAGCATATAATTCTCAGGGTGCTGGACCCCCTAGTAAACCTATTGATGTATATGTCGGGGAGGCTGGTAGGTGTTCAATATAGTTTTAACAATGTATGATAATTATTGATTACAGGGTGCTCCAAATGTAAGGTTTCGTGCAAGTATTATCAGTCCATACTTATGGAACACCCTGTTCATGTATTGAATATTAGAGTTAATTAATATGTGTAGATAATGATTTAACATTAGATAGATTTAGGATGTACACTAGAAATATTGAATACATTCTGTACATAGAATATTGGTAGAGAATTATTGCATGATAAAATTAGAAACTTTTTAACCTTTACAATTTTAACCTTTACTTTTTTTGTTGCATCATGAGTGACACAAACTTCTTTGACCACAAGTATAAATTAAATTAATGATTTTTGCATTTCTATTCACTATTTATAAACTCAGCTCCATCATTCTTTACATATTTGATGCTTTTTCAACATTTTTGGTCAAATACAATCCCAACCTCACTCGTCCATGTTATTTCTAGTCCCGACCGAAGAACCAAAAGATGTCTCTGCTGTTCCAAAAAGTTCTACAGAAATCTCTGTTAATTGGAGTCCACCTGCCAAGGAGACGTGGAACGGAGACTTACTGGGCTATAAGGTATGTCAGTTTTTTATTCTCTCATTTTATTCCAAACAAAATATAAATATAAAACATGTACCATTGAATAATTACATTTTATAAACCACCAATGGAAGTTTAGCTAGACCTGATTTTATTTGAGCATCAGTCAGTCTCACAATCCAAAAGTCCTCTCCAAGTACATTTGTCTGAATTTTGGGAATTGATGCATTATGAAAAAAACACAACTTCTAATTACATGTATATGTAAACTTGTTGTTTTCCAGGTGTATTACTGGGTAGAAAACAGTAGAGAGACAGAGCGGGTTCACATTGTATCGGCAGATGTTAGTGACACAATTTTAGATAACCTGTCTATTTTCACCACATATAGGATCTCAGTCCTGGCATTTAATCCAGCTGGAGATGGACCAAATAGTACTGTAGCCATTGCTAAAACACACGAAGGAGGTATGAGGTGTTATTTATTGAATTGATATGAATCTGATGTGATATACTGTAGTACCCAAGTTATTCCAGTCAGCGTATAATCTGAATCCATCTCTCCTACCAATTATGATTAATCTATAATATTTACATCCAGTCTCTGCTCTCTATATGTGAGCCTTCACATCAGATTGTAACTCAGTTGTCAATTAGCACAAACTAAGTATGAGCTAGTATGGTAAAATGAAATTCAATTTGAAACAGTCTTATCAATCAACAGTTTTCTATGACATTATCAATAAAGCCTTACCTTTATTGGTGGTTATCTACATAAATGGTAATAAAATTGATGTTTTCATTTCTCATTTCAGTACCTGGTCCACCAGGAGTATTGGTGTTCTCGAATGTCTCTCTGAACTCTTTGAATGTCAGTTGGAGTGCCCCTGAGAGATCCAATGGCATCATAACACAATATGAGATACTGTATTTCCAGAGTGAGGCTTCTGAAGGTGAGATTTTACAATGGAAGAAAAGACTGAGTGACTCTGTTTTACAAACACATATTTTTGTCAAATTTTGAGACATTAGAACATACTTTATATTTTAATTTGGATTTGGTTTTGTGTTATAGTGAAATGGTACAGGTGCAATTGTCCAAATAATATGCATGTTTTAACCTTTAATGTTAAAGGAACCTCAGTCCTGCAAATAAATTGGAATTTCAAGCCATAGCATATTACATTCTATTAACCACTAACTGAATTCTAAATATTTCTTTTCAACTAGGCACAATCAGTAAAACTGTCCAAGTTCAAGTAAATGGAACAATAACACACTACCTTGCGGGGGATCTAGATGAGAACGTTAGATATGTCTTTAGTGTGAAGGGACGAACTTCTATCAGTTGGGGGGAACCACGACAGGGAAATATCACCACTGGGCCTCAGCCAGGATCTCCTGGGGTCCCTAGTCAGCCTACATTTGTTCCCAGTGATATGTCAGTACAGATTTCTTGGAAGAATGGAAATGAAGGGGAGTCGCCGATAACTGGATATATCATACAGGCAAAACCAACTAGTAAGTACAGTAAAACCTGCTAAGTGGAACACCTCCATAAGTGGAACATCTCGCAAGTGGAACACTTTTTCAAAGTCCCGTTTTAAAAACCCATTGACTTAATGTTAATTGAACCTTTTTAAGTGGAACACCTCCAAACTTGAACAGTGAACACCCCATATTGAAAAATTAACCTGCTAAGTGGAACAGTCAATTTATGTATACGTACAATTAAAAGTGGCTCAGGTCAGGTACAGAAGGTAGTCATTCAGTTGGCATATGGGGATATGACCTCTCTGCTCTGTGAAACCAGATTATATCCTGCTAGTTTTGAATACAGTGATCCATTCTTGATATTAGGGTCGGGAGATTTTATACTGTACATATTGTTTTACATTTTACCATATAGGGGTTTCGTAAATGATACAACACAAACATCTCATTAGAGAAACATTTATGTCCCCAATCTTTCATGAACATTTCACAGAGTGTTTGTTTATTCCAGCTGAGATCAAGTGGACCACTATAATGCGTACAAACATGCGTGAATCCAGCGTGATCATCAGCTATCGCAATCTCAACCCAAGTACCAACTACCAGTTCAGAGTTATAGCTATTAATGCCAAGGGTATCAGTGCACCAAGCCAGCCTTCGGCCATTATGAGAACACCAGGTATGTAGAAACTATTTAATGTTTAATTACATGAACACATTTTTAAATGATGGAATAGGTGCTTCTTGAAAATAGAACTTATTTGCATTCGTCATTTTATGCATACATGACGCTACGTCATTCCCATGAAAGAATGTTAATTGTATTGCAGTTTGTAAGACTCCACATTAGGTTTAGTCAATTATGTTATATTTTCATTATTCCATAAACAGGTCGATTTGAACAATTTTTATGTCATCATCACAAGTGAGACAATTACACGTAACTGATTGGAATCATAACGTTAGAGTCACCAAATAGTAGAAATAACACTCATGTTTAGAGGTAAGAATGAAGAATGCATCTCCTTTCTGGTATCTCACATGGACATTTAATCTCTTCGCATTTCCATGACTTCATACCAATATTTTTTATTTCCAGATTTTGCGCAGTTGCCATTCTACCAGCAGTGGTGGTTCCTTGTGATCGTTGCTTTGACTGGTCTTATCTTTATCATCATCATTATCGCCATCCTTTGTATATCTGGCAGAAACAAGAAGAATGCCAAATATAAGCAAGGTGAGAATAAAACACACAGGGAGATAAGTACATCAAAAGTAAGAGTAAGGCAAATTAAAAGTGAAACAAAATATATACTTTTGGTTCATCATCATCATGTATAAGTTTGTATATTATTGCTTAATAAAGTCAATTAATTATGCTCTGAGGAAAATTTGCCGATTATAGCACAATGATAACGAAGGGTGCTGAAAATCTTAGTGTGTGGTCTATAAGAAAAAAAAGTACTAATTATTTTGCAATTATCTGGCGGTCATTAACAGAAACTTCGTAAAGTTACGAATTAGTAAATCAATTGTTGTAACCATGGATTTAATGCCATCACAGTTAGAGAACAATGGATTTTATGAATTCTTAACTTTAAGAAGTTTCTGTTAATGCCCCAGATTCATTATTTCTTAATGTATTTTTGTTGTTTCAGAGGTGATCAATAAGGCATTGAGTATGGAGGGCATGAATGGAGTTCGTACAGATGATGGGGGATTCGGCACATTTGAATTACGCCAGTCAAGAAGAAAACCCAGCAGTAATCGCAACTCAAAAGAAATTAGAAATAGTTTATATGCAGCAAGGTATTATTTCTTTTTTTATTAAGATAATGGAAGAATGAATATTGTTTTTGATGAAGCAGGTTGGATATTTTCCATATCTAATCTCTGGGGTCCAGAGCATATAGAAATATCTCTCCTTCATTTTTCAAACTCAATTTATATTCATCTTTCCAATGCATTTCAAAATGTCAGTGGATGAAAATGAATCTTAGTAGGTTTGGATACATATGTTGTGAACATTCAGTTTTAGATAAAGGGTTTACTGTATAACATGTATTAAATCCAGGATAAATCTGAGATAATATTTCTCTCCCTCGGCCCAATCTAATGATTTTTGTATCTATTTTGTACATGTAAACTAGACATGAAAATCATATGAAATGAACATGTACTTCTTATGCACATATACATGTTGTATCTACAAGTTAAAGAAATGTAATGTTTATTCCAGGGCACCCCCTAGGCCCAGCCCTGCCAGTGTCACATACTCAGATGCTGAAGAAGATCGGAAGTCTTACATGGAAGATGATGAGTCAAGTAGCCTCACTGATAAACCTTCTGATGTAGATTCCATTACAGATTCACAGGTAAAACTAGTGGTAAGGCGCAGTGTTTAATTGTACGCTTGCCGTTTGTCTGCTGTGAAATTTCACCATTAGCACCTTCACTTATAGGACTGCCCTTGATATAATACAGTAAAACCTGGGTATATTGAACAGTTTTTGCTGCGAAGAAATGTTCAGTGTTGGTAGGTGTTCACTAGAGAGGGGCAATTTATACAGAATTCAATATGTGTGGATGAAGGGTGTTCACTAGAGAGAGGTGTTCACTAAAACAGCTTTTATTGTACGTTTTGTTCAGTTGTGAGTCTAGATCTTAGTCAAAATATGCATCTGTTTAGCTGAAGAATATTGTAGTTGAGATGCAGTCCACGGGGTTGTATATGTGTAATGGAATTGTACCTTAATAGTGCCTTTTTAGAGTGGAACACAAATAGGAAATTGTTTTTTTTTCATTTGTGTGATTTCTTTTGTGGTTCTTATTGATTTGAAAAATGCAGGCCTTACAAGTTAGTGAATAGTCTGTTCCAACCCTAAAATGCCTCATATTGAGCTCAGCTAAGAAATGGGATTATATTCGGTCAATTTTTGGAAATGGAGGCATCCATGATATTCAATAACTTGGTAGAATATTCCTGATGATCTATGTACACAAGTAAATTGAATAGTGAATTAAATGGGAAATATTTTTGTCACTTTTTGTGGGGGCTATATATGGTAGAATGAAAAACATAATTTGAAATTAATCAAATGTTGAAAAGGCACTTCCCCATTTTCTTGTCAAAGACAGATCTACTTTAATTTACACAACTGACACCATAGCAAAATGTGACATAATTTGTGGACACCCTGTAAAAGGTGACATATATCAGAACTAGGATCACCATTCACTGTTTTGTTTTGTTTAGCTTTTGCTTTGCTTTGCTTTTATGTTACATTATGTTACACAATACAATGTATACTGTTTATTTATAATTTACACCTTTTATCTATTTATATATGCACTCTTCAATAGCACAGTTTGTGTAAAATATGAGACATTGGTATTTTGTATATTTATATCTTCAGTTTATTGATGGCTATTCAACACCATGCAACAATTAAATAAACCACTGTTCTGAGTTGTTTTATATTTCTATTTATTTATTTTCTATTTTTAATCGTCTCAAAAGTGTTAGTCTGAAATCATGTTTTTTTCAATATCTGTCTCCAATTCTCTGCTCGTTTTGAGCTTTATTTTCATTTCAAATTTATTTGTCTGATACATGTATAGACATTTTTTCAATTGTCTACTTGCAGAATTCAGAAGACAGTGAACCAGAGAGTGAAAAACCAGATAGATCATTTGCCAACCATTATGTCAATGATCCTGTAAGACAGTCATGGAAAAGACAATCCAGTAATCCAAACAATGCATATAGTTACACTGACAGTGAACCTGATAATTATTCAGTCAACTTAAATGGCGGCCATGTCATAATGAACAATAGTGCCGGCTCTCGGGCACCATTAGCTGGATTTTCATCATTTGTATGATGAAGGATCATGGGTAATATTACCCATGTTTTTGCCATTCCGCAGTGTCAAATTATATCAATTCTTAGTGGCCATATTGACTGAAATCATTTATTATTGTGTGGTGTTAAAGGTGCCACCTGGATTATATGTATCAAGATGTAAGTTATGGAGCATGCTGGAACTGTTTACAAAGATAGTCTGGCAAATAGCTTCAAACAAACTATATCATAAGGCTTGCTGGAACTATTTACAAAGACAACCCTACAAATAACCTCAACAGATCATTATAATTGCCTGGATGTAAATCATTACGCATGCTGGAACTATTTACAAAGATAGGCCTGCATTATAACTTCCAGCAGATCATCATAAGTCCTAGGATGTAAATCATTACGCATGCTGGAACTATTTACAAAAATAGACCTGCAAATAACTTCCAACAGATCATCACAAGTGCCAGGATGTAAATCATTACGCATGGTGGAACTATTTAGAAAGATAGACCTGCAAATAACAAACGTATTGTAAGTGCCAGAACGCATGCTGATGCTATAAGTGATCCGCCAAATATTATCAAATCTGCTGATTCATTGATGGAAAATTAAAAAAGACCTGAACTGAGTTTACAGGTCTCATTACAGAACATAGAAGGGAACATTTATGTCTCTAATAGAGTGAAAACGAAGACAAGAGAAACCTGCATTTTCTATTAATCTGACTATTATATACAAATGTTATGAGAATTTATGTGTTAGATGTAGAATATTTACGAGTTGAAATTGTATTGACTTTGGGTATTCACACATTATAGAAAATTGTCATGGAGAGCATTTTAAAAAAATTATCCAGAGGGCTCACAAATGAAAATTTCCTCAGATTGTGCTCAGTTACAACCTTTGAAGCCATTAACAGAAGTGTTCATTGTTCTCTTATTATGACATCATCATATCCATGATTACAACAGCTGAGTTTGGATTTCATAACAGGGGCCAAAAATGGAATATTATTATTCATTTCTGGCATACATATATATATGAAAAGATGATGTGTTTGCAATTCTGATTTATCCAAAGTGTTCTGAGTGTTTTTTATGAAGCATATCATTTTTAGTCAATTGGAGAAAATCTTTCCTAGCTTGATGCTGAGATTTAAGTAAGGAAGCTTGTTGTATGCTAACTGTGCCCTATATTCACTTGCAATATAAAATATGGTTTACAGTTTACGCTCATATGTAGGCCTATATAGACAAGTATATGATTCGGGAAAAAGCAAAGAAATATTTAACATACACATTGATGAAGAAAATGATGACATGGAATAAGATATGAGCCATGTCATCTATAGTAATATGTCATCTTTAGTAATATATGATGGCTTGTACTTTCTTTATAAACTGTACTCATATATGTAATGCCTCAGTCACATTTGATCTACAGCAACCGTACACCAGTCGTAGCTTCCCAAAATCGAGAGAAATATCCAAATATATAGGGATAAGCAGTACGATGTAGATATATCACTTTTGTGAAGCTACTGCGGTCGTATGCATGCCATAGAGCAAATTTGACCAAGGCTTAAGTTGATATGTGCCAAATTGTATATAAAGATGTAACATTTCTTTAAATTATGCTCTGAAAGAGTTTGGAAATCACATATTATATCATTTGTATGATTTGCTAGAAAATGATGTGTTCAAGTTAAAAAGTTAATAGTAATATGCATTTAATTTGTTTTGTTTTATTCAATCTAAATTTTCATCAATTTAAGATTTAATCCCAAGACTAGATTTATTGCTCATAATGGGAGCCTTAATTACTTTTTTCTGGTAGCGTATTGCCTTTACTGAGAATATTATTGAAAATTTCAGTTAGTAAAGAGGCAGTAAAGAAAGTAGTGCCTTAAATGAGGTTGTAAAAAAGGACTCGTGGTCTGATTAAAAAATGAGAAATCGCAATATGTTCTGATCTCAATTTAGAAAGATGGTAAGCACTCTGTTTAACATTTTATGTGACCCATAATTTGTGGCCCATAAAAATGTGCAGAAAAACCTGTATAATGCGAACACTTTAGGAGTAATATATGTTCATATTTGAGTTGTTAGCAGCTTTGAGGTGTAGTATATCCAATGTTTACTGTACTAGTGTACTATGGCCTGAATATGTTGGTCATTGAATTATGGGTTAAATCGTTCAGAAGAAATGCCAATAGGTATGAACTGATTTCTGCTTTGTAAATAGCAATGTACAATATTAGGTTATTTATTATTGCATATTGTCCTGTCTGCTTTTCTTATATTCTTTAATATTGAAGACTCACGCTCTTAATAGAGTGAGATGATTGATGTAATTTATTTAGAAGGGTTACTTTCATTTCCAAACTTTCTGAGAAATATATTTTTTTACCCAATGCTACAGTAAAACCTGTGTGAGTGGATCATCTTTTTGGGGATCCACAAGGCGTCCATCCGTTGGTCCGTCCTTGATCTCAAAGTAGTGTTCCACTTGTGTAACTGCCATCCTTACAGAGTTGTTCCAGTTTCCAGGTTTTACTGTATTGTAATTTCCTGAAAAATAACTTTCAAATAAATCCTTAATTTAATTTGGGCTACCTTTGCATTTAGAATAGACAAATGCTGTAATAGACAGAGTGAAATATTAATATGACGATTGTTGGTAGATGCCTCTATTAGATTAAATGAACACTGTCTTTAATATTAGATAATTTTATCAAAAGCTATGAGAATTTTAATCAACACAAGATCTTACTATTTATACTGGGTTATCTGTAACTTATTAGTTTATTTTTCAAACCCATAGGGTTGATAAGGCATCCTATGATTTTTATGGTTTAAATAATGCCAAATAATAGACAGTTTACTTTAAATACTAGACAAATACATGTACATGTTGTAATTTACAATAATTGCATTGATCGTTCAACTTTTTATACAAACTGTAAATAATATCTTGTAATCTGTAAATTGATGTATATAAATGTACAAAGCACTTTTGTAAGAATACAGAAAATGACATTCCTACATTTTGTTTCTTGTTCTCATTAAAGATGTATGTTTTCCTCCTGTTGACTTTCAGAGTCAACCAATAGGAGAAGATAGTTATTGTGCATAGTTGACCTAATAATGACCTCTCTCTCATTCTCTTCGTTTTGTGCGTTTATTCAATATTACATTTTTTGCAGCATGAATTTTCACTATCTGAGCCCACAGAATGGTTTCATCCTATTGCCCACCCTATTGATATTCATTGTGTACTTTGGAAAGATTATTGGAAAAATATTATAGATCGGACCCAATGTATACCTTCGGACATTCATCAAACATATATTCGGTGATCTCCCTATCATTAGAGCAACTTGCTTCTGCACCCCGTTGATAATTTGAAAACTACAAGTCACCCTGTTAAAAATCTGTTTACACCCTATCAAAAGGATTATATATATCACTGACATAAGAATTCAACACATACATAATTGGCTTCTTGAACATCCCAAAAGTGACCTTGAGCGCCAATTCTGTTTGAAACTACTCAAAATAAATAGTATAGTTTATCCATACTCTACCACCTATCACGTTACAATTATTGACCTCATAAGACACCATTGCTCTTTGCATTAATGAGATATTGAACATATGAATATTGATTTTGTGAAATCATCTTCTTTAGAGCTCTAAAAGGCTGCATTTTTGAACTACCCGCGGGCAAGTGCATTGCATGATGTATAATAAGTTTTCCCCTTAGGTATCAAATTACATGCTCACACGTTTTCAACAGAAGTAGTTCACCCCAGCACACTTACTCCGCTAATTATGATGTGTCAAACTTGTCGGGTAATAGCGTTATGTCAACTGCGCCGGCTTGTTGCTACTGCACCACAGGAGTTTGATTGCAATAAACCGTGATTAGATGTCTTTCAAAAGAATTATGTGAGTGTTCGTGCACTCGGATAAGGTTTTTTGTTGAAAGCACGCGACCATGTAATTTGCGCTACGGGGCTTTTTGTTCTTTTCTTGATACCTGGGATGGCTTAAATCGCCCAATGAGTTTAAAAATCATATATTAAGTGGCTACCATATTGAAAAAAAGAGTACGTTATGTGCAGTTAATTGGAGGTTGGTAAAACTAAACTAGCTTCTTATTCAACTATTCAAAGTACTATTTAACCTTTCAACTTTGTTCCATAGAACTTATATGAATAAAAATATCAACAAAATATACTTTATAGTATAATATACATTGTAATTTATTTGTACTTCTACAAAGTTAAGTATGGACTTAAAATAAATCGGTGGTTATCTGGAGTTATGATATTTATACAAGGCACCAGTAAACATCAGCTGTGACAATATGAATGTAGTATTCCAGAGCTAACAATTTCTAAATGAAAATAGTAAATCAATTTTCTGAAGATAGCATTCTCTTATAATGATGCACTTCAGTATGGCAGATAAAACTATAACATAAGGCTTAGAATTCTACAAGAGAAGGTCTAAATAAGAAATATTACTATCTGAAGAATAACAAACTTGAGATTCTACAAGGAAAGCACTCGGAACATATTCAGTAGTGATATACTGTAACCCTGGATATTTTGGCACAATTTAATTTGGTGAATATGCCAATCTAGATTTTTTGGTGAAATTAAGATTTTCAACAGATTGAAAGTAATCTATCAATCCAACAACAGGCAAAAATTTCTTTTTGATAAAATTTCATGATGATATAATGCCAAATGCAAAATCAAAGCAGGGTCACTTTAAAACTGATAACAGCAATGTATATATTTTCTTGTATAATGAACTCTTAATATTATTCAAAGCAATAAAAGTTTTAATCTTAAATATGATACAATGTACTTTACATATAATCTACAAAAATACTATGTTTACATATAATTCAATTTACCAATAATTCAAAGATGACTTAATGCATATGTTTTTGTACATATTAGATACATTGGATATGTTGTTTATGTATACATATAATAAAACTATACATATTATATATATACATATAACTTTTATATTCTTTTATTTACTTTTTCCTTATTTGCACAAACCCTTTGCGAAATCACATACATAATCTAGATTTTTTACGAGATGGAAAGTCAATACATTTACAAATTGTGTTCCAGCACAGGCATATACATTTTACAAAAGCTTCATTTACATAAAATATTATGGAATGTCTAATTACAGTTTATTCTGATTTACTAAAAATAAATGTACTGTACAAGTATTTACTACAAGTATTCATTGAATTTAGGGCACATGATACACATAAAATCAAAAGTGCATTCCAATATATTATTAAGTTTGAAAGTTGAACCTCCTTTGTGTTTCGTCATTCTATATGGAAACATCACATACATTTTACTTCAATGACATAGTCTATTAGTAATAATTCTCATATTTTACATGTGATTGTCCATTAGGTTCCTAGCTGTTCTATTATGACATTGTCCTGATACTGCACCGTGATTGGTTGATTCTTGACGTGTCTACTTTGCATATTCCACATCATCATCAAACTCAGCTCTCAAACTGTCCAGGAAACTCATTCCAGTAGTTTCTCGCTGTACTTTATCTTCTTCGTACATCTTTCTCTTTTCCTGAAATATTGCATATGCATACATTAGGTGAATGGCCTTAACATTGTCATTGTACACAAATGACTTGTGGCATTGTTAAGAGTCCTTTGCTATCACAATCTCACCAAGGTGGGCTTTCACTTGATCAAGTCAGGTTTACTCATTCCTTTGATATTTTGTTGAAAATCTATTGAGTTGATAATTGGTTGAGTACATGTACATAAGCATGATTTAAACATGTAGGTGTTTCAGCCACTAATTTGTACTTCATGACCAACATGGTCAAAGGTTCATCACAACTTGAGAGTAAATGCTCTTTAAAGGCCCCAACATTTTGCTAAATTGTACATCAAGTTTTTTCTCTGATAACCACATTGTTTCCTACCATTTTAAGTGTATTCTACATGGTGCTCTTACCTCTAAGTCTTTCTCTTCCTCAGCAGTCTTCAATGGTCTCCCAGTGCCTCCCTCCTCTCCCTCATCCTCCTGTCCTTCCTCTCTCTCTTCTCCCTCATCTTTCTCCTTTTTCGATCCAGCTGCCGATTGGCCCGATCTTTCGCCAGCTTCTCCCGTTTTTTCGAGAGAACTTGCTGAACCAGAGCCTCTTTCTGGTGCTGTCGAAGATCCCTGATTGGGTCGAGCATACGACGAAGACTGAAATAATATATAAAGTGTACTAAAATGTGTTGTGATTTGAATTATCCCAAATATTGAAAAAAATGTGCACTACTTAAACTACAATTGAAAAAGTTTAGTGATAGTAACTTATGTCTTGAACTAAAATGTTACAAGCACATGCATGTTTAGACCATAATAAATGAAGGATCAATACTTAATCATGCAATTAATTAAGAGGGAACGAAATGTCTGGCAATATGACTGATATCTTCATATAAACATAAAATCATTAATTTAAGTTTCATTCAGAAGATCTCTGTATACAAATACGCAAACCTAAATGAACAGAGCAGAAAATCAACACCAAACGCAGTACACATAAAGCTTTAAAAATTAAAACAGCTTAAATGCATGCTATATAGAAAATGCAGGTAAAATAGCAGAATTGGGTATGTCACATCTATAAAATATCTAAAAGTACAAATCTAGAATATCCAGTGCAAAATAACCTGGAAGAATCACTAGAAAAAACTACAAACAGGAGACATTCTGGACACATTATGACATCACAAAAGGCCACAGTGTGACATCACAGCACATGACAGGCAACAGTGTGACTTACATCACATATAGAGTAGAGCTAGGTACAGAGTCGACCATCTCGGCCTCGTGTTTTTCTATATAGCGTAGCAACTGATGCTGAAATAGGCACACATCAAGCTATAATTCACTGAATGATAAGACAATGTGTAGTGACTGTGACTGTCGTAATACGGGAACACATTAAAAACTATGTAATGGATTGATCTGGATGTGAATATAACATATAGCTTTGCATGTTGCACTTCTTAGAATTGTATGGTAGCAGGGGGGTAATTAACAAAAACTTTCAAAGCTAAGAATTGCTATGATGTCATTATATCCATAGTTGCAAAAATTGATTTAGGAATTGTTAACTTATGACGTTTTTGTAATTGATCCCCAGAATAATATTACACCTTGCAAGACACTTTGGGAATCCATTAATGGCAGAAATAGTAAAAGAACTTCAACATGATTTATCAATGCTTTTATCTCTATAAGACTAGTCTTTGTAGCCATTGTACTCTGTAACTATTGATGTGGCATGCTCCCATAAGGTGACCAAAGAAGGCTTAATAACCAGAACATTTTATGAGTAGGATTACACAAAAATGTTCCAATGTTGTTCAACTCTGCCTACCTAACTTAAATGAAACATCTAATAACATTATTTTCTCAGATAGAGAGACAATCTTATCTATGATAAAATGTAATGAATATGTAGTTAATTCAATGAAGACAACTCAGTTTCTAAATTCTGAAAGCATGCATTGCAGAGTGCGTAGATTATCTACTGGTATATTGGACCCTGCCATGAAAAGCTTGATGTGAGCCTATATTTTGCATCTTAAATAAATCATATATTAGACCAAAATAAAAAAAAATAAAAATATGGATGGGAACTCAAATGTAAATGTTAATGCAAGATATGTCACATAAAGCTGAATTCATGGTTTAATAGTTCCTAAATTCTATTCTACTATGATCGTGGTTCAAAGTTTGTAAAATCAATTATTTCTCCAGATGTTTGGTGGTTGTAACATGATAAACAATGATTTTGTCACAAAAATAAAACAATGAATGTGTTTGACAAAATAAGACAATGATTGTGTTTCACAAATAATGAACCATTCACCGAGATCTCTATATTCCTTCAGGACAACATTAAAAAATGTTAAACCACACACTGTTTCTGTAAGATCAGAAATTATTCTGAACAAACTACTAGTTCTTAAGCTTCTATTTGATTTAAGCATTTTTACCTCTCTGTCATCCGACCATTCTGTAGGGGGTGGCTCGTGAAGAGTGACATCAACCTGACTATTACGTCGACTTTCCGACTCTTTCTCTAAACCATCATCAAGTGGCTTTCGCGGGAGATTAACTTTGCGAGTATTTTGCCTTAATTGGGCAAATGTGCTTTTTGGGTCATCCATTTCGTTCTGGCATGATAACAGGAAGTTGATTACATTTCTATGGTCATATTGTTCAGCGAGTTCTAGTGATGTGCGACCCATGACATCAACTGCATTAAGATCTGCTCTGTTAGCAACTAACCATTTCACAGTTTCAAGATGGCCACTGAAAATCACATCATAATGAATTAAAGAAAATCACATATCCTTTAACTGACGATATCACAAAAGAATTTTAAATTGCACATACTCTATTTATTTCAAATGTTGCATCTTAGTGGCATTATTTCCCATACCCACTCCATTTCTAATTTCAACATCATCACAATTATCTATTTTAACTAAATATTGGAATCTTACTTCATAGCTGATAGATGCAGTGGGGTTTGCTCATCTATGGACTTGCAGGCAATTGAAGCACCCATGGCCGCCAGGACCATCATACAATTTACGTGACCATTCAAAGCCCCAAGATGCATTGCAGTGTACCCTGTTGGTGTCTCAGCATTAAGATTTGCAGCATTTACTGATAGCCATTTCACGATATCTAAATTTCCTTCTGAGGTTGCTACGTGTAGTGTTCGCCAACCTTTCTCATCTGTCGAACTACAATACAAAATTTCATTTTTAAATCCATGGCATACTGAATCATTCATTATATGTTGAACTCAATCATATAAGACAAAGAGATATTCTTTCTGAACATTTTCATCCTCATAATACATGAAAGTATGAGTTTATTTTATTACAACCATCTGCCTGATAATGTTGGAGATGATATGGGGGGTGGGGGGGGGGGGTTGGGGCAGAAACTCAATGCAAGACTATAAGGCTTCTTTGATCTACCGATAACTCTATAAGTATACCAATCAGAAAACAGAAAATTTTGTAATTAATTATTGTAATTAATTATCAGCAACTCTAAAAATGCAAAGTTATCATCATGGTTACGTTCTTACTTGATGAGTGAGGCATTATGATTGGCCAGTTCTTGAATGCGTCGTAAGTTATTGCTTTTCGCTGCTTGGTGTATGGTTAAACCTCTATATATTGCCATATCCTCGGTACCTGACGATCGTTGAGATTCTACGCTGATCTTCCTAGTGGCCTCTACACCAGCCTGCGGTGAATAAGATCAAGGGGTTGATTGGTTAAACATTTTCACTCCTGCTAAAGTTTTATATGTTGTTATGCTTTTTATTTCATTTGATGTTTCCAAACTAGCATAGAAGTTTGAGACATGCAATTTAAAATTTCCTCCTTCATTCAAATTTCTCAAAATTTCATTTGAGATTTTTTGAGATTTCTTCTGTCAATGTACCCACTGTACTTATTCAAATGGGAATAATACATATATTTCAAACCACTATCAATTATATGAACCAAAAATGATATGTTACATGTAAGTTGTTAATTTTCTCACCTTGAAACCATCCATAAAGCCATCAGCTCCTTTGTTTTTACGTCCATCTTTAGTATCCATCACAGCTTGTTCCAGATCTGTCTCTGTTTCATCTCCAGCTGTATCAGTCTCATCTTCTGTCTCCGTCTCACTTTCTGATGACATATCAGAATACTGTGGCTTATCAGAGTCATAATCTTTTTCATTTCGCGATTTAGATTTTGAGTCTTTTGTTTTTGCCTCCAGTTCGAGTTGATAAAGTCTTTGCTCCGAACCTGCCGGAGATCTATAGTTCAACCCACTTCTATGACTAATATTGCTTTTTGCACTGCGGGTGCTTCGCCCACTGTGGTTGCTCCGATAACTACGCGTTGTGGAGGTCTCGCTACTTGAACTGTCTGTAGTTGTATAGCTAGAGTCAGAATCAGAGTCTTCAGTTTCAGATACTGATTTGTTAGAATTTGAGTACAGGCTAGTTCTGCTTTGTTGGGCTTCTAGACTTGTATGGGAAGCAGAGTAAATTGATTTGTTAGGATGTGTCGATTCTGTTCTACTAGATTTGTTAATAACAATTTCACTTTCTCCATCTGAGCTGTGGTATTCTGTGTCACTATGGCTCACTTCAGAATCTGGAATCAATAAAGTAAAATTATTTAGTTCGCATTCCCGACAAACCCAAACCATTGCTGCCATCTATTCATTTATCCATCTGTACAGCAAGTCAGCTATTGGTGCAATCTTGCAAAAATACATCACCGATATATCCATTATCTATTGTAATTGTCATGTGGTTCAGCAAATGGTGATATGATTATAATAATAAAAGCCCTGACCCTCTACAATTGGCTAATCCATGTTCCAATGATATATTATCCTCTTGTGATGTAACAATGAGATTTTAGCATGACTGACTGAGATAAGAAAGTGGTTACAATTTCATACATTGCGTGCTTCAATTAATTGATTATTAACTTACAAGTTCCCTAGGGAGCATTTTACCTCATTATGCACCTCTGAAATATTTCACATTCACATTCATTTTTTTCTTTTTTCTTTGTTTCCAGAATGATCTTACCTGCAGGTAGTGGTCTCTGAGAACTGGGGGTCAATTCTCTGATGGTTTTACCATCACCATCACGTGTTGACATCCAGCGTTCACATGGAAACTCATAACTCATCCTATCTCTCATATCATGAACTGTGACACCCTCTAGAAACCAGCCATACCCTAGAGGATAAAAGGACATTGAATTGTGAAATAATGGCAAGAGGAAATTCAAAAGGTTTAATCTAATATGGAGTGTGGGGTCTATCAAACAATACCAGCCTGGTATAACATTGCCTCATTGTTTTTACTGTTCTTGTTTTTATTGCCACAATTCATTGATTATTCTGTGCTTTTTTATGTATTTTAGTTGCTAAGATACTGTCACAATTATTACATGTCACAGCTGTCACACATGCTTGCTCCTACATGGGAAAACCAAGAAATGTAGTCTAAAAATCAAACTATTATACACCAACCTAGTTCTTCTCTATCATGGCCAATAGAAACCTTCTTCATAGCACCAACATGCCAGGTATTGATCTCAAACACATCCTCTTGTCCCTTCTGAAACTTGACCTTATGTGTACTAGATGACAATAGAGGTATGCTCTCAGTGCGCCCATTGTCTCCATACAGGACAACCTTTACATCAGCCTTTGTGCTGGCACCAAGCTTATTCCCAGTTCTAACATAGATGTTATAGTTTGCCTTGTCTCCTGTTTTGATTCTCTCTTCACACTGAAATATATTGATGAAATAGTGAGCTATATTGCAATCCAACCTGGATCCTGAGACGTTTAAGGTGCTCTACATTTATAAGGGACAAATTCAATGCTGATATAAATCAATTCATAATATCTAAATCATTCTTTGACGCCAAAATATTTTTTAATATTCACATTTACAATTTTGATGATACAAAATTCAAATTGTTAAGATGAAGATTAATTTCAGTGATCATTTTATTCTTGTACTAATAAGCATATTGGTGTACATTTTCTTTTTCTTTTAACACTAGGCTTGATTTTTGTAAAAATATATTTACATGGTCATATCCTGTGAGTAGATCTGTTCCTGTCTGTACGCCAACCTCATCAACTGTTTGTGTAGCGGTGGGCTCAGAATATTTTGCTTGCTGAATCACATGTGATTGAGAATCCTCACTCATCGTCTCCTCTTTTTCATGAATGCGTTCCTTTTTCTTCCTTCTAGTAGTTTTTTCTTTATCTCTTCTTTCCTCTTTTTTTCCTCTGCTCTTTTCCTTTTTCGTTTCATTCCATGCATTGTCTGTTCGAGGTGGGGGTTTGGGGGTAGAATCTGCATAGGTAGGGGGGTCTTCTTTGTAAAAATGTGGTTCTATCGGGGCCTGGGGATCTTTACGTCGCCGATAGCGATAAATACACACAGATTTGGGTTTAGAGCCTGGAAAAAATAAACGTGAAATATATATTTTATTTTCAGTGAATTTACATTCTGGGACAGGATCATAAATCACATTTTTAGTGCTACTATCTTCACATATTCATCTACATATAAAACTTTTTTCATTAAAATGACCATTGTGTCACTTATCAATCGCATGTTCTCTTACCATTAGGTCTGTGAGGGGCATGTTCAGAATTCATGGATGAATCAGAACCAGATAGAGGGCGCAACTGTGACTTCCTGTGTCGTTCTAAGCGCTCTTCCCGATCCATTTTCTGCATTTCTCGCCTCAACCATTCGGGGAGTTGATCTCGATCGGCTTGTTTTCCATCTATTGTTACGTACATCCCTGCAGATGTGCTTGTAGTGGCTTGAGTTTGATATCCACTGTCATTTCTATTATTTCTATCGTGTTCATTATTCTCTTTTTCTGGCTTTTCTTTATGACGTCTGCCGTCAATATCCCAAACATAAACTCCCTTAACATGTTTGCCACTAGAGGTCGCTCTAGTCCCTGTGTCACTCTTGGAACTCTAAAAAGATAAAAGTAAAGATAATATTAAAGATTTATACAGTTATATTTTAATATTTTAGGTAAGATTAAGAGTGGCGAAATTTGTATTTTTAGCTGTTCATGAGCCAAATACATTAAAACCTGTCTTAGTGAACATCTCTCTATAGTAAACACCTGTCTCTAGTGGACAACCTTCCTTTGCATACTCTACTGACTTCTGTATAAATTACCCTCTCTGTAGGGAACACCTACCAACACTGGACGCTTTTAGCCAGCAAAAATGTTGAATCTACACAGGTTTTACTATAAACATCTTATTTACATTCTGATGGTCTGATGGGGGCTTTTTAATATGTGTTGTTATAAGAAGATAAATTATCTCAATGACACTATTTCAGAGTCGTGACTTATTTCCAATTAAATTCCAATTTGAAATATTTTCTTTAGGGATTCAGACAACTTCGGAAAATATCATTTTGACACTTGGGCTATCGCCCTCGGTCAGTATATTTTCCTTGCCTTATATCATATTTTCCAACAGAATAAAATTCATATTCCATCCCTCCCATAAAATAACCTCTATGTATTTCTAAGAGCAAGACTATTGAACATTTTTGGAAATAAGTAAGTTCATAAACATATTCTATCAATAATACAAGGTACGAGTTTCTATGATCTTTACAGATTTAAGATCATATTACACTGAGAGCTCTACATTGAAAAAGCAAAAATAGCAGTTCAGTATTAACTGGCAACACAAAATCAATTAAACAAGACTTTATCTAACATTACCTTGGGTCTGTTACGTGTTGAACTGGCTTTATTGCTGGATTCATTGTAATCTAATTGCGGGAGACTGTGCGAATGTTGAGACTGAAAAAAACATATAATTTATAATTGCGAATACTGAGACTGAAAAAAACATATAATTAATAATTGCGAATGTTGAGACTGAAAAAAACATATAATTTATAACTGCGAATGTTGAGACTGAAAAAAACACATAATTTATAATTGCGACATCATTTATAATTGCGAATGTTGAGACTGAAAAAATACATAATTTATACAGCAAATATTGAGACTGAAATACACATAATTTATACAGTGAAATTGCAAATGCTGAGATTGAAAAAAACACATAATTTCATAATTTTAATTCTTTTAATGCTATTTTGACCACACCTTTTTTCAAAAAATAAGGGGTTTAATTCAAATGAAGAGACTGAATTCCAATGCATTTTGGTTACAAATCATTCAACTATATATGATAGATCTCATTCACTTTTTTCTCTCATAAGCTTAAGTAGATGATTTATGGACAAATAAAGACTTATTTACATGTTATTGCCAAAACATGTCGTGCTGTAATATTTTTTATTCCCAATAGTTTTCTTGGTGCAACATTCCATATTGTATAAACAGACATAGGTATTCAATAAAATGAATAATGAATATCGCTAATTACTACAATCACTGTTTGAATGCAGAGACTGGAGAAAACAATGGTGTCCTGTCTGCAATATAGAGAAGTACCAATTACCCAAATGCGAGTAGGTAGTTACCAGTTTCACCACCAGGTGGCTGGTTCGGGTCAATTAACATGGCAGGTATATGAAAAAGTTCCCTTAAACTTGAATATTATCAATTAAAGTGGCTCAATTTTCATATGCGTCTGATACTTATAATAATGAAAATATTTCCAGTAAAGCAAAATATTATCTGTCCACTAAAAGAAAAGATATTTCATTTCTTGTGATTTTATAGCATGGGGTCTATGGGGAATCTCTCCGAGCTAGAAGTCACATTTTCAAAGAAAATTAATTTTTCAAAGTTGATAAACACTTTTTAAAACCACATTTCTAGATGTAATTTTTGAATTTTTAATGACGTAAATCAAGATTTTTTCTTCTCGCATCTGGGTTATTGTACTTGATAAACATGTCTTGAAAAATTAATATTTTTTTTAAATTGTTTCAGTTAATATAGAAAAATCTCGTGATTCTGTGTCAGTATCCAATAATGGCTATTGATATCATCCAGCAGATATTGATAAGTTTATACCATAACTAGAATCTATATCTGCTAAATTCCAGTAACTGTCATCAAAATGTGCTTTATTCTGTTAACCATGCAATCTCAAGGTAGGATATTTAGGTGTTAGATCTACTGAGTAGATGCCAGATATCGACACCAAATATGAAATAGTATAGAAAACCCAAAGAAAACCTGACAACTAAGATTATATGAATAATGAATTGGTTATAGAAGCTTCATGAAGTCAAAAATTCTTATATCAATTGTAGCCATGGATATAATGACATCATTGTTATTAGATAATAATGGAATAGGAAATTCTAAACTTTCTGTTAATGACACCCAGTCCATGTATATGAATGGGAAGTCTCCACGAGTTTTGGGAAACTGGATCACTAATTTATAATTTAATAATGATCGAGAGAGACTATGTTCACAATAGTGTGTGTGTGCACTGAAATCAAAGTTGTAAAAACGATAAATTAGAAATCCTCATAATATACAATTGAATTCACCTGTAGCTGATAAACATATATAACTATATAGATGCAATAATTCCTGGGACAAGGTTTTAGATTTAACTGATTAACAATCTTCATCATGCAGTGTTGATCAAAAATAGTTAAGAAATATATATGAACAAATGATGAACAAGATGTTTGGTGTAATGATTCTTTAATGTGCATGTGAATATGTGACATATGACATATAGACTATATGTGAGCATATACTGTAAGTGTATTATGTGCAAACATGTTATGTGTGGTACACAAATGAAATGCTGTACAGAGGAAACATGCTCTCGATGCCAAAAGTAATATTCCAATATGCCCCGTGCTGATGCCCAAGTGTCAGAAACTAATACATGTAGATAAAACTCTCAAAATCAAAAGGAAAGGAAATTGTGCTGAAATCTTGTCTCAAATACAAGACCTCTAAAAGATGATTTTAAGAATGTCATATTTCATGCTTTCAACATGCATTACAAACCTGATTATTCTTATTATATTTCCCGAATCTTTCCTATGGTAGAAAACATAGTTATTAGCAACAAACAAATCAATCATTTTTTTCTTGTGTTAACCACTGAACAATAACAACAAAAACTTCATGAAAGCAAATGGAACCATTGATTTACAATAATAAGACATAGATTCGTACCTCAAATGATTTGGGTGCCGATTGCCTTTTAGATTTCCCCTTTTCGCCGATATCAACAGTTTCCTAAAAAAGAAGATCAAAATGTCATTTATATAAAAGGTCTTAATCAATATATAATACTTTATGTGCAGCAATGTAAAAAACATATAAATACATTCAAACTTTAACTTGATGCTACATTATTTCTAATTTTTGAAAATAAATCAATATTAGTTTCCTTGAAATGGTGACATGTTATCTCAACCCCAAATCAACTTAACCAATGAAACTCAACCCCAAGTAAACGCAATCCAGTAAAACTCAACCCCAAGTGAACTCAACCCAGTAAAACTCAACCCCAAGTCAACTCAACCCAGTAAAACTCAACCCCAGGTCAACTCAACTTTTGATTTTAACTCTCACATCTAGTCATTGTAGCTGTCTTATTTGAGTGAAATTAGTAAGGCCTCGATGCAGGATTACTAGAATAGTACGTATATTGCACACATTTTCTTTATTTTAGCACACATTAAAAGTCTCAAAAAAGTGTAGACGTTTGTGTAAAATGTTTGATACAAACCAGAATTCCAGTGCAATCATTGGTCACCTTAAATAACATGTACATGGACAACAATACTTACAGTGGCAACTAAGAGCTTGGTTGCTGTATTGACCAGTCTGGCTGCTTCTCCCTTTGATATATACACAGGGGGCGCCATGCGTAATGTGGGGTGACCACCTTGGAATGGCCTGAAACAAAACAAAAATTAATGTTACTCCATAACTAGAAGAAAATAGTTCCTCATCAATGATAAACATCCATACATGTAGGTGACTACTTTATGCCAGCTAAAAATTACATTTTCACTCTGAAAGATTTTATAGTAGGATTGCAATCTTGAATATAAATAAAGTACAGTACTTCCAAATAAATAAATTCTCAAATACTGTACATCACTTACTTATCTTGCTTCTTCAGAGGCTTTCTTCTACTGCTAGTTTTCCCCTTTGTGTAGACAAACTGGCCATTTACATACCAGGGGTGCTGTAATATATAAATCAAATACATGTATATAGTGGGTCTGCATTTTTAAACAAGGCATTAACATGCAAAATGTCATCATCTGCAATTTGATGCAGATGACGAACACCAAACACCAAATACTAACTGCCAAACACAAACACCGCCACTAAAAAGTTGGAGACAACTTGTGGTGGTGTCATTATACTACCAAGCATTTAAGGCAGCATAGCATAATGCTGGAGCTCTATATTGGGAAGGCTTCATTTCAAAACTGGGAGGAGGAATAGCTTTTACATTGTTGGATTCGAAAATTTGAAACAATTTGACAAAACTTCACTGTAATTGCAATGCAAGCTGGCTGGCTGTCATCTCACACTTTAGTCCAATAACCCAAGATACATTTTAAGGCATCAAAACTAGGACATGTTCGAATTGAACCTATACGTTGTATATAGATTCAGTTAATGAATTATAGATGTTTCCTTCTTAATAGAAATGCCCCATTATGCTTTTAATCATGCAATAGTGTGACTGTTAATGAATCAAACTGTCATTAATAAGCTGTTAATGGATTTCAACTTATCCAAAGAGTACTTAGTGTTTTGATATCTGATTATTGGATAATTTGGCCTATTATTACCATGGTGATTAAACATGACATAACCCTGAGTAGTTTCCTATTGATGAAGCTATTTGATATTTAGAAGGATCATCTCCATAGCAACAAAACAATAGAGAATGATTATATAATTATATATTAATTGATATAATAAAACACTCAAAGACTCATTAATTAAGTAGCAATTAATCAGTTATTTTATGTGTGTCATGAATTCATGCTTTTTATGATACAAAACATGGGATGGTAAAAGTAAATGTCTTGAGGATATTTAAAGTTACTTAATTGCCTTCTTGTGTGACATGCAAAAAAGGTTTCTTCTCTGGTACTAAGCAGACCTCATTATAAGGTGAGCTTGCTCAATATCATGGCTAAAGCACAGGGCTATATGTATTAATGAGCTCAATGCTATGTTCAGTTCAATGTTGATCTTCAAATGTTCACAGTATGTTGAGATCAGCATTTGGGGGCTGATGCTCGAAACCTTTTGTTAATAATGAATAGTTTCGAGCAACAGCCTCCTGGTTAGAACCCATGTACTACATGTATCCGAAATGCCATCACTATAGATCAAGTATAAAACCCAAAAAGTCAAACATCCCAGTGGCCAGCTTTCACCAAGAGGAATCTCATTTTTGAACTACGAATATTACAGATGATATCACCAAAAACTTGACAAGGTAACTTCGTAACATCTCTAGTATCTCAACCCTAATAAAAAGCACACTGAGACAATATAAGTGAACCATACCTACATTACATAGTATATATTAAGGGAGGGTCACAAACTAAAACCAAAAGCACCATTTACCGATTAAACAACATTTAAAGCGACTCACCAGACCATTTACATCCATACCTACTTTTTTCAAATAATCTTAGTCTAAAAATGATTTTTATGGTATTTTTCATTGATATATTGCTTTTCACCAGTAAATTGACAATGGCCATAATTTATGATTTTCTGCACATTGTCGGTACATGTAATATTAAAACTAAAACATTACCACCTTTAAAAACAAGGAAAGCGGATCTACGCATTTACTATGTACAACATCCATTGTTACCTGACTTTGGGCACTAGAATGGCGAACTTGACTCGAACCATTTCTAGAATTACCAGGAACCTTGTTTTGCTAGCAGTTATCAGTAAGAAGAAAATTGATTTTAAGAAGCAAATAATGTAAAGAAATCAAGGCGTATAGACTAATACAGTGATCAATATTGTACCTAAAAATCAAACATAGCTGCCTAAAATCCAGCATGCCCAAACTACTATAATCTTTGGCTGAATATGTTTTCAAATCAACTGGATAGTTAGGAAATGCGTAAAAAATAAAAATAAGTCAACAGCCAAGCTAAAACTTTATTCAATTTTGAGAACATAAATGTAGAGAAAAGAGAACACGATGCAAATGTAACTGGTTCAATCACGAAGTTGGAGGAATGTAGTGACCAATCAAAAGTGACTATTTACATTTTTCGCACATTATTTTTACATGATTGAGTGTGAATACAGAAGCCTGGTACAAGGACTGTGATTATTTTGATTTAAAGTAAATGAAGTAAATTAAAGTATTTTACCTGATGCTTGACTTTCTTCATATGTTTTGCCATATCAGCTTTTGTTTGATATTCTCTGTCCCTCCGTCCACCATTAGTCTGTAAAACACAAATTTAAAAATCATGTTCATCTCACATTATGTAGAACATTCCTTAAAGCTTCATAGAATGTTGTTGTTGTAAAATATGTTATCAAACATTTTTTCAATGTACATTCAAAATAACATTTTTGTGATTCATGTTGTGATTGGTCAAAACCTATAATGAAGAAAACAACGAAATCTCTTTTATCCTGAGAGCAATATAACTCTACCTGCTGGCTATGACTATGGTTGATGCAATGTTATCGATATAATGGTATGCTTATCTCAGTGATTCAATAAGGTATCATTGAAACAAAATCAACAATCACTGGTATAAATCAATAATGAGAGATAGTACTTTACTATTCCAATATGATAAATCAAATACTGAATAACAATGTGCTGTCTATTGAAATATGACAATAACAAACGAACCTGTGGAGATAATATTAAATGTAAGCATCGGCTTTTCAATGGTTGAAGTTACACAACAGGTTCATCAAATGAAGCATTTTGAGAAAAAAGCTTCATTACAACAATTTAACTGAGTTGTGTATCAGGTGCCAGCTTCAAGAAATTCTCAATGTCATTAATTTTGACTTTTCCAAGAATCATGGTTTACATTTTCGGGTTTGTCTAAACTCTCTTAATTGATTTTCATGAAAAACCACATACTTTAGAAAAATCATCATGTTTGTCTAGAATACATTTATAATATTAACAATTCATGAAACTGCTATTTACATTGCTTTTGAAGCATGTTCACTCGCATTAAATCTAGATGGTATGAAGTAATAGATAACTGATCAATGCACTTCACCTAGCATTAGGAAAGTACTGAAGTATCGAGATCTAACAACCTTTCAAGAGACATTGTATCCAACAGGATAAACTTACAATTAAAAAGTGATCAAATCAATCTACTCCATATTGGATGAATCATTTGATGTTATTTCAATGTCAACTTGACTCGTCAAAATTGTTCAGATGTTTTGATATGGTATGGACCTGTTGTTTGATGTTTCCATGGTGATATCAGTTTACTGTCCCAAAAAACGCTTAAACGAAGGCGCCATATTAGTTCATTTACTTCAACTCATATGTTTTCTTGGGGTTCTTTTATTACACACAGATTTATATTTTTCAATTAAAAAAAGTAATAACTTGATGGATCATACCTGGGATCCATTTTCTAAGGTATATTTTCATTCCCATTGGCATTTACACAGATTGACGTAACAATCTAATACATGTACACCCTTGTCAAATGGTTTTCTGGCCTCATTTCTCTTGACTTGAATCTTCACAATCTTCTCAATCACTATATTTATACTGCAGACTGCACACCGGATATGTTCCATTAATTAATTGCTTATTTTAAAAACTTCACTTTGTCTACTCTGTAACATGTCTTTCTGACAGATATTATATTCTCTGGTAGAAGGCGAATATACTTACGGATCTCATTTGTGTAATAGGTTGGCGCACCTGCGGCCTGAAGTAATGTTTCACTGGTCTATCATGTAATCCGTCATATGCCAATGTTGGGTGCTGTAAAAATAAATTTCTATTTTATCTTGTTTTTAGAATTTGTAATAAAATGCAGAAAATAATTATATCAATTGTCTTGAGCAAACCAGAATATTGATATTTTTGGTCATGCATTACTGCATATAAATATGAAGTCCTTATTTGGTCAAATTATTTAGTTCAATACACATGAATTTGAAGTATTACATATGGCCACATATAGATAGGCTACATACTAAGAAACATTTAATTACTCAGATGTGACTAGGCAGTTACCAGTTTCGCCACCAGGTGGATGATTCGGGGGAAATAACATGGAAGGGTATTACAAAGTTCTCTTAAACTTGACTATTCATCAGTTTTAGTGGTTCACTTTTCATATTACTCTTATGGTTATACAAATTAAAATATGTCCAGTAAAAGAAAATATTATCTGCCCAGCACAAGAAAATACATTTCACTTTTTGTGATTTTACAATATGGGGTCTATGGGGAATCTCCCCTACCTTGAAGTCATATTTTCAAAGTAAATTGAATTTTCAAAGTTGATAAACTCTTTTCAAAACCACATTTGTAGATGTAATTTTAGATGTAGATTCCAAATATGAGACCAGTTTGACTGAATTTTGAATTGTTAATGACGTAAATTTTAATGACGTAAGATTATTTCTACTTGCACCTAGTCATTGCTTTTCATTACAGAAAATCTTACTTTGTTCAAATGTACTATATCTACAGTATTAAAAGTTTGGCAAAAGCTAAACACATTTTAACATGAAAACGAATGTTGTTTGCAAATAATATTACACAAATGCACGGTGACAGTTTTTTTAAAAGTTACCATCCCTAAACCTATGTCTATCCTTTGTTGAACTTTAAACAGCAAGTCAAGATGCCCAATTATCTGCGCAAAATACAATTTAAGATGTGAAAAGTTGATGTTAATCAGTTGATGGATGAGATAGCACATGTTTGAAATTGAAAATATATGTAAATATCAAAACAACACGAACTTGACTCAGGCTGACATTGGTTGGTTAGACGATGAACATGACATACAACAATAATTTAATAAAAATAGATCATTATAGCATAATGTTTAGATCTCTCCTGGCAACGACAACAACATGAGATCTTGAATATTAATAAACCCTATTATATGATATAACTGCAAGATGTGTATGCATGAACACCACTGGTTCGTGATTTCTGCTGTCTTTGTTTTTTGTTTTTATTTATTTAAGAATAAACAAGATCATTAAATGTAAAAATTACAGTAAAACCTTAATCAATGGGAAATGTTCTCATTTGACGGTTCTAATTCTTAAGATATCATACGGAGATCATAAACACAAGTTTTACTGCTCGAACACAGACACCTTTGTAGTCAAAACAGATAAATATGTTTCAATGTGTATTATGGGGTAGAGGGTTTTAGACATTGTTTCTCTTCACATTAGCTTATGGTTTGGGATAGTTGGGATTTGTTTTGGCAACTTTATTTTCCTTATGACTGGTGTATTGTTAGATTTTCATATTACTTGATGTGTTCTGTAACAAGTATTGGTTCTTTCCCTTTTGCACCTGTGCATATATCTTACCCAGACAAGCATCCCTTGACATAATGCCCCTATGAAATATAAGAAATTGTTAAAATATTCGCTAAATCACTGAAGATTTCTGAACTCACTAACCAGTCTGAATAACCTGGAAATCTAAGATGGATGATCTTATAATTAGAGTATATCAACTTGCCAAAACTAAGTTAGAAGTGATAGCAACAATGAATAATTGAGCATTGGATTTCCTTTATATTCATCACAGTTGACCTTTTGATATTTGGATGATGTCAGTTAGGGGAGGCATCAAAAGTTCGATGTCAGATCGGAAACTAAATTAATCTAGTTTTGACTTTGACCCCCCCCCCCCCTCCCCGCAAAACTAAATACCATAAAAGTTGATCGCTGACTTCCGGTTTGAGAATTTGAAATGTTATTGCTTAAACACGATCTAGTTTTTGTTAATTCCTATCATAATTTGCGACTTTTAACAACTATTATTACCACCTTGCCGGGCCAGTTCTAGGGGTTTTAGTGCTAGTTTAGAAGGCATTCATTTTACTATATCGACCTGAGAAATGTGTGACGTCATAGTGGTGGTCCATATGGACCGGTCTAGAATATATTCTGGACTTTCTGGATTTTCTTGCTGTTTCAGTCCTGGTCGTTAACGGTGGTAATAATACTAATAACGTCATTTCTGCGAGCAATTGCCCTTAGAAATGACATTACTGTACTATTGATAGAATACAATCCATTGGAATGATCTTGACAAAGAAAACATCAGGCAAAATCTTTATTTTTAAACCATTCCAAGGCATTCTGAGTCAAAATGGCCAAAAATTTGAAATGTTGAAATTTGTCGGATAGCAAACTGAAATGGGTTTGAACCCCCTCCCCCCTAACTAGATTTATTTAGTTTTCTATCCGACATCGAACTTTTGATGCCTCCCCTTAGGAACAGAAGTGAACAGTAGACTAAGCATAGAAATAAACGTGCAGTGTAGATATCTGATATTAAAGGGTCATGATCAATCCATATTGTTGTTTTAAGTGAAACAAAGACAAATGGTGGCATAAATAGGTATTGATAATATTGCAGGTCTGGGGTATTATGAGGGAGATAAATTATATCTCCTACTTTCTCCACATACTTATACCGGTAATGAACAAATTCTCCATCATGAAACATCTTCCCGACTTAACACTCACCAGTTTTATCATATTTTAATTAGTCTAATGAGTAATGTTATTTTGGCATCTTTTAACTTGTCAACAACTTCCATTTAAACAAACATCTCAATTCTATTTTTCAGATAATAAAATTAGGATTAAAATTATGAGAAATACATTAGCATGGTTTTTAAGAATTGCTTCCAACAATTTACATATTCTTTACTGTCACTTTAAGAGGAGAATGCTCACATGTTAAATCACTTACTGGTTTAAGGGGAGGATGATCCAGTCGAGGAGAATAAGGTCCAGATAAATCAAAGCCATCCTCCAGTCTCTTTATCTCCATGTAGTGACGCCTAAAAGCACAAACAGATTATGAGACTTATTTATGTATCATGCTGAATCATTATTATAATAGGGACACTTAATAAAGTGGTCGACATATTTGAATAAAATCAAAAATGCATTAATATTCTAATGGCAGATTTACAAAGTACTGGTTTATCAAACAATCCGACTTTTTAGGGTTTGATACATAATACAGCCAATTACGTACAATCAAGCCCATTACGTACAATCAAGCCCATGGTACAATAAGGGAAATAATTTTATTATTGCAGAGTGATCTTGGGACAACAAGTTATTTTATTCTTTTTTCATCCTCAAAAGGCTATTGTTCTTTAAATATATCGTACCATAAATCAATGTTTCAGAAAATAATGTTAGAATAACAGATTATTTTGCTTAAGTAACGTGGAACTTATTTACATAGAATGTAGGCAATGGGATCAACCGATATGTTGAACAATGAACATCATATTTTGCGGATTACCTGAGGATAATATGTTTCCAAAACAAACATTTTCTTAGATTTATACCATGTCTCTATTGATCAAAGACAGTGTATACATATCCTGAAGTCTCAACAACCATTGTTATATTTAGAGTATGAAAAATCCATTGGCCTTGGATAATGAGCGACAAATCACAAAGTTTTCCATTACGGAGCTGATCTGAATCATGATTTAATGTGAACTATGAAAACGATTGTTCAGTTCATCACTAATAATGATAAATCATACATGTATAAGTAGGTGGTTCGATTTTTTGCATCTGTAGTAAAATATGTATGTGATGATGTATAATGTAAAAATCTCTGAGTCTCTGGGATAAAAGCTGGCCATTCTAGTATATGAACACATATCTATCGTCGGTTTCCACTGGGTCTAGACTCTAGAGGTAGGAACAATGAAACCTTGTGAATCAAGATAACACTTATTATTCAAGTGACATATTCTACAGGGTGGTAAAAAAAATGGAAACCCTTACACCATTTTCCTCATTTATTTGTCATTTTAAGAAATAACTCCCTGATATTTTGCACATCTGTACATCATTCAATTTCCTACCAGCCTACTTCATTTCATGACCATCAGATTGATATTAACAATGTTACAGCACTTTACAGAACAGCCCTAGTAGCCACTATTGTGCTGTCGGGCCACCTGCACTCGCTGTCCAAAATGTCCCTACCTGTAGGGGTATGGCAAGGAAAAGGTGTACGAGAATGACCTTAGGACAATCACAAACCTCAAAAGTGAGATCATCCGTATCATTCAGGCCATACCTGCTGAGAAATGCATTCGGCCCATTGACAACTGTGCATGTTTGCCTACAGTGCGATGATGGCCAAAATTGAAGCATGTTAATCAAACTGCTGTAAAATTGTGACTATCAGTCTGATGGTCATGAAATTTGGTAGGGTGGTAGGAAATTGAATGATGTACAAATGTGTGAAATATCAGGGAGTAATATTTTAAAATGACAAAGATATTAGGAAAATGCAGGGTTTCCATTTTTTTGACCACCCTGTACATCAAAAATATTCCGACTTGTTCCACCTAAATCATCTTTATCAGACTTCTGTGGCAGTTTTCAAAATAGGCGTTGGCAGACTTGAGCATAGACTTTCAAGAAATAATGCAAGACATTACCTGAGACATGTGAATTGAATGAATAGGGGTTCCGTGTCAAACTTTCCTTACGAATGACATTCAATTCCCTGCAATCAAACTGCTTTGGAGAGTAAAAGATATACTCTTGAAAAAAGAGGATTAGCTTCTGACTATCACCTCCACCTGTCCTTACAATGGGCATGCTTGGAATACCCAGGGGGTAGACTTTATCCCGTCCCAGGACTATAGACTATTGTCTATAGACAATACTCTCAGACGGCAGGGAAAATAATAACCAAACGAAATGTGAACAAACAACATTTTCACTTGGGTCGATTATGTGGGCCGATTCACTCAGACAAAATCCGAGCATTGCTCGTAAAACGTTTATCATAATTAGAAAGTTAATACCATTTCTAAGAGAATGCTGTTTTTATTATACCCAAAATCGCATTTATTTTCATCTCGATATATTCAGTCTAAGTCACCCCCCCCCCACTCTCTCTAATATTCTCTATATTTTTGAGATTTAGGCTACAGAATATAAGAGGGGAGGGGGTAGAGTTAGACTATATCCTATTTAGTCTGAATTATATTCAGACTATAAGGCACCTATGTTAAAGTTTGGTAATTTGAAATATTTGTTTACATAGGAAGTGCTATTCAAAATGGCTGATTGGTAAAATTAATTTGCACATTTGTTACTTCAACTAGCTTTGACAATATGCTGTGTTACTTTTTATTGCATTTAATTGTACCTTACTATTTAATTGGAATTTTGTAATGTTTATTTTATTGAAGAAATGGTTCCTCTAATTGATAATTTTGTGCAAAAAATTTCACTGCAATTTCCACAGGAAAGTAGTACATCATAACAGACTGACTTCTAGTCAGTCTGTTGGATACATACTAGGGGTAGAGTGGTGACTTACTCACATGGTGTATTAACAACCCTAATTGTATTTGTAATATTCCTTTGGTTATCAAAAAGATTTATGGAGACTCCTATCCTATCAAGATTTTAAATTGTACTTGTAATCTTACAACTTTCACTTTCATATGAAGAATAGATGCCCATGGAATGATACTGATAGCATGAATTCATCATACAGACACAAAGATAACATAAATTTCAACAGTAAATGGTAGATACTTACAGTTTTGCTGCCACTGCCTTCACTACATCGTTATGTGAAGCTTTCTTGGGCATCTTCGCCGATTCGTAAGGTAATCAGAGAGAAAATCAGAGAAATTTGGCCATCAAAATAAATTCTATCTTTTCCATTATTTAAAGATGATCCTGTATCTACACTTCCGCACAAAATATAGTTCTATTTAATTTTAAATGTTAAGATTTTATGATCTTTTTGAAGTTTTGGTATGAAATGTATATAATGATCGTATAGACATAGCAACGATTTGTAAATAAAAGTATATCGGAATCTATTTTCTTACAAAAGCGAATTATGCGTATTGATATAAAAGTTTATTGTTGCTAGGAAACAAAGTAGTCCCTTAAACTTTACTGCATAGATGGCAGCAGCAGTAATTGGTTCTGATTGAGTAGCACAAAACATTTAATAATCAAAATACAATAAAATCCAAGAATTCAATAAAAATGCAATAAAATTAAAATTAGATAAATTGAATTAGAATAGTTCATGGCTGCATTACCGAGCCTCGTTTTTTCTAATTCATCATAGTTTAGAGTTCAGAACCTAGGATGATCCTTACTCGAGTCTCTAGCTTACAGAGAAGGCTTTGGACCGAAGTAAGATGATCCTAGTTCAGAACATAGGCTTAACCCATGCTGGGCCTTAATCTCCATCGAATTATAGATAGAACATAACTATAGTGAAAAGTGGTAGTAAACACAATATAAAAGATTTTTATGTTGTGTTTACGGGAATAGTACTTTTCCTCAGCCTATGATAGTACATGATGGAATAGGCTATTTGAACTTACCGCCATTTAATCTTTTAAAAGTGAAATTTAAGTACTTTATGATCCCAAACCCGGAAGTTTAATTATCAACATTTCAAAAGTTTGCTCTGCAAATGTTATTTTATTTTCTATACCAGTCTCTCACAGTATCTATCAAAAATGGATCCTTCCCAGATACCGGCTCATGAAGGTCTTCTTGAACTGAAAGGACAGGTAAATCTCAATTCCATAGTTGATTGAAACATGGGAAAACAAGAAATTTAAAGACCACATCAACTCAATAGGGGGGGGTGTATAGGGGGTCTTGGAAGTCCATATACAATATTTTTCAGCCCTCTTATACCATATACAATATTTTTTCACCATATACAATATTTTTTGCCTCTCTTATACCATATACGATATTTTAGGTGAAATACAATATACGATAATTTTGAAACTGCTGTTGATTAATGTTTGGATATTTATAAGGAAATAATATTAGGAGGGAATCCATGTACTACCAAATATATTATTATGAGGCAAATAGACTGCACAGTGCACATAATTAGACCACAATAATTCCATTTTATACATTATCAGCAATATTCATTTTGGACACAACCCCATGGTCAAAAATTCTGTAACTCCATATTATTGTCAAGTAGACAAATTGTACAACTTAATGTACTTCTTTCTTATGACTTATGTCAATTGCATCCTTCATAGTGAGTCAGGGAAATGATTCTTCTTTCCTTGGGAACACAATTGATTCAAAAATGAGAATGTGGAACCATGGGCTTTCAATTAGAAAGTTGAAAGCCCATGGTGGAATGAAAGACTGTATGATTCATCATGACATTGTATTCTTTAAAAAATAAAGTTTATTGCGGCAAAGTATGTACAAATAAATCTGTCAGGTAGATAGTGAAGATACAAAATGTACAATAATTTGGCAAAGCAGCCACTAACCTGTAAAAATGTTTTAAATGTTTGAAAATACAAAACAATATTACTGACTCCTTAAATAATTCATTTCCACAAGGAAGTTTTGTTTGCCAGTTTCAATAAAATGTTTAAAAATTGGTGACCTACTTCTTTTGAAACTACTGAAAGTAGATCACTGAAAGTTCTCATTTTTAAACATCTCTACACTCTTGTCTTGTCTATAAAGTGTATTCTTTGTGGACAATGTTGGATCAAGTTATTAATAATTGAAAGTAGCATGACTTCAATGAGGATTGCCAAAAACATACTGGCTTACCTTAACAATAGTAAATAATAGTTAGCCTACATATAATATCAATTGATTTCATAATTATGTTCAGGGTGTTTCATGATGAATGTCCTCCCATCCAAAGTCAATCCTAGGTTATATACCTTTACAATCTTTATATCATAAAAAACCTTATACAGTATGGATTTATGGGTCACATACACATGTATCGTCATGATCGATAAATGGGAACATAATTTGTGAAGTTATGTTTGGAAGTAAGTGTTGCATTTAGCAAGGTACAGTGTTGGTGTTTGAGAAAAGGTTGCATTTAGATTATGTATTTAGAAATGGGTACCTTTTTGTAGAGATGTTTAGCAACACTGATCAACTGAATCAGCTTTCACATGCTATATGATAGGTTATAAATTATAACATTTAACTAAGGAGAAACATGCACAAAAGTCAGGAGAGAAAGTTTTCTAAATATCTCAATAACTAAGAGGAATTACAACTTGTACTTTCTAGAGAGTATACATAAACATATAAGGATATAATACAACAAAACATTTTTTGGATATTATACTACGATATTGACATAAACTGGTGAGAAAGTTTCTAAATATTTTACAACATTTGATAAACTGTACATACACATAAAACATTTAAGTGGAGCATTAGCATTGTACATATAGAGACTTGAATAGCAGTATAAAACTTTTAAGTGGAGCATATACACAGTGCATATATAGACTTGATTAGCAGAATTGTGCAAGGTTATACAGAATTTTTTATGTGAGGCCTCCAAAGGGCCAGTCAAACCTCAGAAACATGACTTCTAAAATAGATAGGACACTTACGCTGAAAACTAACCATAGAGCCACAGGGTGGGCTAAAGAAGAAACACTTCTCCAAGGAATCCTGAACACTGTTGATGAAAGTGATGTAATTGCAATACAAATCACCAAGAGAGATGTATACTTCACTTTTCGTGACAGACATGGAAAAGATAATGCAAAGAGAATGGGCTTCATGCTGAATGATGGCCTAACCGTTGAACTTGAAGAAGTTGAAGATGACACTATCTATGTCACTCTAAGAGATATTCCAATCGAAGTCTCTGACAAACAAATTGTAGATTACATCTCACAATTTGCGACTGTTAATGGTGGTGTGACACACGGATACATAAAAAGGCTTGGCGGTGAAAAAACCAACATTAGAAATGGAATGCGTTTTATTAGTGTGAAAGACATAAAACGGCCCATCCCCAACAATCCAACTATAGCTGGATTTCTGGGTAGATTAAGCTACAGAGGACAACCGTGCAGCGTATGCGGTGGACTCGGACACCCATGGTATAGATGCGAACAGCGAGAAAAGCCAAAGTGCTTCAAATGTAATCAGTTCAACCATTTTGCCAAGGACTGTACAGCGGAAAAGAAATGTTTCAAATGTTTTGAGCCAGGTCACGAAGCCAAATCATGCCCTGGAAATAGGACAGTGACAGAAGAAGATCAAAAAGATGATGAACAACAAAGGACCCCTGTACCAACTGATACAGTTGTGATAGGATGCTCGATTGCAAGGGGTGTCTACACTGAGATGAAAAGGAGTGGAGTAGAGAACAGAACACAAGGTGGAGCACAAATAGAAGACGTACCAGCACTCCTGAGAAAAGAACCTTTGAGAACAGATGATTTAAAACAAATCATAGTACAGGTTGGAACAAAAAACATTGTACTGAACAAAGAGAACACTGAAGATGCTATAATCAAATATAACACTGTAGTGGATTCTATGCATAGTGACTATCCTGATACTCAGATTGTGGTGTCAAGTATACCACCTGTGCATCCTTATAATAAATCAGTACAAGCAAAGATCAATCAGTTCAACAAACAACTGGACTTGATGTGTAAAAATAGTGATTTTTTGGTCTTTGTAAGCAATGATGCAATGCTACTGAGCAATCAGAGAAAGACCTCAGCAAATGACTTTAAGTCAGATGACACAAAAGGGATTCACCTAAGCCCACATGGGTATGAGAAAGTTGTACATAATATAAACACTGCCATAAAGAAAAGAAAATCAAGGGGCTCAGAGGGCTCAACACCCTCTTCACAAGAAAAGGCTAGTAAAAAGAAACTTTTTTCTGAAATTACTCAAAATGATGAACCTGAGTTATAGTTTTAAAGACATGTTAATCCCTTTTTAAGATTTTCTAATGAGCAAAATCAGATTTTCTACTTTAAATGTAAGAGGTATTTTAGATGTTAAGAAAAGAAACAAAATGCTATTGTGGATTAAAAACCAAAATGTTGATATAGCCTTTTTACAGGAAGTATACTGTACACTGGATAATTTTGAATCAATAAGTTTGTCATGTAAACGAAATGGGTATAATGCTTCTTTTGGTATTTCTGACTCTAGTCACTCTCGAGGAGTAGTTATATTAATAGCAAACAATTTAGATTATGAAATTATTGACTCATCAGAATTTGGAAATGGTAGAGGATTAATGTTAAACATAAAATTGTCGAACATATCAGTATCACTTGTTAATGTATATGCACCAAATGCAATAAATGAGCGTGCTATATTTTTTAGAAACATGATGGACTGGATAGGTGAGAAAAGATGTATAGGTAGTGACATTATATGTGGAGGAGATTTTAATTGTATTTAATTGAGGGATATAGACAGAATATCGAGTTCCAAGAATATTATTGATAAAAGTAGGAATATCCTTAACCAGTTGATGCAATACTTTAATCTCGAAGATGTATGGAATGAAACGAATGGTCAAAAAACTGGTTTTACATTTTATGATAAAAGGAATGACTCAAAAAGTTGTTTGGATTATTTTTGCATATCAAAGAATCCAAATTTTCATATCAAAAAGTGTTTTTTAATGCAAGCATTGAAAGCTGATCACAAATGTGTACTCATGGATATTAAATTAACTAAAAATGAAAGAGGTAGAGGTTACTGGAAATTAAACAGCAGTCTCATTAATGATGCAACCTATTGTGAATTAATTGTTAACTGTATAAAATGGGTCGAAATTCAATATTCATATATCCAGTCAAAAAGAGTGTTCTGGGAAATACTAAAAAACAAGGTTAAAAAAACAACAATAGCATATTCTGTGAAAAAAGCCAAAAATAAACGAAATGAACGAGATATCTTACAAAATGAAATAGATGCACTTCAAGTATGTATTGATAATAGCAGAAAACAAGAAATGGTAGAAAGGCTTAAAAGGAAAAAAGTACTTGCAGAAACTAAGTTAAGTGAATTATATAATACAGATGTAAAAGGTTATTTTATCAGATCTAGAGCAACTTATATGGAAGAAGGGGAGAAGAGTACGAGATATTTTTTAAGTCTGGAAAAGGCGAGACAGTCAAATAATGTAATTAGAAAGTTGAAAACTAAAAGTGGTAACATTTATAAAGATGAAGAAATACGAGAAGAATCTGCAGTTTTTTATGAAAATTTATATAAAAATGACATGATAGAAAGGGAAAATGTAAGACAATTCATGAATGATATTGATGCTGAGTATATTCTAAACCAAAATGAAAAGGAATTGTGTGAAAATGGGATAACAAAAATTGAACTTTCAAAGGCAGTAAAAAAACTTCAAAATAATAAAAGTCCGGGTAAAGATGGTCTGACGCCTGAATTTTTTAAAAGATTTTGGGATGAGATTGAAAATTCCTTCTTTGAGATGTCAGAAGAAACTTTTGAATTTGGAGAACTAACTGAATCAATGAAATTAGCAATTTTGACTTTACTTTTCAAAAAGGGTGATAGAGAACTTTTGGGAAACTATAGACCCATAAGTTTGAGTAATTACGATTATAAAATTATTGCTTTTGTAATTGCAAATCGGTTGCAAGGGGTGATTTCAAAACTAGTTGGGAATAATCAAACATCTTATATTGAGGGAAGATTTATAGGAAATAATGCAAGATTTTTAGTTGATTTGATTGAATATACTGAAAACAAGAATAAAGAAGGTGTTCTTATATGTATTGACTTCAAAAAGGCTTTTGATAGTTTAAATTGGGACTTTATGTTTGAAACATTGCAGAAACTGAACTTTGGACCAAAATTCATAAATATGATAAAAACTTTATATGTCGATCCAAAATTAGTTATAAAAAATAATGGTCATTTATCTAGAGAAGTTGAAATACACAAGGGAGTCCGACAAGGATGCCCAGCATCAGCTTTAATTTTTACGTTATGTGTAGAGTTTTTAAGCAAAGCTATAAATCAAAATGAAAATATAAAAGGAATTAAAATAAATGAAAGAGAAATCAAGATCATACAACATGCTGATGATACAACATTAACTTTAGGTAATAAAGATTCAATATCCCATGCAGTTAAAACAATTGAAGCATTTTCAAAAGTATCAGGACTTCAACTTAACCTGGATAAAACATCTGGTATTTGGCTGGGAACATATAAAAACAATGAAGTTAAATTTAAAGACATTAATTTTACTAATGAACCAATAAAATGTCTAGGAATCTACATAGGACACAATAAAAAAGAATGTGAAAAATTAAATTGGGATCCAAAGATTTTCGACTTTGAAAAATTGTTTGAGTCATGGAAAAAAAGAAAACTGACCTTATTCGGAAAAGCCATAATCATTAATAGTTTAGGTATATCAAAATTTGTATATAATTTTACAGTCTTAAATGTACCAGCTAGAATAGTTAAGAAAATAAATTCAATTCTATATGGTTTTCTGTGGAAAAAGGAAGGTGTTAAAAGGAAAACAGTAATTGGAGACATATTAAATGGAGGGCTTAACATTGTAGATGTTCAATCCAAAATCGATGCATTAAAGGCATCTTGGGTTCCAAGGCTATTATTCTCAAAAACCGCATGGAAAAATATCCCTGAAGAGTATATCAGAGACATGGGTTTTGAAATAAAAGATATCATAAAAACAAACTCAGTTGAACATTTTGATTTTTTAAAAAACTCTCAATTTTATAAGGAAATATTTTCATGTTTCAATAAATGCAAAGATAAGATTGAATTATCAAAACACTCATTTGGTGACATTGTTTGGTTAAACAACAATTTTAAATGGAAAAAAGATATCCTTTTCTATAAAAACTGGATTAAGTCAGGATTTATATATCTGAAAGATTTTTTTGATGATAAAGGGATTTTTATTAGTGAAAAGTATGTTTTTGACAAGTTGAATGACAAAAGAAATTGGATTAAAGAATATATGATAATTAGAAGTACTATCAAAATGGCAATGAAAAATATACAGACAAATAGAGCTCAATTCACTAATATATTTTATAAATGTGATTTTATAGTAAATGGAAAATATGAAAAATTAGAAGGAAAAAAGTCAAAGTTTTTCTACAATATATTAAGAAATAAACAATTCGAGAGATCAAATTTAGAAAATGTTTGGAGTACAATGTTCAATTTTGAAAATACAAATAATTATTTCAAAATCATATACAGGCAAAAAATAAAAGAAATGCCATGTAATAAAATTTCTGATTTTAATTTTAAAATTCTTCATAATTGTTTATACTGTGGATACATGATTAGTAAATGGAACAGAAATATAAGTTCAACCTGCATTTTTTGTAATGAAAATCACACTGCGAAACATCTTATTTTTGATTGCCAGAAGGTTAGAAATATTTGGGAAGATGTTGGAGATATTTTGAATTTTAATGTTCAATGGAAACACATTGTTGTTGGTTTTAACATAATAGACAGAAAAACTAGAAACAGAAATATTATTTTAAGTATTATTGCAAATTCAATATATAAAAAATGGACAAACCTTAATGAAAAGCCAGATGTCTTGAGACAAATTAATTTTAGACAGCAAGTTTTATCAGACCTTTTATCCTACAACAGTGTATTTCTACTAAATAAATTCAATATAGATTTTGATATGTTAAAAAGAATTTGTAATATTTTATAAGAAGTAAGTTTTTGTAATACTTTATAAGAAGTTAAGTGTTTTTCTGTACTTGTATTGTATATATATTTTTAATGTATTATATGTTCATATGTTATATTTTTTGGAATAAAAATTTTAATAAAAAAAAAATAAAAATAAATTATAACAAGGCATTAACATGACAAAATGTCACCACCTAAAACAATTTGGTCAATTTAAAGCAAGTTGGAAAATACCTTTTGACCTTAAGAAGGTTTGATTTGAACTTCTTAGAACATGTAGATGATTTTGAAAAAAAGATTCGTCAATTTGAAGCAAGTTGAAAAAATACCTCTTTGACTTTTTTTGACATTGAGAAGGTCATTGAAGGTCAAATGTCAAATGTAAAGTCAGATTTGAACTTCTGAGAACATGTAGATGATTTTGAAAAAAAAATTAAGTAAATTTGAAAAAGTTGAAAAAAGACCTTTTTGACCTTGAAAAGGTCATTGAAGGTCTAATGTCAAATCTAAAGTCAGATTTGAACTTCTGAGAACATGTAGATGATTTTGAAAAATAAATTAGTCAATTTGAAGCAAGTTGAAAAAAGACCTTTTTGACCTTGAGAAGGTCATTGAAGGTCAAAGGTCAAAACATAAAGTCAGATTTGAACTTCTGAGAACTTTTAAAGTCAAATTTGAACTTCTGAAAAGATGTAGATGATTTTGAAAAAAAAATTGGTCAATTTGAAGCAAGTTGAAACAGACCTTTTTGACCTTTTTTGACCTTGAGAAGGTCATTAAAGGTCAAATGTCAAATCTAAAGTCAGAATGAATTTCTGAGAACATGTAGATGATTTTGAAAAAAAAATTTGTCAATTTGAAGCAAGTTGAAAAAGACCTTTTTGACCTTGAGAAGGTCATTGAAGGTCAAATGTCAAATCTAAAGTCAAATCTAAAGTCAGATTTGAATTTCTGAGAACACGTAGATGATTTTGAAAAAGATTTTTAGTCAATTTGAAGCAAGTTGAAAACAGACCTTTTTGACCTTTTTTACCTTGAGAAGGTTATTGAAGGTCAAATGTCAAATCTAAAGTCAAATCTTAAGTCAGATTTGAATTTCTGAGAACACGTAGATGATTTTGAAAAAAAAATTTAGTCAATTTGAAGTAGGTTGAAAACAGACCTTTTTGACTTCTTTGACCTTGAGAAGGTCATTGAAGGTCAAATGTCAAATCTAAAGTCAGATTTGAAGGTCAAATGTCAAATCTAAAGTCAAATCTTAAGTCAGATTTGAATTTCTGAGAACACGTAGATGATTTTGAAAAAAAATTTAGTCAATGTGAAGCAAGTTGAAAAAAGACATTTTTGACCTTGAGAAGGTCATTGAAGGTCAAATGTCAAATCTAAAGTCAGATTTGAACTTCTGAGAACATGTAGATGATTTAGAAAAAATTGAAGTCTAAACAGTATTTGTTAAGTTATAGTAAGTTGTAAGAAATTGTTACAGACGCCGGACGCCGGACGCCGAACGCCAACCTCCAACCACCAACCGCCGTCGCAAAAAAACGGAGACCATAACAATATGTCACCACTTTTAGTGGTGACATAATAAATAGTATTTATAAAGTTTAAAATCAAGTGAACATGTATGATGTAACTCAGGAATGATGATCATTAATTTACATAATCATTAAGATATGAGGGTACCCTTGTCTGCCTTCTATTTCCTCGAGATACCCCTGTCACCTTTTTTTGCACTAAAGGTTCATCAATTTCATCATTTTCATCATCTGATGGTGTTTGGAATAAATTCTCATATTCCTCAATAGTAAGGTTCAAAACACCCTCTTCATTAAACCTCATGTCTGAAAGAACTTCAACAACTTCCGTCAAATGGATGATGGTCTTTTCAGCTTGATGAAATGATGTAACATCTCTTTCTGTATTTTCAAGCCATTTGGCCTGAATCAGTCTGTCATCGTCTGTTACCTCAATCGATACAACACATACACGGACCTCTCTTTGTGTTTTTACACATAATATTGAGTTTTTTGCGAATCTAGCTATAAGTTGTGGTGTGTTTTGACCTTTGAAGATATCATCCATTTCCATATTGACATATTCATGATCCTCCTTTACTGTTGGTGTAAAATAAGCGTACAGCGGAAGTGTACCAACTTTGTCTTTTGTAGTTTGACTTCGTATGGCCAGCTGCCGAACACCTTGAAGGTATGATTTTCTATAGTCTTGCAGGAGTTGTACTTCTCCAGGATCCAGATGATTATGCTCCTGCTTGGGAATTTGGGGCATTTTATCAAGAGTCATGTGTATATTAGACGCCATTCGCTCGTAGTATTTTTCATTTGTATGATAAATAAATGGCAGTTTGCCTGCTCTCATGATTAAATTATCCACGGCGTGTGGGAACAGTCTACTAAAGTCAAGCATTTCTGTTGTGGTGCTAATGGCTATTCATGTTAGGCATGTTTAATTGTTTTAGATAAAATATTTAGGTAACTGGTGACATATTAAGACTTCAGATTCCTTTAGATACCATATACCATATATTTCTCTTATACCATATACCATATTTTTTTCTTCTCTTATACCATATACGATAAATTTTGGCCCCTCTTATACAATATACAATAAATTTTCACGCTCTTATACGATATACGATATCTCTATACACCCCCCCCCTCAATAGGCCAAGAAAAACTACAGAGTAATATATAAAAAACGTACTACTACTTATTCTCTTGCCATCATGTTCAAATTCATGTTCATTATTTTTAAAAACACTACTATGTTAGAATCTAGATGACATAAAGGTAATTTCACATGCTATCTTGCAAGACTTATGCCTGGCACAACCATCACCATGTTATTAAGTGTTTTTAAGTTTCGCAAGGATCCTGCCATGACCGTGGTATTGTTATCGTGAAAGCCTGTAGAACCGTGACAATGGATATTACATTGCAAGGCCTGTCATGACCGTGGTAATGTTACACCCTGATATGACCGTGACAATGGTTGCGAGGCCTGTCATGACCGTGGTAATGTTAAAGCCTGATATGACTGTGACAATGCTATATTATATTGCAAGTCTTGCAAGGCCTGTCATGACCGTGGTAATATTAAAGCCTGATATGACCGTGACAATGGTTGCAAGGCCTGTCATAAAAATTTTTCATTACAGTATTCTCATGCTACTAAATGTCAATTAATATAACCATTGTCATGGTCATATTGTGCTTTAACATTACCACAGTCATGACAGGCCTTGCAACCATTGTCACGGTCATATCAGGCTATAACATTACCATGGTCATGACAGGCCTTGCAACCATTGTCACAGTCATATCAGGCTTTAACATTACAATGGTCATCATGACAGGCCTTGCAACCATTGTCACGGTCATATCAGGCTTTAACATTACCACGGTCATGTCAGGATCCTTGAGAAACTTAAAAGCACTTAATAACATGGTGACGGTTGTGCTAGGCATAAGTCTTGCAACAGATAGGGTCTCGTTAATTTGTGTACTGTTTACCTTATGCACTTTTGCTACATTCCTCAATTGAGTCACATGTTATTTTACAAATAGGGATCACTCCTTCTTGACATTGTCTACATCTTTCAGTTTTGCACAAAGAGTGCACTTACATGTATGTGCCTAGAAAAGACTGTAAAGAAGATTTTTTTGTAAAATGTGGCATCACTGAATTTTCTCATTTTTTATATATTTTACAAAACAAATCTCTTCTAGGTTCATTAGAGCACTCTTTGTGCAAAACTGAAAGATGTAGACAATGTGGGGAAGGAGTGATTCCTATTTCACTGGTGATCCACTCGATTACGCTGGTTACCGAATTGGTTCGTTTTGGTAACAAAATGTCGGAACGTCGAAGGTACGATTTTTCTCTTTTCCTTATTTCAAACAGTGTAGGCAGAATTCCCACGACATTTTTAACAAAAACGTGTATCAGTATCATATGTTTAAGAAAATGTACATATGTGCGAATACAAATAGTTCAGAAGACAACAGAATCGTCGATTTAATTCTTCACTTAAGTTACATAAACGGTTTTTCGAAAAACAGTTAAGATCTGCACTTTTAACCAAAACCATTTATGTATCTTAAGTGAGGAATTAAATCAACGATTCTGTTGTCTTCTGAGCTATTTTTTTGCAAACATGAATGTTTTCTAAAACATATGATACTGATATACGTTTGTGAGAAAATTAAGCGTCGTGGGGATTCTGCCTACAACGCGTGAAATAAGGAAAAAAGAAAAATCGTACCTTCGACGTTCCAACATTTTGTTACCAAAACGAACCGTTTTGGTAACCAGCGTAATCGAGTGGATCACCAGTGTATTTGAAAAATAACATGTGACTCAATTGAGGAATGCAGCAAAATTTCGAACATGCACACTTACCCAAAATTTGCCTCACCGATGATAGTTTTCATTTACAATATCTATAAAACTTCATCTGGTTTTCCCTGATGTATTCCTTAATTTTCTACCATAAGAAAACCTTTCTCCTAAAATGAACATAGTCTGTAAAAGTGCTTTTCACGAGTTATTCTCAAAAAATGCATTTATCATCAAATTGTGATATCTTGAGATTTGATACATTTTAGTGTTTTTTGGGAATAGTGATAGAAGTGGTCATATGGGAAGGTGTTCTGTGGTAAATTGTAAAAAAAGAGTGGGAAATATATTGGTGAAAGCCATATATTGCAACTAATAAGGTAATCTCCAATAACTTTATTGTGTTGTTTTGTATTGTATTGCATTGCATTGCATTGTATTGTATTTATATGTTTTCAGATATTTTGGAAGAAGTATTGGTTTTCTCTTCAAGGAAATGACTTACAGTACTTTCAAGAAGATAAGGTACATGCTCATTCTCCTAATGCATCAATTTTTCTGTTTTCAATTGGTTTTATCTCTGCATAGATATTCAATATTACACAATTTTTAATATATGACAGTCACATTGCATATTAATTCTTTAAATGTGGTATTATGGCTCTTCTCAATCCTCAGACTAACTTTTGATGAGCTACAAATGTATATAATACTTTAGATTTATTTATAGAAAATATGAAACCTTTTTCATTTTCCCTTTAAAAGTGCTATATCGATGTCGACTTGTAATGATGGCTAGTCAGATAATTTTGGGGATTTAAGAAAGCTTTAGAGATTTTGACATACATTTTGTACTACCAATTACAAATGTTTATGACTGAGCTGGTGATAATTGGGTACTGTAAAATATAGTCAAGAAGAAAAAGACTTTAAACAAGAAAACATGTGTTTTTAGAGGCTATCTACACGAGGAATCATAGATCTGTCCAAAGCTCAGGCAGTCAGAAAATGTGGCAGTGGGTCAAAGGAAAATATGATTGAAATTGTAACCAAATCTAAGACATACTCATTGGTAAGTATGTACAATTTACAGCAAAAGTAAATTGCAAATCTAGTGATCAATATGAATCTTTTGAAAAACTTGATTGGCTTGTTTTGATCGTAAATCCTAGATATATAATAGATTATGTAGGAACCAAATCATTTCCCAGGCCAGGGGGTTCAGGGGGTGCAAACGGACTACTCCCTTCCCAAAGGTCCTGGTCCTAAATGTTTGTTTTTAACTTTGTTCTTAACTTTATGTATATATGTTTCAGTCTGCCCCAACAAGGCATAGTTGTGATGAATGGGTAAAGCTGCTGCAGAGAGGAATTCAATTTAAAAGAAGACAGGCTTCCATCAGTAGAGACAATAGCTTGTAAGAATCAATTAAACTTTTCGTGATGGTTGTTAGTTTTGCTTCAAGACTATAGATCCCCCTTATCTACTACAACCACAGCAATTGCTGTTGTTAAAGTAGGGAGCAGGGGTCTTGAGGCAAGACTAGATTTTTTCAAGTTATGCCCCATGTGTGGTTTTAGATTCCATGCTTCCATACACCCAGGTTTAACATAAAAGGGGCATAAAATACTCCAAAAGAAATAACATGGAATGACATTTGAAAATCACAAACACAGTCTTCTTTTATGAATTCACCAACTAATAAAATAAATGAACAGTAAAACCTCTTTAAGTGGAACACATTTTGTACCTCTAAAAAGTTGTTTATTTAACATTAGATCGATTGGTCTTGGAACTCTGAGAAGTGTTCAACCTACAGAGATGTTCTGCCCCTAGAGGTGTTCCACTTCATAGGTTTCACTGTAGTTTGAAAATCTTAGAATATCAGAGTTCAATAATTCTTGAGTGTACAAAAGCACATAAACATTCTCCAATTCTAAGATGGATGTCAAACATAAAAGTGCTGATTTTATTATGCCACTAACAGATTACTAAACACTCCATTTGCAATTTTAGTTAAAATCAGTAGCAATAAATCGAAAAGTCTCTAAATATAAAATAGGAATACAATTTGGTTTGAAGCTAGTCCATTAAATATTCAATTATGTGGATCCTTGTACATAAAGCCCCTAATTCACTTAAATCTCATACTCCAATTTTATCTCAGTTTGAGGAATCCATTGATTAAATCATGCCAATGTGTACATTTTGTTCTTATTGCATATTTTATCAGCATTATATATGTACATAAGTCCATCATACCCTAAATGAAAGTGTCTGAGAGTATAAATAGAATAGAGTTGCTATAACCCTCGTAAATAATGTCATATTTTACCCTTGAATAAGATTTAATTGGCATTTGTTTTAAAATTGAAGAAAGAAAGGTGAAATATCATATACTCCTAAAAATACATTAAAAAACATTAAATTAATGTAAGTATTGAAATGCAATGATATTTGTTGAGTTATTTTAATTTCATATTTTCAATTGTATGTATGGGTGTACCATAAATTATTTTTTTAGATAAATGTTGATATTTAGTCCCAATGCAGTAAATAAATAGAAAATCAAACATCATGATTTGTGAATTTAGATTTTAAAATTACAACAATGGACTTCCTTCTTCTATTCATTTGAGACATTTTTTGACTTCTAAACCCAATTTTTATTTGATCCATTTACTTCCTCATTGAAATGTCATGAATTCACAAATAAAACATGTAAAACCAATTTTACAATTAGTTAAGTAAGATTAATCATTCATGACACCTGCCCACCCAACCAGCCAACCGACCGCCCACCTGCCCTGCAAACTGATCACAATATAGCACCCAAGAGTGCGATTAAAATGTTATAACATGAAATCATAATTCAGAAATATAATCTGTAAAGGCCTGTGGAAGTGATTAAATAACAAGAGGACGCTTTTTTAATGAAAAGTACAACCATTACTTTGACAAATATCAGGACTTTAACATATTGTCATGATAACATTTATAAACAATTAGATTTTTAAACGTCGCTAGATTCCAATGGGCAATAGTATCTTAATGATACCAATGATCTCTGTGTTGATGTTTTAAAGAACCAACACTTTCTTGACAAATCCCTATTTATAATTTACATGCACAATTTGTGCACTTGTATTACAGATAAATAATGACTTGTATAAAAGATAAATAATATATGATTTTCTCTATTTCAGGCAAGACAATGATGTTTATGAGGACTCCATGTCTTCCCCTGGTCCCAAAACACCAATATCTCCAAATAATGGAACAAAATTCCAATTTTCATCACAGTCGAGTCCAGGAACTACCCCCTTGTCCCCCAAGCCGAATGTAGCACCCCCAAAAATTCCAGAAACTTCAAGACCAAAAGTAACACCCCCTACAATCCCACAGAGAGCTCCAGGTACTAAAAAAAGTGAAAATGTTCCACCTCAGAATGGCGATACATATGAAGATGTAGCTTCTCCTAAAACTGAACCCATTGATACATATGAAGATGTAGCCGCTCTTAAAACTGAACACAGTGAGGAGGCTGAATATGGAGAAATAGTGGATATATCTACTCCTGTTCAAATGAGACAGTCCAGAAATGTTGAACCTGAGGAGGACAACATTTATGGGGAAATTGAGGATGTTTCATATGACGAAACTAGGGTTGTATCGAGGATCAAAAGTATGTCTATGGAGGAAGAATATGATGATGCTGTTGAGGTTTTCGATGATATATATGGTGACACATTGAGCCCCAATGGAACCACACTGTCTGCATATATAGATGATTTATATGGAGAACTGGAGCCCGATGTCGTGGAAGAACTTCGTGGCAGTATATATGCAGACATAGATGACTTTGCACCATCAAAGAAAGAAGATGTTGAAGAAGTCGATGATGCTTTCTTCCAAGAAATGTATGAAAACGTCCTAACATTTGAGCCTAAACCTATTGATATTAAAGCAACAAATGACAAAGTTTCGACAAATGAAGGACCATTTAGTTCCACTGCATTTGCTGAGTTGAAAGAATTTCTCAAGAACAATAGGGGCCAATCTGAAATGTATGCCTCTGTAAGGATCAAAGAACTCAAAGGCAATGCAGTCGCCAAACTAAAAGAATATCTTGCTACTCTTGAGAGTTAGCTGTGCAACATATATGATTATAGAATACATATAATGTATTGTGATATGTGTATATAATAGGGTCATTCTATTTTGAACAATCTATTTTAAAAGACTAGGCCCTAACATTAAATAATGTGCAAATCATTTGCTCTTCCTATCAAAAGAAAATTTTCATACATTCGTTTATTGGCACCCCTACCCCCCCCCCCCCATTTCATTGTTCTTACTGCCAACATGTCAAAATTGAATATTGGAAGTACAGAAGATAAGTTATAATGAAAATGAAAATGAGCAAGTCCTTACTGTTAGAAATGTGTCTAGAAATATGTAAAAAATTTAAAGCTTGTAAACACGCCAAGGCATGAATAATTTCATACAATACGTTCATGCAAATCTTACATATAATATATTCATGCAAGTCTTACATACAATATATTCATGCAAATCTTACATACAATACATTCGTGCAAGTCTTGCATACAATACATTCATGCAAGTCTTACATACAATATATTAATGCAAATCTTACATACAATACATTCATGCGTCTTGCATACAATATATTCATGTAAGTCTCACATACAATACATTCAGGCAAGTCTTGCATACAATATATTCATGTAAGTCTCACATACAATACATTCATGCAAGTCTTGCATTCAATATATTCATGCAAGTCTCACATACAATACATTCATGCAAGTCTTACATACAATATATTCATGCAAATCTTACATACAATACATTCATGCAAGTCTTGCAAACAATATATTCATGCAAGTCTTACATACAATACTTCCATCCAAGTCTTGCATGTAATATATTTATGCAAGTTTTACATATGATACATTCATGCTAGTCTTACATACAATTTATTCATGAAAGTCTTACATACAATACATGTATGCAAGTCTTGCAAAGAACATTTTCATGCAAGTTAACATTCATTCATGCAAGTCTTGCATACATATATTCATGCAAGTCTTACTTACTTACAAAGTATTTATGCAAATCCTGCAGAGAACATGTTCATGCAAGTCTTGTATACTCTATTTTACACAAAATTCTTACACAAAATTTATTATCATGCACATGATGTGTTACACACAAAGCGAGAATACAGATCAATGAATGATGACAATAAACAAATGAATGCAATATCCACCTGTCCAGCACGTCCTATGTATAAAGTATACTGTAATGAGTATGCATGAAATGTGTTATAGTATACAAATTGCAATATCATGATTTAATGTATATTTTCACTGAGACTACCATATTTTAAGTCACAGATTTTCATGACTACATTTATCAAAGCTTTTAGAGCATGATAACGACTATATGTATGTATTATTTTAGTAGTGGATCTGGCATTTTACCATGACTAAAGACCATAAAGAAAAGTTGGTTAATGATATTCTCAATATACTCATGGACTGTTCCATGGACTTCTAATCAGTTATTTGAAGTCCATGACTATTCCAATAATTTTTAGTTTTCCAACCTCTCTTGATTGTACTATGTCTTTAAAATAGCTAATGACATTTTGCATGTTAATGCCTTGTCTAAAAATTGGGGTTTGTAGAAAAGTTTGAACCCAGCATGGAGGATTTACTACCAGGTACCCGGTACCTGGTATTTTCTACAAACCCTAAAAATAGTAACAGCTTGTAATTTCCACAATCAATGGATTCTGTCATTGTTACAAAGCTACTTTCCTGAAAATACCAAAGCTCGAAACAAATTGCTCACAGAGCAAATGACATGATGTTTGAAAATCATATCTCCTTCTGATTTCTTTACTAACTTTACTAATTATGTGAGGAATTTTTTCCAAGCTTTCATCTTTACAGAAAATAAGGTTTGTTACCATTGATGGTACAAGTTACATACAGGTTATTATGACTTTGCAAGGTATATTATGGTATAAGAAATAAAATAGAAAAAATTGAAACCATGGGCTTTCAACTAGCAAACTCATAATCAGGGCCTTTTTAGCGAAAATATTGTTTACTGTACTTACCTTACCATTCTTGTAATGCTTTTGATATAGAACATAGTGAAAGGCATTTGGATATCAGGATCTATCACAAAGGCGTACTTACCTCATGGATTTAAGTTCTAGTTTAGTTCTCATGTTACCATGGTAACCAATTTTTAGTTCAGTTTTATATTATACATGATTTTTGTCAAAGTTGCTCTCTATCGTCTGATTCTACCTTTAGCACAGATATTGAACTGCAAATGTTTTGATTTTGTAATCATCTTTTAAAGATATACATGTATGCTTATAACTATTTTAAATATAACTTTTAATTAAAACAAGATCAATTTGTTGATACACATTTTGTATTTTATTACTGGAATAATGAAATTGATTTTTATAAAATAAATTTAGGAAATTAATTAATTCGTTTTATCTATTGATATCAATTTTTAACAAAGGATAACGCTCTTACAGAAACTTGATGCATCAGGCCCTTACATTTATCTTGTTCCAAACCCATCCTCTTCGTTACCTATGTTTGACACCGACATTGGCATAGTCTCATCAGTTCTTCATTCTAAATGAGACCATTTAACATCTTTTCAACAAGTATGCCATTGCTTCTCTTGTAAAACAACTGAAAAAACTGAATTATTTCTTTATCAATCAAAAATATAAGATGTAAAAATGGTCAAAGGGATGTTAATCGATTTGTCCACATTCCAGATAACCTTAAAAATCAAAGAATTATCCTGGATTGAAGTCAGAACTGTTGGAATTTTTAGGAAAATAACCCAGCGAAAATACCATTACTACAAATTATTTTGTTCATTTGCATGGCCATCAATGATGCATCTCAATGAAAATCAAATACAACACTCCCATAGTTGTAATTATACTCAATAGATGTCAAGTAAATCATGTAGAGGACTATTTTATATATATCACTCCGCTAAATTTCAAATGTAAAATGGAACAAGATAGAATAATAATAATGTTGTTGTATGTTTATAATACTTGAAAATTTACTTGTATTTGATTCAACCAATACAATATCAAGTGGTCTTCTTTCGATATGTAATAATTCAATTTTACTTGAAACTACTTTCTACTTCGAAGTCTGATACACCTTAGATGTGACGAGTCAAAATGATAAACACTTTCTGAAAAATAGAAATTTTATGTCGATTTTACTTCAAAGTTACTGGATAACAGTACATGTGTTGGTAATGGAATACAATGGAAATAACGGATGAATATGTAGATCAACTTAGAACTGTATTTAACGTATGTGATGTGGAGAAAAAAGGCTTTATTTCAGTTGACCATTTTGTGAATTTGGCCAGTGAACATTTTGGTGATTCTGAAGGAAATCAGGTGAATGTTTTTCAAAATCTATTTTCATGGTTTACTAACTAAGATGTAATTTGTGGGATGGTTTTCGTAATATTGCTGTAATTGTGAATCACACAATGGTATCATTGAATTTTCACTGTGTCGTAACTAGTGGACAAACACGACAACTAAATCAATTCAATAGACCATTCGGATTCTGAATCATTGGCATTGCCTTCAGGGAGGTGTCCTTTGCATTTGTTTGACTTTGCTTCTCAAAAGAGAGCTTCGTCTTCACTCTTTCAGTTTTTAATTAATCTCTGAACTCACCAGACTAATCAGAGTTCGTCGTCGAAATGAGGACGACTTTCTATATGGTCATTTTCTCTGACACAATTGCATAACTATTGTGCACGCATTTAGCACTTGTTCCTTCCAGCTCACTGATTGGTTGAGAATAGGTCAGCGTGGTAGATGTGATCGGTCTTGGGGGTGGGGCTGCTAAACTGTAATGTAGTTAATTAGGCAGAGGGTAGTTTATAACTAGACTCTGCGCGCAGGGTATTAGGGAGGTTAGAAACACTTTTTTTTAAAACTTGTACGTGAACATGTAGAATTATAGTCCTCTGTCCACTACGCCCCTGCACTGTCTACGATCCCAGGCACGTGATGAACACATCCCCTCCACACAGTGATCGGGGGAGGGTGAGCTCTTGTTCCCGTGCTTGTGTAGGTCGGGAAGGGAAGTTCATTGAAAATCAACCAGGTAGGTTATATCATGGGCTTTCAAGAGAAATGCCATGGTAATATCAGTTCAGTTTCATTGTTATGTAAAGTCAATGGACTCTCAGGAATGAAAGTGAAAACACAAAGAAAGAAGGGTGGTTGGTTGATACATGGGCTTTCATCTAGTTGAAAGCCCATGGTTGATATTACCATGGGCTTTCAATTTTCTAGTTGAAAGCCCATGATATTACCAATACTTAAAAGTATCTTCGTTAATATTTAATGGATAAACCTAACCTTTCAGTCTTGGCCCAGTTGTTCAGAACCACTAATAACGTAATTGCAATTAACTTAATTTTCAGTCTAATTACAATAAGTTAATTTCAATTTTAAATTCTGTTGTTCAAAGCATTTTAATTTCAAAATTAACTAATTGTTAAATGTACTATTAAGCCTATAGTGAAATTAAGAATGATTGAATTAGTTCACACCATATAGTCTGCCAAATTGAGCATCCATCTTAAATAACCTGCTTAAGTGTACTTTTAAGTTTCTTAAGTTAATTGCGCTTTCACTATTAAGTTAATTGCGAAAAACCTTAATTGTAATTAAAATTTGTTTTGAACAACAGAAAAAAGTTTATTGCGATTAAATGCAAATTTCTATTAAGATACTAGCACTATTAAGTTAATAGTGGTTCTGAACAACTGGTAGTGACTTCGCTATTAATGTTGACAGCAGGCTTGTGCTTTTACAGGGAAAGTATGAATTTAGTTAAAAACCAAATATTTTCTCAAAATCTAATCAATAGTTTTGCTTAACACAGTGTTTTTTATACTCAAGTTAAAATTGTCTTTATATTCTGACTTTCTGTACTTCAACATCAGAAATATTTGTAAGTTTAAACATTTGAAAATCTTACTTTCGTTTTTATGTATTTTCCTGTATATTGCAGTTGTGTTTTTAAATGGCCATCTGTGGATTACTCATAGTAGAATCTGCATAACAAATTTATTCTGATTATAGAAATAAATGTTATTGAATTTAACACCTCTCATCATTGCAGGAGATCAAGTCGATTGTGACATTACTAGATCAGGACAAAAGTGGACGAATTAGTTTTGAAGAATTCTGCTCAGGAATTAAACATTTGGCAGAAAAGAGAGGTAAGAAGAAAGCACCTCCCATCCCCTTGTTTTTAACATGGTACATGCTCCAATATAAACAAACATAACAAACCATTCATCTTTTCAAAACTGCCAAGATAAACTAAGAGAGCATGATGACAGACAAGTTACCAACTTTATTCTGGTTAAAATAGAACATTTTTATTACAACTAGATGTTCTTTTTAAATTCAAGAATCATATCAACTGTAATTTTATTAGCTAAATCACCGCACAATATAATATAACCTTGTAAGAGTACTTGTTTATTATTCAATCATGAATCAATCTAATGTTATTTTATTCACAAAGAAGATTACAAAGTAGAATCAATAATCTTGTACCAGGACATTCAACAGTATTATGTTATACAGTATACATCCCTCACAGACTACTTAATATTGAGAAAGGTTTAATAATGGTACCTGTTATATCTGGTGGTACCTGCAGGGTTAAATCGCTTTGTTCTGAAGCATTTTGATAGAAAGTTTTGTAACAAAGGATTGGATGAAGCAATTAAACCTGCTGGGTAACTCTAACAAATGTCCCAAATAATAGAAAACAGTCTCATGCACACATCCAAGGTAAATCAATGAAAAAAGGTACATATTGGTGTTTTTACCTGTAAAAAGGTATGTTTTTACCCAGCTAGATATAATACTCATTGATAAACGGTTTATGTATAGAAATCATTTATAAATTATAAATATACGTTAAAATCATGTTTACCAACAGTCATTGAGTCATCTAGATTTCTCTCACATCTGACATAAGAATATAACCTAGATATTGATTAATTAATTGACGGTCATACCTGCATAGCAGTTAGTAATAATAGCATTCTGGTTTGCCGGATCATTGCATTGTATCGCAAATACTCTTGTTTATCCAATGGCTGTTTGTCTGTAGGTTGTCAGCTTAAAAAAGTTCAGATTTACCTTAAATGTCATTCTTGGTCCAAGGGTATTTCCCTTCTTTCCATAGCTGCAGTGTGGCAGAAGTGAAGCACCATCATGAAAGATATTCAAATGTTGTCTCATGACAATTGAAAGTGCTTGATTTATTCATAAGTTTCACTTACTTCCCCTTCTTATATTGTAAACACCTTGAAAGTGGAAGAGAATATGAAATGTGATCACCTTATATAGCCGGTGTTAGATGCAATTTTTCCCTTATCTAGACAAAGAAAATTGAAAACTTGATAATTAACAACAAAATGGGTGTTCTGGCAGAAAGTAAAATGTGTGTATTATCATGCATGTTTAACAAACAATATAAAATATCGTTGACAAAACATCATCAGAATTAGATAGAAATTCCATGTAGAATATCATATTTTTTTAACCTTCATTTTTTGTGACCAGACATCAGGGGTTGCTGATTGGTTTCTGTAACAAATTGTTACACTTTCATTACCATTTTACTTTAAGTTATCAGATTTTGTCAAGTGGTTACTCTCTGCATAATTCACATTTTCTGGAAAATCATACAGAATATGAATTCAATGGCCATATACAGAACATAATGGCCTTGATTGTTGATAATTTTGTAACCCTGATTGGTTTACTTTTCCAATTAAGATCAAATTTAATGCATTTCCCCCTACATCCGTATACCAAAATATATTGGCTGTAGGATATTGGGGTGAAGGTCTAATGCAGACAACATTCATTATTAAGGATTCAGTCTAGCTAGAAGCCTCTGTGACCCCCCCCCCCCCCTCTACTTGACTAAACACCTTCTCACACGCGTGTGCAAGGTCTTGTAGCTAGACTAGAAAATCGAAATCAATGTCATTCAAAAACATATTACAACCTTTCACCTCACAGATATTAATACATGCACAAGGTGTTTTCATCATATAATCATAAAACGTAAAATCAATTTTTAAACTATTGAATGTGTATACTGTGCAGGGCAACAGTTTGTATGTTCATACTCGAACTGTTCAATCTGTGGTTTTATATTCTATAGTAAATCAGTGATAAAAACCAATTAGACACTACTCAGGTACTGATTACAAATCAGATAATTAATTGAATGAACAGTTGTTATATGTGACCCCTTGATTACTAAATCACATTTCCCATTTAATAATTAAGCAAATATACAGTATGGTATACTATACAGGGTGTTTCATAATGACCGTCCCCCCATCAACCACCAATCCTGAATAGCATACCCCCATGTGTTATATATCATATGAAAGCTTGGTCAGTTCTGGACTTATTGAATCAACTTTAGCTTAACATTTTTTACAACTTGCTACATATCTCTATAAAAGGTACCCATTTTATCTTTAGCATAGAATCTGAAAGCCACATTTTTTCCAACATTAGCCATGTACCCTGCAAACAGCTATGATAACCATGCCTCAATACACTATTGGGTATAGTAATGTACAACTTCTAACATTTGATGGATGTTGAAGATATATCTTGATAATATTTGAAAGATAAAAGCATTAAATAGTTCAAAGAAATGCCCAGAGAGCTCTAAATGATACAATGGATAATATAGCGATCTGCTTTTCTCTTTAAATCCATCAGGAATAGTAGTCACAAATCATGCAAATTGAGGGGATTGTGGCTACAAAATATAAGTTCACAAGTTATGTTGTCAAAGACCAAGCATTCTAATATTTGGCACATAAGTCCAGAATTGAATACGCTTTATTATGGTATATAGATTATGGGGGCATGTGAAGTAGGATTGCCTGTGGATGGGGGGACAGTCATTATGAAACACCCTGTATAAGTTCCAGAAAATCAGAAAGTATAAGGTATTTAGAAAAAATTATTTTGATAGAATGAAAGGATCTTCTCACGCTCAGTCTTCACCGTGTTCAGATGGGGGCCGAGTGAACAAAGATTGAATGAAAGTACAATATGCATAATTTAAGGGTCTTTTAAGTAGACCCCATCTGCCTACCTTAAAACACATGGCTGCGTGCTTATATCCCATTCTCTTGCCAACATTATATGAGAACAATGCAATTTGACCGCCAGCAATTAGATCAGCAGTAGATCTTAATTGTTTGAATTTCTAACATGCCAAATTAGGTCATTGTCTCTCTCATATAACACCTGTAAAGGTATATTTAAACTATTGTCCCTAATTAGTGATGTTTTCGAGTTCCAATTTGCAAAACCAAATTTCTTATCACTTCAACACTATTGTCAATTTCCTAAATCACATTTCACATGTTTTTTGAAGATATTTGCTGAACATTTACAATAGTTCATCCTCCTAAGCAGGTATCCAGAATCCGTACCTCCTTCTTCCCCCTGCTATAACCAATTTGGAAGCGCGCGATTAAAGTGAATCACGTGATCTAATTGTGCACAATGACGTATACATGATTTTTGTCGCAGTGTTGCGACAGCCAGTCAGATTGCGAGTTCTTAATCGGGGAAATGCTAACTGCTTATCGCAGGGGGTAAAAAGAAAGAACGAAGAAATTCTGGATTTTGAAGCCCTGTGATCGGAGGTTGACAATTGTTAAAAAGAAAGAAGTAATCAATATTTGGTTCACTGGTTTGAAGGATTATACAAGGGATGCATGATATAAGTATTGCCTATATATTATTTTCCAAAGATGAATAACTTCAGTAGGTTTAATATGGCAATGTTTTCTCGTTATATTGTTCAGCTGCTGACTTATAGTGTCTGTAGGTCACTTGAGAAATAAAATTAGCCTTGTTATTGTTGATGTTTCCCAATTGTATCTTACCAGAAGAATTATTTCAGAATTTGATCTCTTTTAAGACCTTGCTTTTTACTCCTGAGTCATATAAGGTCTTAAAGGTACACTTCAACATAAGGTTTCTGGAATAGATGGAGTGTAAATATTTCTGCATAGGGTTGGTAGACAGAGCTTGCAGCAAGTCTCTTGACCCCATCCTCCCCTATTTACTTTGCCTTGCAGAGGTGGGACCAGTATTTAGATATGGTCGCAAGAGTTATATGCTTCGCAGGCGCAATTCCTAATGCAGGAAACCCTAATAGAATGAAAAATACAGAGAAACTCCATCCAGCTCACCAAGTCATTTTGTGCACTTTTGTCACACCTTCTAACCCGAGTAATATACTCTTCACATTGAAAATTACCCATTTAGGATTTTATTCAGTCTTTTGGCTCAATAGCTCTATTTATTTTATACATGCATATGTCACATATATTACTTAGTGCATGTACATGTACTACATCATATCTGTGAACTGTGATAATTTCGGTGATAAATAAGTTTGGTGGTAAGTAATATAGATAACCAAGAACATTAAAATCTGTATTAAACATGTAATTTATTGATGAATTTTTATGGTAGATATTGATACCCTATCAAAATTGCATGCATGATACATGCCATACACAAATATTAAGGTAGGCCCTGGCAATGCAAATTTTCTCATATAAATAGTTCTTTCTATCACTCGGTCAATTTTTGAAATCCATTTAGCCTTATTATGGTGTAACATTTTATTTATATTGACATACATTTTCATTCTTGTATTTTTGCTGTTCTGCATTTAACATACAATGTACTTTAAAAAGTTACATATTCATCATATGATAAAATTCTCTCTTTTCAGAGCATTCTACCTTAAGTCCTCGTAATCCTGAGGGAAGTATAGGGAGCAATGATACGCTTATTCCAGAGGAGGATACTCTCAGCTCTGTAAGTACAGATCTGATTTTACATCACAACCATTACATCAGTTTATTTTCTTCATGATTTAATGTTGACATATTTACTTAATTAATCAAACCAAAATATGCATTCTACCAATCACCGTACAAACCACAAAACATTCATTCCTGGCACCTTATATCATGGAGTAATAATTTGTGTCTTTATTTTTATCTTGTCCCATATCATATAATCTTTTTGTAAATATTTTTGAAAACGATTCTTTCTTTCACACATATCCTTTATACATAATTTGATCTGAAATTCAAAATGCAGGTTAACTGCACTCCATAAGACATAGAATCCACAATAATATTATTTTTTAAATCTGTAGTCTTTGGCAGCTCTAACAGACACTACTTCACCTTGTCCATGTGGTTTTGTTTCACTGATAAACATTCCTTAAGACATATGCCTTTAACACATCCAGTGTCAAGTCCTGTACAGTATTCATGACGTTGAATTATTGGATTCCCTTCTTCATCATGGCCTCTTCTTGAGTCGTGTCCATAAAATACATGTTCAGGGCCTTTCCAGAGTTCGCCCCAATGACAGCCGTTTCTGTCATGATCCAACGAGACCAATGGCTGTCCAGCATCATTTGTGATGATATTCCTGGTCCATGTCATTACTCGTATCGTTTGTTTTTGTATTGGAATCCCTGAGAAAAGTCCCGCATGGACAACTATTACATTTAGTGCTGGTAATGCTAGCGTATATGGCATGTTCCCTAAAAATATGAGGTCTTGCTTGGATAATTTTTTCGCCCAATGACTTGCAGGTTTTATTGGCAGCTCTTTGATGACGAGGTCTTCATGATTACCTCTTATGCAATATAAGTTGGGTCCTAAAGTCTGGATATATTTAACCGTCTCAAAACATTTTGGTCCCTTGTTGACCATATCCCCTGCTAGAATCACTATACAATCCTGTTTCACCTGCTGTCTTTCATTGTCCAGTACATCAGCCTTTTGAAGCAGTTCTTGAAACTCATCTAAACATCCATGGATATCTCCAATGATGAGAATGCGTTTGTCTTTGGTTTTATATGCATCTTATATCATATGTTGTTCCGTTGCCATTTTGTTATTCTAGAATGTTAGATCGTTTGAATTGAAAATGGTGACTGAATAGTACTGGTTAAGTTTTCGTTGAGGTGTGTATATCTGAAAGGGTACTCTAGAATGAGAAAACCTCTATTGGTTATATGGTATATATCAGATTAGATGTTGAAATAGTGGTGCAACATTCATACACGTGGAGGCTAAGTCATCATTGAATTCCTGTAAAGTTGTAAAGTAATTTAATAAACCTTCCTTATTGTATTGCTTTGAGGACACTCTACTTGTAACAGCCAATAGTATTTCAACAAATTCCTGCTTTACTCATAAGAAGTCCCATTCAAAATTTGATGACATATACAGTTTTAATTCACAGGCTTATTTGGGATTGACTATCACTAAATTGAAAATTACATAATTCAAGACATTTTTGTATGTTCCAGATTGTTTTGTGGCTTAAGGTAGCCTATCACCCTGTTTATTTTTTCATGAAGCCAGTCCGTAAAATTACGATTTCTCTGCACCCTGATGTCCAATCAAGATCATAAGTCACGTTAAGCAAAACAATGTGTGGCCTCTTGCATGTTGATGTTTTCTGTTGTTTATTTGGAAGTATGACCTCAAAAATAACATGGCTGAAACTCTCAAAATTACAAGAGGCTATACGAACTTCATTATTGGCATTATTTTAAATATCTGAGACATACAAAAGTGGAGTCCATTATTTTAGCAAAAAACTTCAGAAATGATCTAATTTTTTCAACTTTGGATCTTTCCAGCTGTTTAGCTTACTTAAAAATTAAACATCAGGGTATTTTTGTAAATTAAAAATATGAACATGTATAATGTAAAAAACAAACAAGGAACATGCATAAAGTAAGATCCAAATTATTTTTCTCACTTTCTATGAAATATATACCATGAAAATATGTTTTGCAAATTGTATGGTTGCACATTTGGTTATCAAACATAAAATGATGAAACATCTTCCCAAATACAGGGATCATAACTGTAGTAGCAATTATACTTCACAATTCGACAAGATATTGATGGAATCTGTTCTTTTCAAAAATCTATAATATATGCCCATATATATTACTGATGTTCTGACATAGGTTTCATTCCTTATGAAACCATGCCTTATATACCCCCCTCCCCTTATACTGTTCATTTATAAGTGCAAACAAGGTTAGATAAACATTGAATTGCACTTAATGTAATGTCATACATAATAGCCCTCAAAGATAAAACAGAGATCTATGTCTGATGCATTGTATTATTTTATGGTTATTGTTTTAAGTAAGTGTCAAGTATAGTAAGACAGACTTCTACATCGTATTTATATTTTTTACATTTTATTTTGCGAGAACGACACATGTAAGTTCAGATCAGCCATGTTTTTTTTTATAAAATAGGATAACATGAAAAAGTTTATAATTTACTATGTGAATTCTATTGCTGGCAAAATTAAAATGAGCCAATGCTTTGTCAAAATGGCTTTTCAACTAATATTATCTCTTGTCATAAATTTGATTTTTTGTATTGAATTATTCATGATGAAAATACTGGTATAATCAGAAATATGACTGGACGGTGAAACTTGTGTAAGTGGAACTCCTTGTACACCTCTGATGTGTTTCACTTGGGGGAGGTATTCTACTTACAGAGGTTCATTTAACAATAAGTCAATAGGTTGCGGAACTGTGAAAATCATTTTACTTATGGCAGGTGTTCTACTTACAGAGGTGTTCCACTTAACAGGTTTTACTGTATTTCTTTCTTGAAATTTGCAGACTAACGAGACCCCTTCAGAGGTGAGCACATACAATGAATATGATACAATGACAGATGAAGAAGCTTCAACATTAACAAGTTTTGTACACGATAATCTCAAGCCTCAACAGAATTCTGAGGACGACGGAGACAGCGCAATAAGCTCCAAATCTGCAGAGAATAGCAAATAGTAAGTGGTTATTCATTTGTTTATTTATTCATTTATGTTACTAAGGTAATGATAGCATCAAAAACCTGATCTCATATGTATCCTAAGGGCCTTTTATTGGAATTTCAATATGAAATGAGTGTCAGCCTCTTAAAGTGAAAGGAAAAAATATAACCATCTTTTATGACTTCATAGTAGCTCACCACATGTAAGAATTCTCAGTATTTTAATACGAGTTCATGCACTAATGATACATGTACAAATTGTATATGTCAAGCACCTTGGGGCATTACAGGCAATTAAATAAACAAAACAATAAATTATATACTGTCGTCAAAATTAAAAGTAAGAAGTGATGAAAATGAGAAGGAAGGGTTGCGTTAATTTGAAAACTGTAGACATGGTCAAGCTCTCATCAGACTTTGTGCATTAATGGAAGAGATTTTGAATGTGGCAGCATGTGGCAGTGATTGTTGCTGCTATATGTGTTTTTTCATGATTCATTTTTTCCAGCCAAAACACTGAAGATACTGCTAGTGAAAATGAAGAACAATTTGAAGACTTTGGTGAAGCCAACATTGACTCTGATAGCCAATCAGGACCAAGTACTAATGGGTAGGTACCATTTTACCACCAAATTCAGTTTCTTATCACTTTCTTCAATTTTGAAGACAAAAAAAATATTGCATGATTAATACATGTAATTATTAATAAATAATAAATAAAAAGCCTGTTGTTAATGCAAAAGATAAGGTGTTGGGGTTGCAATCTCAAAAATTCAGTTTGCATAAAAATGATCCGCTCTCTGAGTAATCAACTTGTTATGTAAGACTTAAATTTGAAGCATGTTTCTGGATAGATAATACTGCTTACTTTGTTAATTGTTATGGCACTATGTATGTGTTGATTTCTCCATTTGTTTGTTTACTATTACCATGGGAATTAAGATGTTTTCAGGCTTTATCTGCGGTTTATCTAACAGCTAATGAATAAGTTAAGATATACATTGATCTGCTGTAGCTTTTTCCAAACCTGGAAAATTAATTTTTCTTACCAGTTTAACTTTTTGTAAAATAAACAACAAAACCTTTCAAGCTGAATGCTGCTGTTATCATTTAAAGAGATGCTCATGTTTGATGTAGTCCAACTGACAATTTTTTTTGTAAAATCACTGTATTCAAGAACACCTTGAATGGGATCCTATACTTTTGCATAGCGCTGTTTAAAATATTCAGTTCATTTATAACAATACTATTTTGCCAATATCCTACAAAGCACATGGTGAACATTTCTAACTTCAATGAATAGTTCTCGTGCCATGTGCCCAATTTTTGTCCCAGAATCACTTTAAAAGTGCTCAAAATGGTGAAAACTGCCTATTTTTGAAAAAATTGACTCCCCTTGGGCCTGTTACATGAGCATCTCTTTATTGCCTTCATAAATATTTCATTTTAATATAGCCTCCATCCTATAAGACTTACTAGAAAAAATCTTGATATGAGTTTGTCAAAATCTTATTAAAAATAAAAAATGCCCACAGACTAGATTATAAGAGTTTAAGTAACTTTGTTTTCTTTGATATAACAGTATAGCCGAGGGTCACAAAAAGACACGTCGTGATCGTCGTAGCGCCAGTTGGCAACGACCAAGCAGAATAAGCTGGTACTTGCCTTAAGTACATTAATATAAACAACAGGGCGATCCAAATATTTGTAAAACTTGTTTAAATGTTTAAAATTTCTAATTTCATTGTATTTATAATATATAAGTAAAAACAGCTAAATAGGAAGTTTAAACCTATAAAATGGAGTTTCTATTTTCTTTTTGAGTGTTACCAATTTTGGATCACTCTGTATTTGGAATTGGAGTGGCTTGTAACCCATCCTAGAGAAAGCTTTGCATGCTTTGTTGTATGTATTATATATAAGTGTGGTTGGTGTCCAATGTATTGTCTCAAAGTGTAACCAGGGAATAAAGTAATGGTGTAAGAGTATAATGTGTTTGTGTTTATTTAAAGTTTTATTGGTGTAGGCGTGTTTTATCCGCCAGGGGTATATTTGCCAAATTCCAAACATTGTCACTCCACAATTACATATTTTTTCAATCTAATAATTTCTTAATCTGTGCAATCGTTATGTTATAAGAGTTTTAATTTGGAAAAGCTTGAGGTAAAGTTTTTTGTGATTACAAAGTTGACCTTTGAGGTTATCCCTTGAGCCATTTTAATCCCTAAATGCTAAATTAGTTTGATCAAATTGCCTGAAATTGCTATTTTTGTACATTTTATGAGTGTTTACAACATACCTTTTACCCTCTTATAAGGGCCACTCTTTTGCATTCAATTTTAAATGTTGAAACACAAATATATTGATATTTCATTTATGGGTAACTCTTGCATACATACTTTCATGTTCAACAGTGGCTCTTGGCAATTCACTAATTTGTCTCTCAATGTGTCATTTGTGTCAATGTGTTTCCATATGCATCTCATAAACAATATTTGTCACATTTTTACCTATGAAGAAATGAAGTTTGTTAAATTGTGAGAATTGGTCCAGTTATTTTGTTTCCTGGAAATTGCTTTTATTTTAATTCGCAAAAGTTCTAGATTATAGTAAATAACCACGCAAAAGGCAATATCTTGTTTATATGTTTATAACTTACATGTATTTGTATGTTCAGCATATCTGCGTTAAAAGTGCTTGATGTTTAACTAGTTTTGTCAAGCTTTGAAACCTTTACTTCACTTGATATAAGTTAGTGATATGCTTTTGATCACTCATGGTTTGCTTTTTCTATTGCATAATATCATATTTTGATGTTTAGCAATAAAAACCTGGTACAAACGTTCTTAGATTAAAGACAAGAGTTTTCCAAATCTACGTGAAACATTTTATATGTGAAGCCATATTCTGATGTAGCAGAAAAGGCCTAGTCATCGTTTTGTTTATTTATTCAATGTATTGCATGCTTTGTAGCATGGTGGGATAGATGTATATATTTATCATATAATATAACATTGTTTATATGATACATATTTGTGGCACAATACTAGGAATGCATGCTCACGGTAATATAGGTACGAACATGAACATATGTCAGTTATCTCCCCAGCATTAAACCAAGTGGGCGCAGCAGTCACCTGGGATTTTGAAAATAGGCTTACACCCACCTGAAAATACATATGCACCCACTTGAAAATGAGAAAAATCATGAAAAATTGGCATATTTTTGACAAATATTGGTCTGAATTATGGCAATGTGAATTTTGCACCCACCTGAGAAAAAATCCTGTGGAGATCACTGTATGTACTTTCAAATTGTCAATCTACATCTAAGAAAAAGAAGCATATTTTAAATGTATATAAACTACATGTTAACACATATTGTACATATCCATAAGCTCATAGCTTGTCAATAATTACTGATTTTGTTCATTTTTAGTTCATCAACATGGCACAACTTAGCAGCACAGTAAGATATACTTGAGTTCTGTATGATCTCTGAGGCATACCGTACCATGTGAATGCTATTAAGGCGGGGGCTAGTAAAATCATATTTAGACTTGTTTGCATGTGAGCCTACATGTTAAAGATCTAAGTTAATATGCTAGAATATTTATTATACCTTTCCTACCTTTAGAAATTTATATTTAAAAAAATTGAATGAATATATCGAAATGCTCTAACTTTGAAGTATCCATACAAAATGTGCTTCCCCTAGATGGACTGAATATTCACTTTATTGTATAATTTTCTCTTTTACCTTCAGCTACATGCAAAAGTGAAGTTCTGAGAACTTTTACTCTGCAACGTCATTGTTTAAAACATTGTGAAAATCTTTGGAAAGTACATTTTCTTTTGTAATTGTCTCAGAGTTCATAGTAGAATCAGGTTGCCATGCCCCATGTTATCTAGATATTGTGTTTATATGGTCTACATGTATGCTTCTGACTTGTATGGCATATAATGTAATTAGGCAAGAAGAACAATGGAGTTGTGAAGTGCACGTTCACCATAATGAGTAGGGCTTTGAGAATTTCATTGGCAAACATGTAATGTTAAGACGTATTTTCATCAAACTTCTAAATATGATAAAGTTGGAAAATAGACATTTAGAGGCCAAGATTTGGGCCAAAACTTCAAAAACATTGTCTTATTTGAAGAAAATTATTTAATGTTTCCTCCTTCATATATTTCAAGATCTGAACTGCATGAATTGTACTGTATGCACTCTATGCTTTCTAAAGCATTCACATTTCAAAGTGTTCACATATTTTGAGAGTCTTATATATTATTGAAGGAAGTAAAGTTTGTTTGAGAGGTGCATACATCCTTGTTCCTTAGGGGGCTGTTACCCTAACACGTGTATGTTTTATTTTGGAGGATGGGGGACTCTCATTATAATATGTCAAGGTCATCACACTTCGATGTCGTTTCTTTTGCATCTTATCTTCCGCAATAAAAAATCACGGCCATTTGTCAAGAGATAATGAACTTTGAATTGTACTTCAACACATGTTCATGCATGTACATCTACCTTTATTTTAACCCAAGATAATGATATTTTTATTGTTCTGTCTGTCATCAATCAATGTTACATGTGTGGTTACATATGTTGAAGAATCGGTCAAAATCTAGGTTCATTTATTTATCATATACAATACATGTATATCCTTGACAGAGAACTGACGACATTTATACATTGTTTAATTTTGGCGATGATTAAAGAATTGAAGATTTTATTGCATGGCTCTTTTTGTTGTCATTCTGTTTATTTCATTGGTGCATTGTATAGATTTGTTCTATTTTAATTTAGCGCATTTGGAGCAATTACTAAAACATTAAAATGATTTTGTGAGCTTCATATTTTAATAAAAGTTATTTTTTAATTGGTTTCTGCTGTGCATGTCTAAAGATATGTTTGCAGTTTCACTTATATATTTAACCTTACATGTTATTTTTAGCATTTTATCTCAAGACTCTAAAAGACTTAAAGTGTTTCAATTCTGAGCTCAAGTTTTGCAAAGTGTATAGATAGTTCACAAATTCAAGGTTCTCTCATGTGGGAAACAAAAGATAAAATACATGTTCATCAATCCCATAAATCACTTGGACAAAATTCTCAAATGATTATTCGGTATCAGTCATGTGATCAACAGACGGCCATCTGGGATGAAGCCATTATAGCCTCCTGTGATATGCTGAGAAAATCCAAAGACAATCAAAGGTCATAGGGGTGTACTTTGTTAGACTTAGTTCACATTAATTGTTTAAGTTTGTTTATAAGCAGATCCAGTTGCACTCTCTTTAATTATAAAAAACAGAGAAGTTGTTGTATGAAGGAAATATTTTAGGAAATGAACCCATAAAGGATGTAATTGTGAACAACAAAGGCTCTCTGTTGCAGATAGAAAAAGAAGTCTCAACAAAATTGTATTTTAGGATAACAATCTGAGAAATATACTTTACATGGAATTTATTCTACCTAAAACGACAATTCACAGCACTCTTAAATGTGATGAGAGGTAGCATGAATGGAAATTACAATGCTCCTAGCTAAGTTAGGGGTATATAACACAAAAAAACTGCTGAACTTTTATTTTTAGCTCCGTGTGAACTGAAAAATAGAAATAGATTGATACTGTATTGCCTTAAAACACAGATTTTGACCTTTGCAGCTTATTACAAAAGGAAGACGAAAACATATTTTTATTTATATTTTTATTCATGGATGTTATATACAGTTTTAAAGTACCTGGATGCAGCCTGACTATAGTACCCTGGACAATTAGGTTGATATGACTGATTAGTATCCTGGACATACATTTTTTTATCTTAACTTACATTTATTGCAGTGGTATCCAGGATATCTCTTTTTAGAATCCTGGACATTGATTCTGATAGTAGCCTGGACTGGGTCACGAGTAACCTGGACACTTGTTTTTGTTATAGTACCCTGGACATATTAATTATATTTCAATGGATTCTGATTCTGGTTATTCTGAATATTCCAGCCATTCCAAGAAGATCTCATCAAGTGCTCTGGCCAAGTAAGTAAAACACATTAATTAATTTATATTAGTCATTAAAAAGTCATTAACTTTTTATTATTCAATTATTATTAATGGATTCTGATTCTTGTTATTTCTCATAAGTTAAGTAGTTTTAAATTCAAGTTGTTTTTTTGTTTACCCAAGTATTATACAGTAAAACCCTGTGTAAGTAGAATGCCCCTAGGAGCACAAAAATGAGTTCCACTGTTTATTGACATGAAGGCAATATATCACAGGAGTTATAAAACTGTTCCATTTTTTGAAGTGTTTTAACAGAGGTGTTCAACTTGACAGTTTAATAACTCAATTTGAAATGAAGACATAATTTTAAAATGTTGGTGTTCTCCAAACAGAGGTGTTCAACTGACAGTTTTACTGCCCTTAAAAATGACCAAGCAATAGTCTTTCTAATGGTAAGAAAGTGAGATGAATGGAGTGAATGTCAAAGTGTTTCCTGATAAACAATCCAGACAAATCTTAACAAAACATAATAAACATGATATGTCTATTTGCACTCACACTTAACATAAGAGGGCTTAATAAAACATGTTGGTTTTGTATGTTTGTAATAATATCCAAAACATGTATCAATATTAAATCATGTAGAATGTGTAATACAAATAGGATAAGTCTGTGTTATTTTCACAGAACCAAAATATTTTCGCTTATCCTAAATGTTTGATTTGTTCTGAAATACAGATTTACATAAGCCAATCAGTTTAAACATTTGTATCATTTCCATCCAGGAAACGATAGACTCCCGGCTATCTGCCAAAAGTCGGGTTGGCTAAAATTAGCAGATACTGCAGTATGTAACTACACTCATCCATCTAGCAAGATACTTCATAGATCTGACTTGTACCTGATGAATTAAATATCACATGGTCATTTATTAAATCGTAAAATTGAGAACAAAGGAGAGAAATTAACAAGGAATAAAAAGGCAAATAAGGAATATATAATCTGAATTTTATAGATCTGTGAAAAAATCAGACGTTTCAGTCAAATTTTAGAGAGAAATGAGAGAAATAAACATGAGCAGACAGATATAATTTGGACTGTGTTTTGGCTGATTTTTCCAAGGCAACGTTTGAGTGGTGCTTCAGTGCCTCTATGAAGCCAAGTGAGAGAGCACCATTGGAGTATTTGCATTATTTAGGAAAAACAAATTTTGGAGTTTAAATTATCAAATGTGCCGAAGGGTTGTAGTAGATTAGTCAAGTTTTACTGCCAGGTAATTATGAATTCAATTAATTTTATTGCCTGTAGAGATAAGTTTTGAAGTTCAAGGGTTGAATTTGTCATTAGGGTGTCTTATTTATAGGCATTTTACATTCATACGTGTAAGTAGTTGAATTGGTGATTTAGTAGTTTGTTTTTTATATCAATTCATATTTTAAAGTATCTCATCATTTTAAATCTGTGTTATGGTATTCCAAATACTATATGTATATTAAGTTTCATTTGGCCAAATTAATACCTCATGTTCGGGTATGAAAGTTAATGTGAGGGTATCTTATCATTTCCCCAGTCAAATCCCTGTTAAAGGAAGTTTGTATGAAACTTCTGTTTCAATTTAATGATAGGCATAAAAAGGTATACTTAAGCATTCTTCAAATTGACCTTTAAATGATTTCGACCTGAGCAAGCAAAATGATTCATCCCTCGTGTAAATAAATACATGTGTACCTTAAATTCTAATAATAGTGTTTGTTTATAGTACTTGGTAGGAAATAGATATTTGTGTAATAAGTTACCAGACACATAAAAAGTGAACTTGTAGGAATGAGTAAATTACCGTTATAGGTGACTTATGTGATTCAAACCTTTCATGACTCAGTTGTGAAAAAAATTATGGATTATTAAAACTAACTTGTCTTATATGATATCAAAATGTGGAATAAAAATGCCAGTTATCAGTACAAGAAGAAGGTAAGGGGAATTTGATTACTAAACTTCGTATATAATATTTCTGTTTTTTTGCTGTTACATGTAGTTTTAAAAGGTTTTAAGGTGATAGCTTGTGGCTAATTAATAACACATGAAAAAATATGAGATATGATGAATTCAGTAATAAACAACACAATATTTAAATTTCAAATAACTTCAAATGCTTGATGAAACTTTGGACACTTGACTAGAATAAACCATCTTACTGACCATACCCAGAGGGGTATCGAGGGATTCCATTCCCCTTAGACCAAAAGATAATTCAAAATACATGGTTTAACCATTATTTATGACTCATAAGTAGGTTAGTCTTAATGAATAAAGCAGTCTCTCCTCAACTTGAAACATATCTTGGGATGAATATTATGATCTTGAGAAAATACAAATTGATTTGAAAATATAGTGACTTCTAGCAAGATATAAGTTGAAATTACCATATTGATGAGCTTTACAGATTTTCTATGTTAAGAAAACAAGATAATAAGGAATGTGAATCTGGTGTATTTCCAACAATCAGGCATCCTTCTTGGGGTCATTCTCACCTAGTAAGGAACATATGGAACATACAGTAATATATAGAGAATGTAGAAATGTATCATGGGAATAGAATTGTGCTCGATGATCTCATAATATATGAAGTTATATGTCAGTTGTTAAAACAGATATGATGATTTTAGGTTCTTATCAGATTTAGATTTTGGTTACTGTGGAGTTGTATTTTATGTACACCAACCTATTTACACGTATTCAATTTTCCTTGAAAATCCTTTTTTTATGGACTACTGTTTTGATCATTGAAGATAGTTAATAGTCCAAAAAATTGGGTTATTCTGTCTATACACTTCTATCACTGTAAAGAAGAAGTAAGCTAGTGCTCTTAGGCTCATTCCAACTCTGCCTTCTCTGAAACAGAACAGTAACTGTTTCTATTGAGAAGCAAGTGTGTGATTCATGTCTGTATGTTGTGTATTTCACCCAACTCTATAATACATTTGTGTATAAATACCTTCCAAGTGTGTGATTCATGTCTGTATATTGTGTATTTCAGCCAACTCTATAGGTCAGGAGGAGCATCAGGTCATAGTCGCAAGCCCAGTAGCGGCTCAGACGAAATATTTGAAAATATTGATGATAACTTCTATCAACTTAATGATAAGGTAGATATAAAAATATATTATTATTTTATCAACTATTTATATTTTAATCATTTTTCTTACCCAATCTTCTTCTCAGCGTCTTTCTTCACTGATTTTTTCTGAGGGAGTGAGTTCCCGCCAGTTGTCACATGATCAATTTACCGCCAAACAGTTATCATGTGATACAACTGTTTGGAAATATAATTACCTGTAACAAAACCAAGTAACCAGCCAACTCCAAAACACATAAATATTTATATTTCATATAATTTATTTATTGTGATATCTCATTGGAAAATCCTTACTAATTTCTGTCCATGTTTATTTAGTTTTATAGAAAGTTATATTCGGATAACCAATGAAGTAGAAGTGATGTTTTTAAGATTAAATTACTCCTGCAGTGTTATGGAGTTTAAATGTTGATGGGTTGCACATGAGTGTAACTGCACCTGTAATGTTTTAATCATGCCTAAATCAAAACATATTGTTGGTTAATTATCAGATGTGATGTTTTTGTTGAAACTTGCAACAAAGAGATGAGAAACATTAAACCTTTCTGCACAATTGTCCTAAGATAATGATATATTTTGTGGTGCATATACCATAAAATTCTGACAGCACAATGTTTAAAAATATATGACGTACTTTACATATATATCTTTATTTTTTACTTGTAGTTTAAACGCCTTGAAAACCAGGTTGTTAGTTTGACAGAAAATCAACAAAAGAATGAATCCAAGACATCTAAGTTAAAAGATGACAACCAATTCCTTGTAGAGCGGTAAGTTGTGTTTTATGTCACTACCGGCAGTTGTGACAAATTGTTATAGTCTCCAACTTTTTGTGGACGGTGTTCAGTATTTGGTGGTTGGCGTCTGTAACAATGGCAGATGGTGTCATTTTTCACCTTAATACATCTACTTCACTGTGTTCTTTCACACAGATCCAAATTAGTATGCAAGCGACCTTGAAATAAACAGTTTGAAACATTTGCTATCAATTAAAAAAGTAGTGTTCATTGATATAATGCTAATAGTCAATGGTTGTTAAGAAAAATATATGAGATGCTAAAATTCCTTCAATTTAGTGATGGAGAATCTTTATTAAGTTTTCATGCATCCCCTATATTGATATACGTATATCTGCTGTGTGCACCATTATGTAGATAGTTATCTGGTTATTTGACTGCCCAACCTTAAATCATGAATTTTAATAATTATAAAAAATAGAAAGATATTTATTTAAGATATTATTTATTAATTTATCTTGTATCCATTATTGTTTGTAGGGTCCATATGCTAGAAGAACAGCTCACCCATGTTGAGCTAAAGTCACAAGATAGATTAGAAGAAGAACAAAAACGTAACAGAGATATCATGGTAAATATACAAAAATAATACTGACTTAAAAGTTGAACAAAGTGTGTTTTTTTCACACGTCCTAGTTTTCTGCATGAGAAAAAGTCAAGTTCTGCATGAAATCCCAAATTCCGCCATAAATTATCACAAAATTGCAGGGAGCTCAAAAATGACATATTAGATGTAATTTTTGTGCAAAAGGCGGAAGTTTGAGAATTTTAAACATATTTCACATTCTCCTTGGAAATCCTCACAGCAACAGTTTCTGATGACTCTAAGGTGTCAAACTGAGTGACAAATATGAGATGTGACGAGATAGTTGACTGGAAAAATCAAGTTTTCCGCGAAATTCCGTGTAAAAAAACAAATTCTGCAAAAATTTTGAAAACCAAAATTCTGCGGTCAGTTTTTCTGCAGTGAAGCAGAGTCGGGGAATTCTAGTATGTGTGGATAATTGATGTTATTGTTGGTAGTCTCACACTTAATGTTCAGAGTAAAGTGCTCCTGTATGTTGAAAGGTAATCCTAGATTACTTGACACAACCAAAACACAATCAGAGATTTGAATTTTAAAAAGATTATTTGTTTTACCAGAATTTCTCTGTTAATAATCTTCATCACCTTTTTTCAGGCTCGACAAGATAGAGAAAAAGATCAGGAAATAGAAGCTTTAACTTTAAGGTAAAGTCGTAGACTATAAATATGAACAGTTTTTACAGAACAGATTGTACAAATTGAATACAGATTATACAGATTACTTAGTATGCAGATTTCACAGATTGTTCATATACAGAGTGCACAAATTGTATGGTATACAGACTGTGTAGTATATAAATTGTATCTTTTACAAATCATGCAGATTACATATTAGATTGTATAAGGATTGAAAATCTGTATCTCACTATAAAATATATGTTTCTATCCAAATTCAAAATCTCTGGTGCAATACCAAACAGATCATGATTCATGAAATACTTTTGTATTTCCATATTGAAATAGTGAAAATTGTACAAATCAATACATATAAAAAGCCTGATTTATGTAACTATTCTGTTCATTGAGTCTTTAGATTGTATGTCTTTTAGAAGAAGTTTTCATTTATAAGATCAAAGGTACAAAAACTTGAAAAATAGTTCCCTGATGATTGAAAGAATGCTTGATATATGAGTACTCTATTTTTTCCTTTCTAAAATATGTATTTGTATTGCAGTTTAAAACATATAGAGTCAGAATATTCCAATTTAAAAGAGGAGGCACCTAGGTTAAAGTCTGATGTAGATAGATTAAAAAGGGTATGTATAAATCTGTTATATCTGCATCTTTTACTGAAAGCTTGTTGTGCAAAATATGAGTAGTTCAAGTGATTAGCATTCAAAATCTTAACAATTTTAATAAGAAACATATGTAACATAAAAAACATATGTAAGTTAGACCAAAATTGACTAACCTAGCCAATTAATTTGTTACTTTTACTCGCAGACTTGTCCAAAAGTAATTTCATTTGAGTGACTTTGAGTGTTGATAAAGCTTTCTTTTAAAGAACCAAAATCAAAGTGATTTGAAGTGGTACATGAAATGATGCAAAACTATATACTGTATAAAAAGGGGAATTAAAATCAAATATGTTCTATTGATTAAATATGTAAATTTTTAATTCCTATTCCAGGAGAAAGGTCTACTACAAGACAAACTCATAGAGAGCAGACAGATGCTCTCAACCCTAGCAGGTGAACATAAGAAACTACAGGACAGATGTAGGAAAGAGTCAACACATAGTGTGCAGGAGAGAACAGTCAATGGCCAGGTAAGAATCTTAAGTAAAATTAGTCGTCATTATTTTATTTTTTTTAATCATTTAAAAATGAGCTTTTGATATTATTATTTTGTACAATTATTTTTTAGCTTTTTCATACCTATGTATGTGGATTTGTCAAAAATAAACAATTATGGTCTAGACTAGAATTAAATGGACAACTTTGACCTGACATATCTATCTACAGTAAAACCTGTAAAGTGGAACACCCATGTAAGTGGAAGACCTCTATAAGTGGAACGCAACCTATTGACTTATTGTTAAATGAGCCTCCATTAGTGGAACACCACCCAAGTGAAATATTTCAGAGGTACCAGCGGTGCTCTACTTGTATAGGTTTTACTGTAGTGTGATTGTTATTTCTATTTTGGTTTGAGAATATTTGTTTAAGTTAGTTGATATACAAAAATGTATCAGAAAGTTGAAGTTAATATAGTAATAATGTTCCAGTTATTAGATGAGCTTAGTCGAGAACTTGAAGATTTACGTAAATACAAGTTAAACAATGAGCAAAGAGCACACAGAGGGTCCAGTGTAGAATCAACAGGGAGAGCGGGGGAGCTGGAGACTGAAATACAGCGACTTCATGCGGTAAGAAAACTTTTTCAATCTTTTGAAAAATCAAAGATTTTCAGTTTTCCCTTGCCTCCAAATATCACTTATTTTAGTTTTTAAGTGTCTTTTGATTTGTCATCATACTGTTTAATGTTTTTAATCACAAAATGTATGATTTGTGGGGAAGTGTATTCAAATAAATAAAAACTCTGATATGGAATATACTTGAATTAATAACTATATTAAAGGTTTAATTTAAGCTCAGTCACTACTTTCAGTGATTTGTAGTAGTTTAAAATGACATTTATTTTGTTTATTGTATGAAATCGAAATTTGTATAATTGTTTCCATTATATTGGGAGTATGAAATTTATGAAATATTTCCAATCTTAATTTCAGAAAGACAATGCTAGAATACTGAAAAAATATTTCCAATTAATATTTTTGCTCCCATCAATGCTCTATCACTAATGCAGCATTTGTACATCCATTTGTTACTCACAATTTTCACATAAATAAAAACAATTACTCGATTCTAATCAATCTTACAAAATTGCAAAATGCTTAAAGTATTCACAATCCTTTTTCAGGAGAACAAAATGCTTAAGGACCAAAACGAGGACCTGAATGCCCACCTGCTGGCCAATAGTGTGGTACAGGGTAGGGCACTACTGTCTGAGGAGGCGGGCATGTCTCTTGCAGCAGAGATTGATGACCTCTCTAAAGATGAGGTAAGAGTAAGACAATATAGATGGCGCCAAGTAGCTAAAATACCGAGGAGGAAGTTCTCTATTATAAATGTTTCTTTCTGCTATTTGAGGAGGTGGTTGTCCCTAAACCAGGAGTAAATAGACGCGTGAATGTCTAACACTATCAGCGTTATCAAAATATTTATAATATATGGCACAATCAAGCATAGTTTCCTTCTTGTTCCTTTTGTAAGGTTCTACCTATATTCTTTGTTGGTAGCTGTTTTATTTTATTTTTTGTTTTCTCATTAATCTTCAACTTCAATGAAGATAATACAAATATGTTTACTTTAGATCTGAATAGAATTAAGCCATTTCCAGTATGTACATGTACAGTTCGTATATATGCATACTGAAAACTAACTTTAGCGCTTGTTGAAATGTACATGTACACGATAATATGGAAAGTTGAGTTAAATTTTTAGATTTATTCTTTTGTAAGGTTCTGCCTATATTCTTTGTTGGTAGCTGTTTTATTTTTTTTCTCATTAATCTTCAACTTCAATGAAGATAATACAAATATGTTTACTTTAGATCTGAATAGAATCAAGCCATTTTCAGTATGTGCATGTACAGTTCGTATATATGCATACTGAAAACTAACTTTAGTGCTTGTTGAAATATACATGTACACGATTGTATATAACATGGAAAGTTGAGTTAAATTTCTAGATTTATTCTTTTGTAAGGTTCTGCCTATATTCTTTGTTGGTAGCTGTTTTATTTTTTGTTTTCTCATTAATCTTCAACTTCAATGAAGATAATACAAATATGTTTACTTTAGATCTGAATATGTTTACTTTAGATCTGAATAGAATTAAGCCATTTCCAGTATGTACATGTACAGTTCGTATATATGCATATATATGCATATACTGCAATCTATACTTGGAGGAGTAGTTCCTTGAACTACTGCATAATCTCATCAGATGTTATCATGTCATAATATTTAATAATGTAATTTTGATATTATATTTTCTTATACTCTACACATTTTATGTTGCACCTGTACCTGCACCTGCACTTTATTTTCTCAATTATGTACAAGATCATACTTTACAAAACAACATGTACACTTTTTATTATAATATTTAACAAATCATTGTATATACCATTATGTGGCACCTAATACTCCCTCTCAGGGGTCATAGTCACTAAAACCTTTAAATATGTTACATTGATTTTAATAAATAAAAAGAAAATAAAAAATATAAAGATCAGGCACAGTTCACAGAGTTTTATACTTTCTTAACTTTTGTAACAACTTTGGCCTGGGATCTGTCTGCCCCTTTTTCGGAAATTCTATTTTATCAAGGTAAACAAAAAGTACCTTTACATTTTCGTTCAGGATCTAATAGATCTATTAATTGAATATATATTTTTGCACTGAGCAGTAGTATGCATCATATATAGTACTCCTAACTGTCTAACTTAGTGATGGGAGTTGATATTTGTACATGGTGTTCTAGTATTGGGTTATTCAATGGATTATTCAATTATGTTAAACTGTCAAATGGGAGATAAAAGCAGCGTAAAGACAAATTACTCGACTTAATTACATGCACATGTACTACAGATTGACTCCTTGGGATATTGTCATTCATATTTCTGAGTTCTATCCTTGCTCTAACAAATATAGAGTTTTGCTTAAATTTGTTTCTGGTAGTATTGGAGATAACCTCCAACATCATTGTTTCAATTATAACTCCATTACCCCCTATCACACCAAACTAGTTCTTACCCGTTCTTGCCAGTTCTACGAAAACGTCGTAAAACGGGTTCAGTCTTGCTGTGGTCGGGAAATATGTCTAAAATGATTAGCTTCTTTGTCTGACTCTACTCTAATTTCAATTTAAATGATTGGAATGCTCTCCAACCGGAAATAAAGCAAAAAGAAAATGTTAAATTATTTAATAAAGCTATTCTCAAAGAAATTGCTCCACCTAAAGTAATCTTAGCATCTGACCTCCATATAACAAGGCATCAAGAAATAATTTTAAATAGAGTCGGATCAGACCTTATTTTCCAAGTACATCTTCACGCCCACAATTTTACAAATGTACAAACTCCTACATGTTATTGCAACCTGGAAAATGAATTTTCAATTGTCTCCCCAGGAAACCAGACTTTGAAGTACAATTCTGCCAACTAAACTTTGGTAACTTTAATACATTTAAAACTAAAATGGATAAAATGCAATTTTTCTTATATGGTACTCCATCACTTACCAGACGTTTGAATGTTAACATACTCAGTCTCAGTGCAATATTTCTAGAAAAGTGTGCAGCCATATCCCAGGCGCCTGTTGAGTGAATCTTTAAACATGTTACCTTGATTTTAAAGGAATATTCCTTGCCAGACCCTTTCTCTCTTGATATGGTAGCTATAATCATATATATAGTTTCCATATTCAGCAAAACATGGGAAAATGTTTTAATATGGTCAATATTGATCATTTAAAAATCTAGTGCTTATTTCCAGTGAGCTGCCATCTTTTTAGATTTCTTGCAGGAAGTGATGTCATCAACTCTCAACTTCTATAACCTTGCCCATAACAGTATAGGAAAGTAGCACAAAATCACTTCTAGACAAGTGATCATTACTTTCTGTGCAAAAATATTTTCAGGGCTTGTCAACTTAGAATAAAAGAAGAGATTTTAGAAGGATTAAATAAGATACAAAGTTGAAAAAGAATATTTAGCTGGTTTTGTAATTCTTAATAGCTCCTCACCTAATGCTATATGCAAAGTTGAGAGTCTATGACATCACTTCCTGTGTGAAATTTTAAAAGATGGCAGCTTACTGGAATTGAGCATCACATTTCTAAGTGATCAAATTTGACCATATCAAAACATTTTTGCGTGTTTTGCTAAACATGGCAAGCATACAACGTATATATGGTTATAGCTACCATATGAGGAGAGAGATGGTTTGGCAAGGAATATTCCTTCAAGGTTTTTTATATAATACTGCATTCATACTTGGCTAATAATGCTCTTTGAGCCTAGCCAAATTGTATTGTATTAATTATTGATTTTTGTAAAATAAAATATCTATAAATAAAAAATGAATAAAAAAAGTAAGACATTGAAATATATTTGGCAGGCCTATCTGACTACTTTCATACTTCACTATTCTTAATTTTCTTATTTCTTTTTGTTGAAGTCAAAATCTGAGGAATATTGTAGAGTTTTGTTAAAAGTGGGTAGATTTGCATGCAGAGTTTTCCCAAAAATGTTTTCACTGTTTTTATCTTTCAGCCTAAAGATGCAGAGGGCATTAGAAAGGTGTTGTACTGCATTCTGTATAGTAGTACTGCATGGTGTTTATATTGCAGATTTTATCAACCCCCTGTATTGAAATGTCACAATTTAGTCAAATTGGCATTGAAATGAGACGATCATTGGAGACTTGATGTTTTTCTGAAAATATTCAAAAAACAGTGTTCAGAAATATTAATGATCAAAAATTATTTTGGCTAGTACTATTTTCTAAAACATGGTAGGGTAGAAAAAACTTTTTTGGATTCTGTTTAGGATTAATGGGATTTATGGTTAAATAGTCAGGTCCTCCAAGATCCAATAGACCAACCCTAATTGAATGAAAAAAAAACATTAACAACCATTAATATGAAATAAAAAGGCATGAGGTCAACATTCACAATTATTCTGAAATATCCATTCAAAATAAAAATAAGCATGCCATTTGATATTCATATACTTGGGCCATAATTATTTGTAGTTACTACACTGCCAACAAACCCTGTAGTTCATAGCTTATTGAACAACCCTTGTATATAAACTAATTTAGACTTAGAATTCCATCCTACAGTAAAACCCACATATCCGAACACCACTATGATCTGAACATCTCTCAATGTGAACAGTTTTTGGTTCTACCTGACATAGACATGCCATTGAAATATTGATACCCCTTATTCTGAACACTTTTGACCTCTCCAAGTGAGGTTCGGATTAGATAGGTTTTGCTGTATTTATTACTCACAGTTAGTTCCTTTGAGAAAGCATATCAACAGAATGACAATATTTATCACTGTTCCCATTAACTAAGCTAGGCCAAGTAGAATGAGTTATCTGACAAACTGTCTTCTGCCATGTCATATAAACTGTAAATGGGCTTTTTATCGGCCCAGATGGAAAATGAACTTCTTGACAATTAATTGAAATAATTCATCTCCACATACAGTATGAGATTAGAAGAACCCCACTTTAGTAGTTTTGATAGATTCATCAGTAGTTTTGATAGTTTCATCAAGTACATGTATTTTTAAAATCACACCCAATCTTTAGAATAAAACAGTATTTAGAATTGATTAAATCAGAGAAGATTCAACTTCTAATTTTCTGAACTTAGTCGAGTTCATACAATTTACACATCATTTGCATGTTAATAACACATTGAAAAAAATAACAAATACACCAAAAACATGTGAATGATTTTAGTATAATAAGCTATACAAATATTTCGTTTATTAGGAATACCTCTGTATCTCTCATTACTTTTGAAAGTGACCCAGGTGTTACCCAAAAATCAGAATGAAATATTTGTTTTATTATTCAATGTAAAGTATTTGTGTGTCATACATGATGGCATATATAAATGTACCTTGTTCTAAAAAATGAAATTAAAATATAGAATGTTGGAAATATTAACTTTTCAAAACTCCAGGCTCATTTATCTGTCAATGAACAGTAAATATCTTATTGATATATAACAGGATATTAAATGCCAATTGGTTCATGTTCAGCAGTCACATAATGGAAAATGTGACACTTGACACCTGACATGGTTGACCCTTATGGGAATAACTAACAGCATCGTTGTGAGCTTTAAAAACATAATGTACTTAAGGGGAGGCATCAAAGTTCGATGTCGGATCGGAAACTAAATAAATCTAGTTTTGACTCTGACCCCCCCCCCCCTCCCCCAAAAAACTAAATACCATGAAAGTTGATCGCTGACTTCCGGTTTGAGAATTTGAAAAATTATTGCTAAACACGATCTAGTTTTTGTTAATTCCTATCGCAATTTGCGGCTTTTAACAACTATTGATAGAATATAATCCATTGGAATGATCTTGACGAAGAAAGCATCAGGTAAAATCTTTATCTTTAAACCATTCAAAGGCATTCTCAGTCGAAATTGCCAAAAATTTGAAATGTTGAAATTTGTCGGATAGCAAACTGAAATGGGTTTGAACCCCCTCCCCCCCCTAACTAGATTTATTTAGTTTTCTATCCGACATCGAACTTTTGATGCCTCCCCTAAATATGGCATGCTTAATTGTTGATGTTTGGCATATATTGAAACCTTACTAATAGTAGTGCCTTTCCTTTTTGCTGATTTTAATGTCGCCACCAGAAGTGGTGACATATCGTAAAATAACTTTTTTTGTGGATGGTGTTCAGCCTCCGGCATTAGGCATTCAAAGCTATGGCATCTGTAGCAAATGGCAGGTTGTGACATTTTGCATGTTAATGCCCTGTTATCTGTATAATTTTGATGAACCAATTCAAACTCATTTACAGTTATGTATTCCGAGAGAATATTATCAACAAAATATGGGAATTACAGAAAAATAGATTGAAATAGTGTGTTGAAATAACAACCTTACAAAACACCAATATTGCCTTTGTTCCACATTGCAAAACCAAGTACCATTGACACTACATCTGTATTAAATTTTGAATGTCTGTAATTTTAGATGGCCGAGGCGCTGAAAGAACAGAAAGAAGTCAATCAGAAACTACGACAATATGTCGACAGGATTCTTGAGACAATTATCGAACGAAACCCCTCCTTATTAGAAATCACAGTTCGAAATGCAAATCGGTAAAGCATCAATTCTGAATTGGGATATCGTAAAACGTCTCTATATGAACAACACATTGTTGAGACTGCCTTCTTGTTGAATCAAAAGTGATGACTGTATATAGAAGTATCAGTCTGATCACTTGATGCTGATTTTACTGAATATGGAAAGTTTTGAGAATGATCGCAAGATTTGTGACGTAATACTTGGAAATTGTAAAAAGAGAGGACAAGATTTGTGTTAGAAATAAACTAAAGTGAAAACTAAATTGTGATGAATCACACATATGCCATGAAAAACTTAGCCAAATTGAAACAGTATGATTTTGTAGAAATGGTTCGGTATTTTGAAATGTCATTTTTGGATGGGTAGATTTTGACATTTTCAAATGTGTGACCTAAAACAGATTAACTTCACAAACTAGTACAGATACATGTGTACAGATTGTCCAAGAATATGCGGAGGACATACATAACTGTATATTATGTTGCCACAATGCTGGTACCTGCCTTGATTAAACACTCCAGATTCTTTGAAAATGCCCAAATATAATCTACAAGACTGCTAATATTAGAGAGATATCACAACCTCATAACTAATATTTATAAAATCACCTATTCATTAAGAATATAAGTGGATGTAATTTCTTTTACATTGAGGTGATTTTTATAGTTACGAGTTGTGAGTGTTAAAACTCTCGTCAGTGCACTTAAAGAAACAGCTTATAAGACCATGGGCTTATATAAGGATGTGTTCCAACCATATAAGGTGCCATGGCTTGTTATATACATCGAAATCACGATTAGTTATTTGCCCATTAAGATCTTGCATTTAAAGCATAAGTGATTAAACAGTGATCCCCATTGACAGATCATACTAAGAGCCTGCTCAATGGATACTAAAAGGGAATATTTTTATAAAGCTATACAGAAAATATTATATGATTGCAAATAATAGTACATGATTGCATATTGTTATGTATATGATTGCATGGAATATAATATCAAACTGAATATGAATAATAGTAATACTGCATTTGTAATTTATGGAAAGTAGCCTGACTGTGAAATTTTATTATTGATAGGACATATCTCTACAAATGTACTATTATTTTATTAACATTAGCAGAGTTGATTATATCAGTGCTATTAAATTTATGTGTTCTGTCTTAAAAACTGCATCTTTTCCAACTTGGCAGTAATATTATTTGATGCCTAAATGCATGGAGTTTGGGAGGTTGTTTATTGAGCAGAAATATGATCTCAAATATTGAAAGTTGATTCTACAGGGTGATACAAAATGATATGTCTCTATTCGCAAGATTGTGTACCACCCTGTAATTTTTAAATGTAAGGCTTTACAATGAATAATACTATGTGATGAGCAAAAAATTAACTGAATTTTAATCTCTATTGGAGTTTGAATTTTAGCTTTCATTGTAAAATAAAAGAACCAATGAGTATCAAATAAAATAGAACTCATTAAGTAGCTTTTTTACTTGATTCTGTCTGTAATACTTTTATAGCATTCCAACTTTTAGTATTGTTACATGTGAAGTTTTTGTGAGTTTATACTAACATTTCAAATTGTATTTTCAGCTTCATAAATTCTTTGTATGTAAATTTTATTCATACTTAAGAATGTAAATCCTGTTGAAACATAGATTAAAAATAACAGGAGTATTTATTATGTTGTTGCATAATGGGTAATGTATAATTGAACACTGGGATAAAGTTACCCCATTTGTCTATTTACTGTCATAAAGTATAAAAGTTGTTGAACCAAGAAAAATGATCCTTTGAAAATAATATTATTAACATCATTAAAATATGCATAAAATATTTGGATATTATGGAAGAGTTATAAGGCATACCAAGTTATGATATATTGTTTGTCAGTTTTGAAATATTGTATTTTAGTCTTAATAGACATGTGTATTGTATATCAGTTCAATATGTCCTAGAAATGACTGATGAATCATAAATCAAACTTTTCTGAAACATTTTCTTGGAAGACTGTTGTTTGATGTCATCCAAGAATTTATCTAACACAATGTTTGTTTTGTGTGTATTTCAAAATGTCTGATTTTAGTGAACTGTGCCATTTTCTCCTTGATGAGATTTGTTTACATTTTCATGTTAAAGGGACCTATTTTCACTATGTAGTACATTTATGTAGTTGAAGTTAACAAGCTTGATTTTATAACTTTGGAGCTACAAAAGTTACTCTTTAATTCCAGATAAAAGTTGGAAGCATAAATGATAAACATTATTTTGGTTTGTTCTGGGAGCAAGTTAAAAAAATTTCCAAAATCGCAATGTATGTACTCCCATGTTATATTTAACTATTTATAAAACTAGAAACATTGTGTTTATGGTTCTATTATTCAATATGGTATGCAGAATCTTCTTGTGAATGTAACCTTTTCAGTCAATTTTTAATGATCGCATTTGTAACTTGAATTTGGCAATTTAAAGTGTGTCAAAATAGCATAGATTCAAAACAAGAATTTTACTCAGCCTAGTGCAATCTATTTATTGATCTTTAGATAATCAGTATTTACCAATAAGAGGTAGAATGTAATTTCTATTTTTAACAAATAGATGCATAAATGTAATTTGCACAGTTTGTGTTGAGTGTATCTGTGTGACAACAGTTCTAAACTGTTAATAGGTGTATATTTTGCTGAAATGGTGATGAGAAAAATAAATGGAAAAATGTACAAAACTGTTCTGTTTATGAAATACATGTATGTAATGTAAAGATAGGCAAACATTACTTTGGTCATAGGTGACTCAGTCCAGACATGCACGTCTGTCCAAAAGAAGTCTACAACATGTGATAAACTACTCGCACAATGGAAGACACTCCTGACAACTCTGATTACTTATCCAATGATTCGAATAAAATAAAGAAAATACTGTGTCAGAAAATTTCTATGTCCAAAGGCGCCAGACAAGTCAAACATATTATTTTTAGATACAATTACAATTATTGATTGCTCTATATTGCATTATATCAGTAGAACTTATTGTGATGACATCCAACCCATAGGAAATGTTGAATAATTTTTAGATAAGTTAAGGTGAGATGATTATAAGTTATAAATGATAGAGAGTTAATAGATAAGGGCATAGAAGCAGTTGGTATAATATTTTCTGTATTTTATTCGAACCATTGGATAACTTATGCATATATGGTAGTTTGGATAACTTCTTCAATAGAATGAACCACCAATGATTTTCAATTGATGAGCACCATCATAAATCAATTAACAATTTTGTAAGTGATGGTGTAATCGATAAGTATGTGTGTGCCAAATGAAATGACACAAGTGTAATGGTTATCATCCTAATATTCTAGTTCTAAGATATTATTTCAATCTCTGAAAAAGATATGTTTAGAATGAATGCTGTATCTTGGAAGTGTGTTCAAATAAACTATCTCAATAAAAGTTTTAAACATCCATATATGGACAACATGATGAACTACAAGTACAAGCATAGTGCGATGATAGTGCAGGCCTGGCGATGATATAGTGCAGGTGAAGAAACGTCATACTATATTTTTTACAGTTTCCAGGCGTGTCATTTATATATTTTATAGTTGACATTGTTGTGCTTTTGACTAAGTAATTAGAAATCAAAAACGACAGTCTCTCCAGTAAAATACATAATTTAGTAAAGAGATGTATCAGTTGTACCTGTCATTTGCTTTTACTTTAATTATTTGGATCTAATGTCTGGGATCATATGTAATGACATGTAAAACCAAATTTGTTGATTATTTTCTGTTGAGCATCACATGTGCACAATTTTTTATCATTGTGGAATCCATTATAAGATATTAACTAACATGTCATTTATAGTTTATAGTATTTCCTGTACATTGAAAACCTATTTGTCATATCACTTAAATATAGAATCTGTTCACTGAATATATAATGTTATCGAGGCCTGGTAGACAGAGCTCTCTGGGAGTATCTAGTATTTTGAACTTAGCACTCGGAGAGAACGCGTCATGGCGAATTTTACTGATAGCATCTGGGATCAGAATTTTATCTCTGGAGCTGGATTCGACAGAATAACGGCAATTATATATGCAATTCTCGGGTATATTTTGATCTTGGCGATATGGTTTGGAAATGGATTAGTTTTAGTTGCCATAGTAACAACGCCAAAGTTAAGGAACATGACTAATCTTTTAGTGTTCAATTTATCACTATGTGATATGTTCACCGGGTTCATTTTCATCCCATGTAACATTTGGGCTAACACCAGTCCTCGAGGATCCGATAATGCAAAATCCCTCTGTCTTGGCTGTCTTGGATTAGTATCCCTCTCGTGCTCCGTTTCCATAGAGACGCTTTTGGCTATCGCCGTAGAAAGGTACATCAAGATCGTACACGCTCTTTCCTACCCACGGATCATCACCAAGCTTAGGCTGATCGTTGCCGTAATTGTCATCTGGATTAGTAATCTGATCCTACATTCCAGTGAGTTTATTTGGAACAATTACGATTCGGAGAAGAGTTATGAACTGTGTATACCTGTATATGTCGCAAAAACGGCTTATCTTGTCGTTGCCATGTTAATTGTCGCCGTTGTTATGGTTATAATTAATATTTTATATTTTAAGATATTTCTTATAGCTCGAAGACAGAGGAATGAGATCATAGCCATGGACGTAAGTGTTGGTGCCTCTTCGAGTACAGCAAATGACAACAAGTTAGTAAAAACGATGGCTTTGGTGAACGGACTGCTATACATTTTTTGGGCACCGTTGTTTACGCTAGTATTTGCCCAGAAGTGGCTTGACGAAGAAACTTTAGACTCAAATTGGCTTGCGCACTTATATGCTTATCTGCAAATTTTTCTAGTCGGAAATTCGTTTGTGAATCCGATTATTTATGCGGTCCGGACCAAAGATTTCAAGGATGCCTTTAAAAGACTCCTCAATTCTTTGAGAACGGGCGTTTGGTTGAGAGCTTGAACTTTTTCTGTCAACTTCAAACTAGCGA